AATAGAAGAAGAAAATAAAGCCTTCTCAACATTTTTCTTGTTATAAATTACATCTTGATTGCATACATTGTTATTAGTTATTAACCTAAGAATTCTCAAGATATCTCCATCCCCACTCACAGTCGGAGGTATAGTACTGAAGAGGTGTTTTAATTTCGTAGTAAGGAATGCCAACTCTGCCCCCAATCACTCTAGTACATATATATATATATATATATATATATATATATAGTAGTATATATTTAATTACATGAATTTAAAACAATACACCTTTTTATGTGTTTTCAAATATAACTCTAACCACTGCAGAACAAGAGTTTAGAAAAACTATGAAAAATAACAGGCATTGTACATCAACTCTTGGAAATGCATTGTACATGGGTGTGCCCGTCTCACCGCAGTTGCTGCAACTCTCAGGGCTGAGATAATCATAAGTGATTATCTCAGCCAATCCAGTGTTTCTCCACAGAATAGTATTGTGGAATGTGTGGGAATTGCAATTGTGCCATTAAGCACCTCCTCATAGAGGTCCAATATTAATGACACTAATGCATCTCTATGGAGAATGTGCAAAGTGTTCCTGTAGAGTGTGATGACACTTAAAAAATCGATAGTTGTAATAGGAAGCACCTTTGTCACTGTCTGAATGACAGCCACTAGAGGTGTTCTTAAGGAAACAGAAAACAGAAAAGGCACTGTTTACAATTGTCAGACTGCAGGGAAAAAACACTATGCTGAAGATGTTTTGGTGCCTAGAGTGTCTCTTAAAGAGTTGGGGCCTTGCAATTAGCTTTTTTACAGCAGTAGTTGGCACTAGCAGAGGCCAACATACAAAATGTTTTTTTAGGAATATTCTTTATGTATTGGCTGGTTTTAGACGCATGTAGGCATTGAAATATATGAAATCATGGTCTAAGAATGCCCATACCATAAGTTTATTAAGTTAGAGGTGATTTGTTACTTCCCAGGATTTTTTTAATATTAATTTTACTTATCACTATATGTAACAAATATGTATTTGTAAGAAGTAAAAAAATGGAAATGTATAACTGAATAATAAGCCAATGTGAAAGTATTAATTATCTATTAAAAAAAAAAAACGTAACGTCTCATGAAAAAAAGGTTAACATAAACTATAGGTGATTTGCAATGTTTTATTCATTTGTGTAGATTCCGTAGTAGTGACAGTTCCACTTTAATACAGCCTCAGAATAGGAAGGGATAAAGGAAGAAAGTGTACAGTGTTACACTGGGAACGTCTGCTTAACACAAACATGATTGTGGTAACACCACTGGCAGCTTCAACCCTATAAGTATGTACAGTATATTATCCGTTATAATTACATAAATGCAGGCTATTATCTTTTTCATAACTATTCCTTTATAGCATCTTAGATACTGTAACACTGTAGCATGACTTTTCCATGGATCAACGTATCAAAATCAAAGTTCACGTTCATCATTTCATCTATAAATTACATCCATTCATTAGATAATACATTCTATTTATGGCCACTGACTTACTTGCGTGCACCTACATCTAAATTTAGAGTTTCTTAATACCCAAACAGCAGAATACATGACGAGTATAAGGCATACCCAGGCTCAGCGCGAGCCCAGCTATCTGCACATTTTTTCCTCAAACCAATTTAGGATGATAGGTTTATTTTGTCCATTTAAATATTGTAACACTCTTCCTGATATTCCCTTTGATCCAAAAAGCTTGGTTTGCAGATTCAGCAATAAGAGATTTAATTCGTTATAAAACCGCTTCCCTGGAGAAACAGTGGAGGCGTGACCTGCTGAATGAGCCAGACCTTGGGGCCACCATTGATTAACAAAGACAGATCTCTGTCTTTGAAGACCTTTGAAGCCTATCACCCAGTTTACAGCCCAATCCAAATGTTATGCCCAGAATTGAAGATATGGATGTTTTCTTGTGCTCAAGCCATCTTCAACCCAGCTCCCAAAGATACTCAGACATCTGTTGCATTGGAAAAAAAATTCCAGGTGATAATTACAGAAATGAGGCAAAGAGAGCTAAACCAGTTTGTAGAACATTTGCTACCTGAAAAAGAGACTACAAAAGAGTAACCAAATTTCAATTCATTGCAAGTAAGCTGCCGGTGCAAGGAACAGGGTACTTGCACCGTGTCACAATACTAAATTCTGTTAAATAAAGTTTATAATTGTTTTCCTTAAAATGCATATTAATTTGATCGCCAGTGGAAGTGATTGCGTTATGCTACACAAGGTAAAACTGGCATGATGAAATATCACTGAATTCAAACAAGCCAATAATTATACATGATATAATTTTAACACTGTACAAGACTGTCTTGTAGGAAGGTGCGGGTGTGTCCTCTGCACCGGCTACGAGACAATGGGAGGGAAGGATAAGCTATTAAGTTGGCTTCATTAGTTTATTATCAGATCACCATTTTAAGAAAAATTAGACCACAATATCCAAATTAGAAAGAATCTCCAAGTGAACATTTGTCTTTTTGGACTAACGTTTAAAATTCAACTTAAATTCCTTAGTGAACAACCCGGGCTGTGATCATACAACAAAATGGTAGTTCCTGTTGCCAAAGAGTGGCAGAGTTTCCAAAATATGAAAGAATTTATTTACTGAGTGATGAGAATGAAACATTCGCTTTATACAAATACGGTATGTTAAAAAATCCACAAACAATTAAATAAAAGAATTATTACATTTGTACGTATAATAGGTTTTGGAAACAACCAAGGATCTTCAGTGTGAAGTGTCAGGCATTTAATTTGAAGTTCAAATCTTACACCAATACGGATCAATTTGAAACACAGCTGACTTGGAGAATGTATCGGTGTTTGGCTATTTTGGTTCAAAGTTTGAAATTTACTCTAAACTCACTTTGAATTCCTTAGTATTCACACTTCAGTGAAAAACACTGCAAATGTGAAAGCTGCATTGTTTAATTTGTAGTCTAGACTGTTCTACCTCTTATCTCTCAAAAACACAGTAAGCTTATTGAAAAGGCGATAAAGAGCTCAACTGTCCACCACCATTTCAGTGATTTAGCTTGGTATTTAAGCTGTGATAACCTGTGGTGGCTGACTGAGTACACTGCTCAAGGTTTCTAATAACTAGGTATAGACAAATGTCATCCTCCTGGGAACTCCTGAACACTTATTGAGCAATGGTCTGCAGAATAACTGGAACATTTCTGCAAAGAACATTTAAGCATTAGGAGGTGGCAGAGTCCGAGACAATTTTTAAGACCATCCTCGTCCACACCAAGATATCCGTTATTAGTGATCCATACATAGGAAGCCACTTATTAATCATTTATCACTCATATATGCATTAAAGACTATCCATGCCTAACTTGTCACACACTCTAACTTATCCATGCCTAACTTGTCACACACTCTACCTATCTAGCAATACACTCACACACAAGAACATATACACAGACATACCCAGCGACAGATGCACACACAGACACATAGATATATGCAGACAAGCACGCACATATCTGCAAACACTAATACTCACTAATACACTTGGCTAAAGCAGAAACGAATACGCAGTAATCATACACATTAATAATATTTAGCATCTTCATGCTGGGCTTGTTGATGATGAATCTAAAGGCCTTCAGTCTGACCACCACTGGCTAACGTAAACATGGTGTTTCAGAGAAACTGTATAATTTTACATTATCAGAGAGAACCGGGTCTATTCAGCAAAAACACTACATTAAGATAAAGTGGTTTAGGTGCTAATAGGATCTTGTTAAACATTTAAATTATTTAATAACTTTTCTTCATAGACTTACATTTAATATTCAAAATTCAGTTCACAGCTAAATATTACTGAGAGAAAAAGATTTCATGTTAATATATTTTTAGTGGATAAGTTATATATGACAAACTCCAGAAGAGAATATTTACCCACAGAAGTGTTATAATTTATTAACAAACCTTCAATCGTTGCATATTTCATGTTCACATTTGTACATTCCGACATTTTTATGCCATTATTTTGTTTTTGTTTTTTTACAAGACACGTTAAGTATTATTGCTTGTACTGTTTACCAATGGATTAATAAATACACCTTACATTTTCAGAGTGGTTCCCTTAATCTATTAATGTGATTGCCTGTGCTGAGAGATCCCTGCATGAGGAATTAATGCTGTACACAGCCTGATATTGGTACATCCAGATATTATATTGTGCGTTCATTTGTTTAATAGTTTTATGGAGGACTAGAACAAGGGTAGGCAACTCCAGATGTTCTGGACTACATCTCCCCTGATGCTTTGCCAGCATTATCGCCATAAAAAGCATTATCGGAAATGTAGTGCAGAACATCTGGAGTGCCAAAGGTTGCCGATCCCTGGCTCAGAGAATCCTGTAAATTGGCATAAAACGTGACAAATCAGGATCAAGTATCCAAAACTATCGTGGGGGGATTATGAAAGTATCTGTCAAAGACCTTTTTTTTTTTTTCTCAGCTGTAGATACCTTGGAAAATTACGGTTGATATTAGTATGTTGTAATATATGTAATAATGTAATATAGTAATACAGATTGCGTGTTTATATACATATTTACTAATTTCCTACTGACATTTGTTTTATTAATCATACTATTCACCATCTTGCTGTGATTGCTCCTCCATACACATCTGCAGGATATGATATAGTTGAGTGTTCAGTAAATGTAAATATTTTTTTTTTTATAAAGCATACAGTGTTCATGGCTGTATGAACAGGGCACAAGTTTGTGAACTATATCTCCCAGCACTCTCAGCCAGACATCAGGGTTGTCTGTATTGCTTTGGAAGGCATGTACCTTTTAATATTGTTTCACCAAAGAGGTGTTGAGAAGGAGTATAAGTGTATAATAATAGCAGGAATTGGGAGGTACCATCTGTATAAAGGGTGGAGTGGAGAGGTGTGGTTGCAGAGTGAATGCAGCCAGGGGGGACCAGCAGTGGGAGCAAGGCAGTAGACAGGGACAGACTGAATGACACGCAGCTATGGCTTGTACAGGCTGTGGGCTTTGCAGGTTGGTCAGAGCAGAGCCCTGGGATTGGCTGCCTGCGCAACAGGATCAGCCCTGAGCTCACACACAAAACCACAGCCAGGCTGCGCCTCTCACAGCACTCCAAGTCCTGGCAAGGCACACAGCAGCAGGCTGAGCACAGACTGCACACATATCCAGAGAGGCTGGAGGACACCCTGACTTCCAAACTGCAAAGAAACATACAGCCTGCCCTGGGACTTATTAAAGGGGAATTATACACTCATTCACTGCTAGACCATTCTGACTTTTTCCTATCATCAAAATACACTTTATTTAGTCTTACCTTCCAATGCAAAACTAGGAGTATATTTTTTCAATTGTATTTTTTTTTCTGGATTTTTTTATTTTTATTTGCCTATACATAACATTTAAAAGTAATACAAATCTATATTATTATTTAATTTTTTTTATTTGCTTTTTGAAAACTGTACATGGTTGTGAATACCTGTGCTTGCAGAAGAATTGACACTATATTGAATCTGAGTGGCTTGTAAAAGTTCTGCATTTGCTTCCACCTGGTGGTGTTGCTGGTATCTTGGCCTGGAGGATGGCTCCTTGTCGTACTGCGCTCCTGCTGTGGGTGTGCTATAACTGCAGCCTGTGTTTGGGGTTTGGGGACCTTTTGGAAGATGGCATGGAAGGAGTGAGAAGCCTATCCAGTTCTGGGTTACTGTATGGAGCAGGTGATCCAGCCAAGCAAGAAGATGCAGTGCTGCCCCTTGGGGACACAGTGTCAGAGCATATGCTGAGGCTCTATGACAAATACAGTGGTGGTGGTGGTGGCGGAAGGGGGAGAGAGGCTTCTGCAAAGCACCAATTGCCACTCCAGGATGGAAACACTGTCAGGAGCTTCAAGTCACTGTACGGTGAGTGTGAGCGCACAATGTCATTATATATGTAGCGCAAACAGATTCTGCAGCGTTGTATACTGAGCAATAGTGTTCTCAAGCAGAGAACAGAGAATGGAATTGTTAAGAATTTAAATAATATTCACACCTGCTGGACTCCTGATTAAATCTGCATTTCTTTGAATGTTTGATTTATTATTTACATTTTATTTTTTTCCAGTAATTATCCTAGTGGTAGCCAGTTTGTATGGATGGGAGATTCTGAACAGCCATTTAATATGTGGACACTGTAGAATAAACGTATTATTTTACTTGGCATTAAGACATGACTAGGCACAATCAAGGGATCCCAGACGAAACCCCCTCCTATAAACGATGTATCTGTATGGTTACCTTGATCATTCCAGTAGCCTAAAGTTACTTTCAAACTCCAACCTTTGATCTGATTATATACCAAACCTAACAATCTTAAAGTAGCTTTTCGCTTAAATAAAAAAATATAGCTGATTCGGTGTACCAGCAATTATTATTTTGATGCTTCACCTATTGGTATTTTCAATAAGAATTGTAGCTTACATTATATACCTTAATATACTTTTGCAGTCTGCGGTAATATTTATTTTATAGCTACTGTAAGACTGTTTAATATATTCTCTAATTTCAAGTGAATGGCTGCACTTGTTAAAAAGTGCTTTGATTAGCACTGGCATGGAAAGTGTTAATGGCACCGAGACAGGTGCTTAGCTTGGATTAAATGTCCACTAAGGTACATTATATTGAATTGCTGATGCTCACTGGGACTCTATTATTTTTGGTTATCAGTTTCCTTGTTGTGACTTCTCGCACACCTGTGGCATGTAGGGGATTCTTTATATCTGCAGAAAATCTACAGCAATATATGTGCTTTGTCTTGACCTGATAATTGCATAATTGCACATTATAAGCGGGGAAATATTTTTTTAGGTATTTTTGTTAAGTTGAGGATGATAGGATTTGTGATGAGAAGGGATATAGGTTAACCCCTGTAGCAGCAGCTGTTGTGCTGTAAAACACCCATCACTAGCTGCTACCTAGCATACTATAATATAAATCTACAGCCTTCAGAAAACTCTAGCCCAGGGGTGCCCAAATAGTAGATCCCCAGATGTTGTAAAACTACAGCTCCCATGATGCTTTGCATGCCTTTAGAGTACGTGTAGAATGACAGAGCACCATGGAAGTTGTAGTTTTAAACATCTGGGGATCTACCTTTTGGGCACACCTGCTCTAGCTAATCCCTAGCACATAAGATCCCATCATTCTTGGGCTCAGGTATGCCATAAATCCAAAATACCCAAATAATAATTTTCATCAACTAAATAATAAATACATTGTTGCTGATGGTGTGTCAATCCCTCTTGATATTGCAAGGGTTAATCCATTGTGTAGTAAATTATTTTCCCCCAGTCTGTTATACATTAAAGAGTTAATTTGTCTCTGGAGCTATGCAGAGCTTCCAGATGTGAAGAGCTGTGTGTGAGTGAGTATACCTGCATTGCACATCTAGCCTGTCACATCAATGTATCCTGCTAGACTGTCACAAAGCCGGTATATTTCCTTTACTACACTCACATTCACAGAATTATTGAAATGCCTGTCAGCATGTGTTTCTTATGATAACACAGCTACATTACATATTGGCAGCATATTTAAGGAAATGTTGTTAATTGATTTCCAGCCTTAATTGGAGATGAGTCATCTCCCCTTTTCTTTCTCCTCTGTCCTATGTTTGGTCCTTAAACCTGGATATTTTGGGGCCTTATATCTATATTTACTCTGGAGAGATCATTTGCAGTTAAGAAGAGAAATAGTGCAATTTATTAGTGTGTCCAAACACTGAAATTTCCTTTACTTTACACATTTGTGTAGCAATTGCTGTTGTTTATTTTTTCACTTTAATATTGTGTAAGCCCATTTCTTTGTTTATTGAGACTGGAGTTTGTCTTAATTTGTATTCATATTTTTAGAAAAAATAAACGTAAATGTGCAAACATTAAATATTTAAAAAAAAAAACAACAACCTAAGGAATGAATAATGCATTTGATAAAGGGCAGAGTAGGGTAGAACTTGATGGAAAATCATTGTGGCTCAGTATGTCTCTTTAAGTCATCTTGAATTCATACTCTTGTTTAAGTGCCAGGAATTCACTTTCAGCAGGTGCCTTGCCCCAGGGATTTAAGTATCTGTTTTATAAACGAAATGCTTAATATGGTATGATTGTCTTCCAAATGTATCTCAGTCTTTAGGTCTTCCACTCTGCACGCTAGTGATCCAACAGTGGAACAGTTAAAATATGACTTTGCAAAAGTAAAAAAAAACCCATTGTTTAATACCTATTTCATAAACTTTAAAATCAACTGTTTCATTGCAAGGCTGCACATTAATAGGAAGATTTGACCTGTGTTTACATTTTCAATGAAATATACTGTACAGTAATAGGACAGTTCAGTTTATCTCTGCTGCTATATAACAATATGCTCAGTGACACTCATAGAATTCCCGATTATAAGGATAAATAAACATAGGAACTCAATATGCTCTGTAGGGTGCATAGTTGAATTGCGTACGTTGAATGTGGTCTACATACTTAATAGAAGGCTGCCATAAGTGGATAATTTATTGGCAAATATAGACCAGCAGGGTTTTTCAATAAAGTGGGAATTGTCGGTAATTCATACAGGGTTAATTACTAAAGTGAGAATTCAAAGTGTATTCAAAATAAGTTTAAATGTAAGTTAAAAGTAGCTGAACTGGAAATCATTTCTAAGTCAGCTATGCTTTAATTTAGGCTATTCTAGCCTTAAATTTAGTAAATAGCCCTCTTTTTGGTCAAAATAGATGAGCTAGAAGGTTATTTGACTTGGAAAATTTTCTAATTCAGCTATTTTGGCCTTAAATTTTATATTTACATTAGTAAATAAACGCTTTTAGATAGCAAAATTGTGAAAACAATCTCAGACTTAAGTACATTTGAGATTTTATTCCACTTGGCTATTTTGAATTGATATTTTAAGTTTTGCAAGTTTTTTCCCCCAAATGTTTTATGACTTTCTGGTTTAGTGAATAGACCCCAATGTGACTGAGTACCTTCCAACCGTGAACCTTGACAAAAATGCAATGCAGCAACAATATTGCTCTGTCCCAGGGTTACCAAATAGCTGTCATGAAAGTATTGCGAAATAAATGTGCATTGTTTGGAATGTATTGTAACCAGTACATTTTATTTTCCAGTCACATTTTTCAAGAATAAGAAAGAAATGATAAATTATAAAACTACCTACAAACCATGGTATCATGAATAAGTAGATCTTTGATGACATGTCAGTATGCTTTAATTTGGATGAAATAATCCCATGTCATCCCAAAGAAATTGGGATTCATAGTCGATGTGTGTATTAATTCCTTAAAGGGTTTCTCCAAACCCCTTTTTTAGAAATGTGAATAATGGACTATTTGCATTATTCATCAGGGTCACCCCCACCCGACCACTGGAAAAGTGTTCTAAATGAAGGTTTTATCTACCTTCATCCAGTGCCGGGCTAAGCTCTAAGGGCACCTCGTCTGACAGTCTGCCCAGGTGCGTGGTCTGAGCCAGTAAGCGTAGGAGGAGAGAGTGATAAATAGGTGGATGGCAGGAGAATCATAAAATATTGAAAGGGATAGGAAGGTTGGAGGGCTACAATTATGTAGTGAATTAACAATATATCTGTATGTGCAGTGTTTCAAACACTCCCAGGCTCCTACCACTATGAACACTTCAAATCACTGAACTGGTCATGGTGGTTGGAGTAACTCTTTAAACCTGAAATTGTGGACAATTGAAGAAAGTATTTGTAGATCCCCTTAATAGCCGTACTTGGAAAACTCTCAAATTTAGATATTTGTCCAGCTGTTAGGAGTTAAAATGAGTATTGTCATTCCCATCAGTCCTACAGTATATACGGTTTAATCTCTAATGTAAGAATGGCTAGGAAACCAAAGAGAATTTTAACTGTGAGGCCAAAATAGGACCACTGAACACATATTTGACATGAAGTATTTTTTCGGCCTAAAATTTGAATTTTTCTTTGAATTTCTGACAATTCTCACATTAGTAAATAACCCTGTAAGTTCGTCAGTGTGAGGTTCAGGAAAGTTCACAGCTGATCAGTGAACTGTGAATGTTTGAAGGACTTATATCTTCTTACTGTGGTTTAGTTTTAGCTGGTGAGAAGATGAAGATGTCTAATTCACACAAAAGTGCGCTGCATTCATCATCTTAAAAATAAGGAATGGTCTAATATAATGTATATTTATTGTAATTTAAGACCAAGGAACAATATAGTAATACAATTTTCACCACTTTTTAGCACATACTGAATTCTATGATCTTCTGAAAAGCAGTTTTCTGGAAATTATGCTTAATTCTATTTCATCCTTCAGGCCAACAGAGCAACATGAAACATAAGATTCTATAACAACCAGTAGTGTCAGAGATTTTTCGTCCCTTTAGTCCTTATCCAAACTATGCCTTCTGTGGTCCAGACACCTGTGCTAACACAGGGATTAAAATGAGGATTTGCATTAATTCCTCTACCAAACAATGCAGAAATAGCGGAACATGCATAAATAGACCACTCTTCTGGTTAATCTTATTTGTCCGTCATTCTGTGTCACTAAGGAACGGACTTCATCTAGTTCTGTTGCTTATGTTCCTATCACATCTCTAACAGCTGATCGTTCATTAACCATAAAGGAATCTTTAATTGAGTTCCTCAGAGTTTATATGGAAGAGAATTCTTGGAAATTGTCTTTTCATGACTTATAATTTTAAGATGCTGGTCTTCATTAGAAACCAGACATCTGTGAAGTGCTCATTCTCCATCAGATGTTTTGGCAGTAACTTAAGTGTTACACCAGACAAAATATTCAGTAATAGATTTCTGGGAAAAAACACATATTTTTCTCATATGAGTTATTTAGACATCCAGATCCCTTCCTTGATGGATAGATGATTAACCTGTATTTTGGCACTGTAAGCCGTAGTTTAATCAGTGATTGTGAAGACAAATTAGAATTTCCACCACTTTCTGACTGTTTATTTTGTTTTCGATGTTGATGTCGTTTGGACTTTGATCACAAGTGTACCTAAAGCATTTTGTATCTCTGAAAAAAAAACTTCCACCACATAAACTGATTTGCTGCCATGGCAGCTCTTTTATGTCAAATATGGTACAAAGAGCATTTGTGGTCACCATGATTTTGGCTGCTAAGTAAAAAAAACAGAACAAATGTGAACATGTTTAAATATACATGGAAGGGTTGTTGTGTTTGTGTGTTTTATTTTTACTTTTCCCCTGGCTGTTTATTTGTGGATTTTTGATTTAATGACTATGATTCATATGTGTGGATTCTAAATAGGTGAGAGCATAAACCCGCCAATTGGAAACAAGCTTTGTTAAGATAGCAAAGTAGGTTAGTCTCCCAACCTTAGAGAACCTATTGAGATCACAACAACTAAGTCAACTATGCCTTCGGTCTTTCATAAAATGACTTCTGCAATAATACCATTTATTTCTGTATTATAACAGAAAAGGCAAGAAATACATCGAAGTGTTTTATTTGAACATTATTAGAAACATATTAGTTTTATAACTCTTATGTCTCTCTTGCTTTTATTACTTGTTTTCATGTACATTTCAGGGCATCTTTCAGCTATAAAAAGCAACGCCATAGCTTTTACATAAATAATTAAATTTTTCTCACTGTGCTGTTCTTTTTTTTTTATTTTATTATTTTTTAAAAGCAATTAAATCATGGCATTACTAAGCTCGGCAGCTCCATAGGAGTCCATCCATTACAATGTATTAAGCAGATCAGGTGTTATGTGGTGTGAGTGTACTTCATGCAGAGCGACTGCACTTGCACGCACTGGAACAAAACATTCTGAAACCCTGTTATTTAAATGTCTAAATACACATAATTATTTCAATAATTTGCAGGGCCCACTGCCCCATGTTGCTATGTCGCCCCAGGGTCCCCACCTGTTCTTAATCCATAGTGATCTCCACAACATGTTGAGTTAAATGCGTTGAACTTCCATTCCTCTAAGGTTACATGCACACCAGGTTTGCAGATAATCCTTACTGTACTGCTTTGTGATACTCAAGGTAAATAGTTTTATTGAATATCCATTAGAGAAATCCAGGCACTGTGGCCTTATGACTTTGAAGGAAGTCCAACACTCCTAAGGTGTGCTGTTTAGTACACATCATTGGGAAGGGGGGAAAGTAGGCACACACTAGCACAGCGCACCTACCAATTCCATTAGCTTTTTTGAGCCAGTGGAAACATAAGAAAACCTGTCCCCAGTTATTAAAGTGATGTTGTTTGATTGGAATCTACACTTTTATAAACTGTTGAAAAAAATTGACAGACTCTACACACATGAAGAACTTCAGCAACATGTCTAGTGTGTTCAGAGACAGAGATTTGAATAGTTAGTAGTCTTGTTAGTTAGTAGCTGGTAGACTACTTGATTCCTCTAAGGGGTTGGTGTTTTAATGTATGCCCAAAAAGGATAAAGGAGAGTGTCAGTTTTCCTGTAATAGGCATTATTTAGATAATTTTTTAATGGAACGCTCCAAATAACTACAAGACTTCGCTGTAGTGCTTATGGTGCCAACACCAACCCAGCATAGTTTGTTAGACCATTTTATTATACATTAACATTCCCACCCTGCTTCTGGTGTTCTCAAACAGGAGAAGCCAGATACAGGTGTAGGCATTAAATCACTGGCTCAAAAAAAGTAGAAACATTGCAGGTACCTAGCAAGGTAAGTGTCAAACCATGCTAAAACAGTTTGACATATTATACTGTGATGGTGCAAGGACATTTGTGGCACCATAACCACTACAGAAGGAATGTTACTGTATTTTTTTAGAATAGAAGACACACCAGTATGCAATATTTTAACTAGAAGATTAGAAGGAAAAAAAACCACCATTATAGTAATTTTAGTATACTTTAGCATATGGGCATAGAGGATGTAGCACAGAGACGCCATTAGCCTGGGGAGCCCGAACTGCACAGGGAATCCCGGGCCCTACATTCGATTTCCGATATATATATGTGCACCTGCGGGCCCCCGGCTACCTGCACACCGCAGAGGGTGTCCTGCACACTCCATCTCCACTTCTCAGCTGCTCTTCTCTCTCCAAGACTCGCAAGCTGCGCGGCTGTCAGAGTGTTTCCACGTGTTACCATGGTAACGTTCGCACGGCTCGAGAGACTTGGAGAGAGAAGAGCAGCTGGGAAGTGGAGACGGAGTGTGAAGGGCCCCCTCTGCAGTGTACAGGTAGCCGGAGGCCCGCACCATGCCACCGGGCCACCATGGAACGTGATCTCTCCCCTCCCTGCTTCTTACTTGTGTCCAGGGAGGGGGAAGATCACGTTAGATGGTGGAACAGTGGCATGGAATAAAATTTAAATAAAAGAAATATGCTCTTTCCCCGCCCCCTACAGTATGCAGCCCCACAACAACATTTACATTTACACACACTATTCGTTACACACACTACATCCTTACACAAACACATACACTACAGCCTTACACAAACACACACTCTACAGTCACTATACACACACTAAATCCACTACACAAACACACACTCTGCATTCACTACATCCACTACACAAACACACACTCTGCATTCACTATACACACTCTTTAGTCACTATACACACTGCATGTGCAAGTAAATAGATTGGTTTCTGTGCTTCAATGTACTTGAGTAAGCAGCATGCATTAATACTTTTTCCAACCAGTGAAATACCAGCCTTGTCAGAATTTATCACAAATCAGGGAGAATGATAATGGACAGCAATATGTTTATAATGTGTCACTCTCTCAAGGTGTGGAGACAGGACACACCATGCTTTTGCAATCATGGAAAAAAAATCTGGATTATTTTTTTCCAATGTATTCTTGCACCCTTGTATTTTAGAGTGTCATTATTAAATAAATATATGTGCAATTTTAAGTGATGTTACTATTTCTGATAGATATTGTACTTTCGTTTACAATTGTGGAATCAGAGTACAGTGGAACCTCGGAACTCGAACTTAATCCATTCCCGAAAGCTGTTCGAGTCCTGAACTGAATCAACATTTCCATAAGAATTAATGTAAAATTGATTAATCCGTTCCAGACCCCCAAAATTACAGCATTTTACAAAGATCACTCTAATCACTCTAGAGATCACTCTAATAATAAGCACCTTACATTTATTTGAGTGGTTCCTGCCTTTCAACTTACTAAACATTTACTGTTGGCCATTATTACAATTATTTGTAATAATTGTCTGACTTGAAAATGAGACATGGCTCTTTGTTGTATGTTCGGGTACCGAAGATCGTTTGCTTACCGAGCCATTTTTTACTCATGGCTCTTTATTGTATGTTCGGGTACTGAAGATCGTTCGCGTTGCGAGAAATGTTTTACTCAAAAAAAATTTTGACTTCCAAATTCCTAGGTTCCACTGTAGATGTTGTATTTTTAATCTGCTAAATCATAGAGAAAGCATAGTGTGGGAACAATGTAACCAAAACATCACACAGTTCTTTGATTCCCCTGGCCCTTCAGCAAAGATCCTGATTTGTGTGATACAAGAAATACTGACATAGAACATGTTTTATTTGCTTCACTATAGCAGCTAAATTCAGAAGCAAAGAATATTACAAAAGGTAAGTGCAAATTAAGTTACAATTATAATTAAAGGAACATCCCTCTGCTCAAATAAGAAACACTGTTTAGTATATATACCCTATGAAACAAGTATATATTTAATTGTGCATTTTTGTAAATTGAGGGTATATCTAAAAACAGCTTGCAAAATCTGTAGATCTCATTCTGAAGTCTTTACAAGCCCTCCCATTCTAACCCAGCTCAGACTTTCTGTGGCTGTCCAATCACAGACTCTCCAATGCAGCTCAATGAGAAGTCTTTGCAAGGCAGATGTTCTGAGCAATTGCCTGCCTCTTGAGTTTAGCTCCACTGAGCTAACCAAACCAGGAAGTAACAGGACCAGTTGTCTGGTTGACAACCAGGTGTAATATAAGTTAAATTTTTTTTGAAATCTACACTTTTTGTAAAATTAAAAAAGAGAGCATACTCTTCACAAATAAACCATTTCATCAAGCTGAGGTGCTTTAGGGTTGTAAAGTGTCACTTTCGGACAATAAAAAATAGATATGTAATGCTTTCTAAATTCAGGTATGTCACCACCTGTGTTTGATGTATGATTAACACTATCTTTAGTTAACAAGTGGAACACATAAGAACTTGGCTAAGTCTGTCCCACAGAGATGGCCCATTAAAGGGGCATTCTGTAACTACGTTTGAAGAGGTGAGAATGTTTAAATGCCACTTCTCCCGTTCTGGAGAAAAGCAGTTTTGCTATTTGCTATTAGTGAGTACCAGTAAATGTCATTTGGCAGCCATTGCCAGCAGAAAGATCCAGCTGATTGAAGTTAAGAAGAAGCTCAAGAGCTCCCCCTGCCACAGAAATGTAGTATTTTTTTTTAGCCTACATCTATGAAGCTAAAATAGCCAAATTGTGGAGACTTTTTCCAAGTCAGCATTTTTGCCTACGTTTTGCAGTTTGTTTTTTTTTCTTCACTAAAATGTGAATAAAGGCTTTCTGTGATCATGTGAAAATTATGCATTTTTCCAGTCTTCTCTGCTGTGGGTCAGTAACTGAATAACTTGACAAAACTAATGTATTAAATCAACTGTTAGCTTGCCTTTATATTATAGTCTTCATTGTTGGTTGCCTTTACCTAACACATCTGCTATATTGAATGAGTTAAACAGGTAGTCTGTATGTGAAACAGGTGTATTGGATAGTAAACACCTATTTTCAGATAAGTAAACAGGGCGATGTCCACATAGGAATTCCTGCAGGCACATGCTTTTTCTTTATTGCAATTTATTTATGCAGAATATAATTTCATAGATAACATTTCACCTAGAACAAGCAGGTATATTTTATAGATTCCATAATTACCTTAAAAAAAAATAACATTTGTGTGAAATACTGAGTTATTCACTAAAATCTTACATTGAACTGGCATTTAAAGGAAACTCTGTTGAAAATTTGATGTTGGCTGATGTGTTATATATATATATATTTATAAATGTGTGTGTGTGTTTTATGTGTTTTGTGTGTGGTGTGTGTGAGTGTGTGTATATATATATATAGTATAGTGAAAAAAATACACTACATTTGTTGTTGTTTTTTATCTTTGCTTGTGTGATAGAAACAACTTAATTGTTAAAATATTTATATTACGGGAAGCTTAACTTTTTTTTTTTTTTTTGAATAAAGTTTATTAGTGAGCACTTGTGTACGTGTATGGCTGGCCAAAATGATTCACAGAAAGATGTCTGTAATTTTAATACTATATGTACTTTTTACATTTATTAATGCTTTTCTTAGCTAAGACAAAAATAGGACAAGTGGGCATGGATGTATGTAATCGCCAAGTGTCATGGTCAAGGCAGTCCATTAGAAAGCCTGATGGTCCCCCAATGCATTTGAGATGGCGTGCATGCCTTGTCTCCTGGTAGAGACAATGTACAAGGAACTTTTGGTACTCTACAGAAGCCTTTGTTATAGTGTGGTGAGAGGTACCCATAAAATGTCCAACTTCCATCATCCCAGATCTATGCTCAGTTCAATTTGAAAGATTTATTTAAGTAAGTCAGAAAGGAGGGAGCAAGTGGGGAAAAAATGTCCCTTTTAAATGCATATGTTTTTGATTTTGTTGTTTAAAGACACATTATCTCTTTACATTTTCTGAATGTCTTTCCATAAGAACATAAAACTTCAGACTTTGAACACCTGCTTTGAATCTCAACTCCCTTATAATCGTGATACAGAATACATGTTCCAGATCTCCCCCTTTCCATACATGTTAGTGTGATGGGTGGGAGTTCAAATTTAGCTTCTTCTCCAATAACCTCATTCACAGGGAATACAGTTATTCACCCTGGTGACCTTTAAAAAAACAACCTGAATTTCCACCAAATCAGTGTGTCTTGCATCAAGAGTAATGTATAATATTGTCACACACAACTGTGCATTTACTGAAAAATTACTAAATAACAATATTATTACAGGATGTATTTATTAAACAAAGAATTGAAAACCGAATATACAACATTTAGGCTAGAATGTCTCAATGCAACTCTATTTTTGTAAACTTTTGGAAAAATGTATATACATTTATTCACAATATAGTAAATAAAACTAATTCAGAACATGACAAAAAAAGATTGCAGCACAAAAACCATTACATCTAAGAGACGCATTGGTTTGGACCTCAGATCACCATAATTATTGATCACATGGAGGATAAGTGGCTTGCTGTAGAGGTTATGGTTCGAGAAGCAGAAGACACCAGTGCCCAGTGGACCCCAGTGATGGATTCAGGGGGGCCACTGGGCAATTGCCCCTCCCCCGAGAAACTAGTACAGAGCTCCCTCTCCTTTGCCTCGCCTCCGGCTCTCCCCTGCAGGGCCAGCACTATCCAAGCGCCAGCCCTGCTATGTGTCTTCACGGACTGGAGGGGAAATCGGAGATCTTCCCTCCGGCCCACAGGCACATTGCTGGCAGCTGGCAGGGGAGGGAGAAAGGACGTGGGGGAGCTCTGCTTGTAGCTCCGCCGGGTCTCCTCTCGTGAGGTCGGAGCTTTGCCACGGTTACCACGGCAACGTCCGAATCTCGCGAGAGTGAACTCTAGCCACAGGATCTGCAGGCCAGAGTTCACTCCCACCTGACAACCAAGAATTCTCCACTGGACCACCAAGGATTGACAATGTTTCCCCCTCCCTGAACAAAGGTAAGAAGGGAGGAGTGATATAAAATGTAATCATTTTTTAATTAAAAAAAAATTATATATACATTTTATTTGCTCCTACCTGCTACCCAAAACACAATACCCACTCACAGACAGCACTCCTCACTGCACCCCTCAATCACACACTGCCTCCCCATACACACATTGCCCACCATACACTCACTGCCCCCCTCACACACACTGCACCCCTCACACACACACACTGCCCTCCCATAGTCACTGCACCCCTCACACACACACCTCACCCCCACACTGCACCCCTCACTCACACACACTGCCCTCTCATACACTCACTGCACCCATCACTCACACACATTGCCCTCCCATACACACACTGCACCCCTCACACACACACACTGCACCCTATCACTTACACACACTGCCCCATACACTCAGAGCGCCCCTCACACACACTGCACCCCCACACACACTGCACCCCTCACACACACACACACTGCCCCAAACATACACATAATGCACCTCACACACTACACCACTCATAGACACACACACACTGTATCCCTCTCACACACTACACCCCTCATACACACAGACACACACTGTACCCCTCACACACACTGTACCCTTCACGCACAGACACTATTGCCCCTGTTCCCTACTACAAGCCCTAACACCTACCCCGACAAACCCCAGATAAGTTGTCAAACTGTTCTTAAACGGTTTGACTACTTACTCTGGGAGGGTGCCACGACACTCCTGGCACCATAACCACCACAGTGAGCTGTAGTGGTCATTGAGCCTGGATTGTTTCTATAAATAACCATGCGCCCCTCCCGAGGATTTGGTTCTGGATCCGCCCCTGGTGGACTCAGGATAAAGAGTCAAACTATTAGCAAATTATTTGATTCCTTATGTTGGGAAGGGTGCCAAGGTACTGGAGTGATCCAGGGAACATATGGTATACATTGCAAACTTTGTAACACTTTAGCTGTTTAACCACCCTGTAACTCCACATCATGGGGGCGTCATTAGCCATCATAGGATGAGTTCCTGTCAGGAAAATGTCAATTTAGTGCGCATTCAGCACCAGGCAACCAGTGGTGACATGCCCCTTCACCCACTGTTCAGCCCCTGTGTCCCTCAGCTTGAAGGGCAGCACTGTCAATACAGGATGATCAGGCTGCAGGGAGAACTTGGCCTCAGTGCAGGAACAGAGATACATTTTAGCTATATTATTTTTATTTTTTTTACTTGGGTGGGATAATTTCCAATATTGGAAAGGCAACTCCAATCAAAACTAGGGTTTTGGTAAAAAAAAAATTTTTAGTTTGGAGTGACCCTTTAATTTTAATACTGTTACTGGCAAATTATTAATCATAGTTTAAACACAACTTTTGTAGTTCCCAAGTTTGCCATATAGAGGAGGTCATCCCTGTATTAATTTTTATTACTTGTACTTGGCAGTGGGTGGCAACAGGTGTTCAGTTTTTTTTTCCCTCGCACACAGCTTTATTGGAAGCCAAATCACAACGGGTAGAGGTACCACAGAGGCTCCTAAAGCTTAATGATATCAGTCAGCTCAAGTGATGATGAGGTGTAGTTAATGTTTAAGTAACAGATTTTTTGTGTGTAGTTTATCCTGCCTTAGCTGCTGGAACTGAATCCTTTGCCAAATAGTTCTATTTCCCTGGACCTGTATATAATAAAACAAATGTTCTTCTCTTTTTAAACTAATCGTCTGGATTACTGTACAGTTGTGATTGACAGAAAGTGACAGAATTATCCCACCCTACTAGTGGCTGTGTGGATGTTCAAGCATCATAACTAAAATTAGTTATTTTTGGCACATTAGAATTTAACTATAAATGACTTTCTCCATATTTCATGAATCTGTGCTGCTTGGTGTATTATAGAGAGGGACTAAAGGCCTTTAAGAGTCATATAATTTTTGGCAGACAATATATATATATATATATATATATATATATACTTATCCTCCATGTGATCAATAATCATGGTGATCTGATCTCAGGTCCAAGACAATGCGTCCCATAGATGTAATGTTTTTTTTGTGCTTCAATCTTTTTTTGTCATGTTCTGAATTAGTTTTATTCACTATATTGTGAATTGTTTTGAAACGTGTGTATATATTGCTTTTTTGCATACACACACACATATTTATCCTTTTATATATATATATAACTCAATATTTTAAGATAGATAGATCAATGTTCTGTTATTCATTCTTTATTAGTTCACTGTTTATTAAATACAATTTGGTGTTCTCTTATTCCCTTTACTTAATTTATCCAACACTTGGGATATCGTGAGGAGTATATGAATTTATAATAACTAATTATGATATAGTTAATGCATTAAGGTAAATCTTATATTGTGGAGTTCTGGAATTATCGTTATAAACCACAGGCAGATAGCAGCTGCAGCCCTTAACCCCCTCACTACCAAAATTGAGCATACACATTTTTTTTTGCATGTATTTTGTAAGGAGGAAGTTAGTCAGTAAAACCTCTTTCATCCTCATTTATACTCTAGTAATGATTACCAACCTGTAGAGGAACACATTCCTCTGCATGAAGCCACTAATAAATTATATATAATGCCAGCAAATTAGCTGAAAATGTAAGCTCACCTCCTGCTTTTTAAACAGGTAGGAAGTTTCAATAGTTCATATCATTCCTACAGACAGGTATTTGCGGTCCATAGAGTGATAAAGATTGCCATAGTAAAGAATTGGGAGGCAAGTGCGAATGTGTGTCAAAGCGCAGCACCAATCTGTATCTCTTCATAGAGATGCTTTGAATCAATCATCTCTAAGGGGAACGTTTACCACCTCCATGCAGAGAGTGGAGAAACTGAATGCCAGTGCAGCCCACTATGCAGAAGTGACACAGGAAGACCTCTAGTGGCCCTCTGAGTGACTGCCACTAGAGGTTTTACTAGGCACCAACGTAAACAATGCCTGTTCTCTAAAAAGGCAGCATTTACTTTGAAAAGACTGCAGTGACAATATGTATTTGTTCTTTTTTTACCATAGTATCCCTTTAAGTGTAACTTTAATATCAGGCAGTTTAGGACACATATTAGGGATTAGGGGCTATGCATTGTGGTAGTCAACCTGTGCATTACAGGCAATAATACATTGATACATTTAGTTCTATAATGTTACCATGTAAGACATACTTTCATCGGTTAAAAACATCAGCAGGGTTATTCAAAATAAGAATGCCCCCAAAATGGATTACCAGAAATAATCCATTGCCTTCAGGGAGCTCTCCAACTGCAAAATCCTGCTATGTCCTCAAAAATGTGTATTTTTCCTGTGTTCCCATTATTAAGGGGATGATGCTTATCAAATTATGGAATTGCATTGCCTATTTTTTGCAATGTGGACACTTTAGTCAGTTGGCCTGGGAATCTATTAACACGTTTACCGCAAACTGGCAAGGTACTGGTTTGCTGCATAGAACACAATAATGTATCCTGAGCTTCCTAAATTTGATATGACCATGTGTGACTGAATGAACCTACACCAGACAATGACAAAATGTTTTCATTTTAAATTTGCAATTGCCTCATACCATCCCTCATGCAAACATGCAAATCTTTAAAGACGTATCCTTGGCCAGAAATGCTCAAAATATGTTTCCATGTTTCCTGAACACATTTCCTTTAAAGATAACTGCTTTTAACTGTTAGTGAACTATTGTCATTGAACATTAGTGTTGAGTGCAAGAATATTGTGGATTAGCAATGGAGTCTCACTTTACTTCAGTGCATTATGTGGTAATCATATGTACATGTTTTCTATAATGATTGTGTGGCTGAGGAAAATATAAGAAAATATAACATTGTCAGACTACGGGCCTGCATCAAATTAGCAAAAGAAAAATGTCTCCACTAAGGAAAACAATGGGAGATAATGTATAAAATGTTTAGTATTCTGAAAACTGGTCTAGAGTACTTAATGTGAGGCAGTCACCATGGAAACCAGAGGAAGCGGCAGGCATATTGTATTGGTGACTCTACCCCTTTTCCATGTTTGCACCATTTTTCTGAACATGACACTTTTTCTTTTTTTTTTATAAATAAACCCTAATATTTCCTGCCCTTACTATTACCACCATGTTTGTTTCTTGTATTTTTCTTGTGGGTTTTATTTTTCTGTGCATTTTGATAAAGGAATGTCTTTTCTGGTCATCCCATAATTAATACACATATTTAGTATAAATATTATTTTCATCTAACCACAAAAGATAGTAATGTTAGCTGTTCTTCTTATTTCAGAGTGGAGGCGGCCATTTTTTATTACGCGCCACAATTTTCAGTCCTTTAGTGACAGATACTGGTATATAACAGCAAGACAGATACAGGAAGACAGGAAAAGTCAAGCAGTGACCCTTATACTTACAGATCACCAAAAGGCTTGTGGAATTGCGGTGTTGTCTTCTTCTTTTTCTTATCCTCCCCTTCCTCCCAGTGGTAGAGTTAATATTAATCATTCTGAATAGGCAGTGTGATCCCAAATTCACTATTTTGAAATACACATATGTTTTACTCTAAATGTCTTACTCGTCAATAGGTATAAGGCAAAAGCATCCTTTGGCTCCAGTCATGCCCAAAATAACAAAAGTCTGTCATTTCGAATGATAGGAATTACATACGGAATACATATTTCTTGTTTATACATTGTATCTTAATTAATTTTCTTTTAAAGGCTGCCAGTAGGCATACAATAGTCATTTCCATTCTAATTTGAATCAGCATTGTGAAGCTGTGGGAAATTACTCTGTTAAAAAATAAAAATGGTTTATGATGTTTTCAGTTTCATAAGAAAAAACATCAAATTGATGTAATAATCTAATTTGCCTTGCCTTTTTGGGTTACGGATAGAACGTTAAAAGAGGTCACTGCTGGGACATAGAATTTATAAAATCCATTAAAGAAACACCGTTTGTGGCTTGTATTTGTTAAGGGGGGGGGGGAGGATAACCAAACCAACAAAGTAGTTGAATGAGATCAATGTTAAACGCGCATCCTTTTTGTACACCAATTGCTGTTGAGTTGTAAATGTGCCACAAATCGCTGTTTAGTGAATACACTTCTTATTGTACGTGAATATCACCATTAAAGAAATGCTATAGTGTTCGGAATACAAATATATATACCTAACACTATAATGTCCCTTCTGCCCCATGATCCCTTTCTTTCACCTACCTGAATACAGCGTTTATGTCCCTCATCAGCTGATGGGGGGAAGCTTAACACAATGCTTTCGTATGGGTTTTGCGTGATGCTGGATGCCCTCATGCACAGCGTGAGGTCATCCAGCATCGTTTCATGGAGTCAAACTCCATGAAACTGCAGTGATTGTATGGTAGACAGTCACTAGAGGCAGTCTTAACACTGCAATGTAAACATTGCAGTTTCTTTAAAACACTGCACCCAGACCTCTTCAATGAGAGGAAGTGGTCTGGGTGCCTAGAGTGTGCGTTTAAAATTGTATCATGCATGAAATCTAAAGCCTAAATACAATAAAGGACAACAGTTATGATTGATTTAAAAATTGGATGTGGATTTCCTTTTGTGAAGATAACGTTTGATTTTAAAGGGACACTGTAGTTACCCAGACCACTTCAGCCCATTTAAGTGATCTGGGTGCCAACTCCCATCACCCTTAACCCTGCAAGTGTAATTATTGCAGTTTTTATAAAATGCAATATTTACATTGCAGGATTAAGTCCTCTTACCAGACAACCACTAGAGGGACTTCCGGCTTCTTAGACAACTTTTTGTCGTCTAAACGACCCTGGATGTCCCTACGCTATGCATGAGGACCTCCAGTGTCGCTGGAATCCCCATAGAAAAGCATTTAATGCTTTCCTTTGGGAAGGTCTAATACGCGCGGAGTGGGAGAAGCGTGGATTCATGTAAGTTTCTGAAGGGGTTTAACCCCTTCAGCGATGTGGGATGGGGGGCACTCCAAGATTCTACAGTGCCAGGAACACAGGTTTGTTTTCCTGGCACTAGAGATTCCCTTTAACAATTTGTTGTGAAATCGTAGCATACAAATTAAAAAAAAAAAAACTTTACAAATATTTGCAAAATATATGTTAGTGTATGTGTGTGCTTGTACAGTCACATGCTTTTTCATAACAAATTGTTATATCTCGGTTCTTCTGTTCCTAGGTATGGGCTGAGTATCAGTACCTTATAATTTTGAATAGAGCACCATCTACTGGTTCCTATTTTTTTTTTTTCAAGCTTTTGAAAATGCTGAAGACAGTATAAAAAGGCTTACGTTTGGTAAACTTTTAAAAGAGAATCGATACAGTTTTGAGCAGGAGGGAAATTGTTTAACACAGCGCTAACGTTTAAGGAATTGAAGGCACCTGTAAGGCTGTGAATAGGCTGACAGATAAGTCAGTTGGTTAAAACACCATCTGTAGAACCTGTTCGTAAAATAGAGTTGTAGGTCCTATTCTTGACTGCATCCACCTTCAAAGGTCAATAAAATTAGTGGCATTAAATTGGATAGCAGTAACATTCTTTCCCTAATGTTTGACTTATAATCTCTGTCCCGGGGTCCTCTAGTTTGGAATAGTTGGTCTCTAAAAAGATGAGTTATAAGCTAACATGGTTAAACAAGAGAGACCCATGAAATAAGAGAGGGTATGATTCTCAAAGCAGAATGTGGGTGAGTCCCAAACAGTAGAAACCACAAAATACTTTTTTTTTTTTTTTTAAGCAAAGATAAAGTTCCCTTTGCAGAAGCATTAAGCAATTTAGCAACAATAAAATGTAGTTAATAACCAGGACTTTAGCTTTAGAAGAGGACATCACCTATTAGTCTGGCATGACTTCGTGTTCCTGCTCTAGGCCCTCCACTTCCTCTATCAGATAATGGTGTCTGCGCTAAAAACATTTTTTTTTTGTATTCTGGAAAGTAATGGATGAATTTAGATTTTTTGTTTTTACTTTTAATTACTTAATGGAAACAAAACACAATTTTTGTTGGACAAGAATAGTTTAAAAAAATATTGAATAATTAGTTACAATTACGAAAACAGTTTTGTAAATAAATAACCATTTTAATTAAGTAACTGGAATTTCTCCTTGCAAATGCTGTAAACTGTTTACATTGTCACTATCTGCTAGCCATCTATTCATTATCCCTAATGTACTCGTACCATCTATATATACCCAAACACACAGAAATGCACACACTGACAGACACACAGTCACACATTGATACATGCACACACAGACCCATTTTTACCCTCTCTCTCCTCTCTCTGCCTCCCAGACATCCTTTGACCCTATGTGTAACGGATCGCCTGGCACCCCGACTGGGTACCTCCGTTGAAGGATGCTCCTAGCGCTTCCTGAGGACTCCAAGCACTGCAGCAGACACCACAATCACCGAACCAGAGAAGCGTATACCTTCTCTCAAGCATATGAATGCTGTAGACAGTTGAATAGGAACCATACGAATAGGTTTACTCTCCTAGCAGTCAAACTGGAACAGCATACAATGAATCCTTCCCCCAATAATGAGACGACACTTCACTTTGAGGGTTAAAACAGGAACTCTCTGTACTGTCACATACAGTCTCTTTTATTCCCAATCCACAAACATAGTACAGCCCACAGGGCGTTACAAAACAACCAATCAATCCGTACAATACACCCAGACACTCCCACACAAAATCCTCCCCTCTGCATGTGATATGATTACTGAACACAATGGGTAATCTCATTATCACCGGCAGAGGAATACAGTTTTTACACAATATTTATAACTTCTAAAATATACATGTCACAAACATAAAACATACATTTTCATAATCAATCCATTCAGGGGAACAACATATTAAAAAATGGCACGAATCAGACCAGGGGTTCAAAAGTTAAGGGAAAGTCCTTTGTGACTAAATGAAGCATGGCTTTCCGGCCCAAACCAGTTTCAGAATCTTCTATCCTGGAGATTGAATTGAGAAGTAATTCAATTATCTCCCAGGACAGACACAAGACTCCATTAAGCACATGGTTGCAAAAAGACACAAAACACTTTAAAATACATAAAGTCACCTTTTACACATAAGACACAGACATTTCACATATCCCCAGATAGCTGGGATCTGAGCGCACAAAACTACCGAATAGCGCTCAGATCCTATTCACACAGTTCAATTGCCATGGAGCCGAAGTCTTTAACTACACGAATGGGCTCCATGGCATAGCTATCTGGGTTAACACATTCACATAAAGTCTGGTCCATAGTCCAAAGGCAAGAGGCGGGCAAGCAGCCCCCTCCAAGGACACGTGGCGAGGCCGGTTTCGCCACACTATGTGTCTAGCGGTGTGTATAGTTTCCTGAACTCTAAATCTAGAGTACTGGCAGCCCCAATTTTACTCCTTCAGAAAACTTACTCCGAGTGCTCTAATAAAGTCACGTGGGAGTGAAGGGACACCGCGGTTGAGCACTTTTCCACTGAGCATAGCCGCGTTCGTACTCTAATTCTGTGTGTTATGGTTACTGTGTGTGCATGACTCTGCGTATGTGTCAGGGAATGAATGTGCGTGCATGTGTGGATTTGTCGGGGTGTTTGTCGGAGCTTAACAGTGTGTGTGGAGGTGACTGTATGTGGGGTGGGGGAGCAGTGGTCAAACTACCATGGTCGCAGGGGTCACAACCACCCTGCTGGCCCCTGTGACAGTATGCCGCCGGAAGGTGGGGGTGCAGAGAGTCTCCTATCACAGGGGACCCACCTTAGGGCACCTCCAAATCGGCGCTTATCCAGTAAGGCATAGTAGGCACCTGATTACTTGGATGGCAGGTGCCTACTCTCCGGTGAGGGCAGGAGGCAGGTAGCACTGATCTAGCAAGGGAGCACTGATCCCTCTGTGATGCCGGGAGCCGGAATATGATGTCATTCTGGCCCCGGCATACTAAACAGTGTGTGGGAAGAGAGAGGAACTGCCAGATTACAGCACAGCCCCACACTGGAGCCCAGTGAGAGAACCCAGACCAGCTCTCCCAAAGGTAGAGTGGCTGAATAGGTAAAATGTATTTGTGAGAGTGTGCAATAATGTGTGAGTGTGTGTGTATGTGTCAGTTTGTGTGACTGTCTGTGCGTTTGTGTGTCAGTAAGTATGTGTCTGTCTATGTGTGTGTGTTTGTGGATGTGTGTGTGTTTGTGTCTGTCAGTGTGTGTGTCTGTCACACACGTGGGTGGGAGAGACACATGGAGGGGTTTGGGGGGTGGGAGAGACACAGGGTGGTGGAAGAGACAAATGGAGGAGTTGGGGGTTGGGAGAGAAGACGTAGGGGGTTGGAGAGACACATGGAAGGGCTAAGGGGAGAATGAGACAAGTGGAGGGGATGGGGGAATGAGACACGTTGAGAGACTGGCGGGGGGCATGAGAAACATGGATGGGTTGGCAGGGGGAATGAGAAACGTGGAGGGGCTGGCATGGGGGGGGGGATGAGACACATGAAGTGGCTGGGGCCTGGGGGCATGAGACACATGGGGAGCCCCAGGGAAAATTTTGCACCGGTGCATGGTGGTTTCTAGTTACACCTCTGGGAAGGTCACTGCACAGGGAGACTCTAGTGAAAAGAAGTCCACTTCACATTAGTCAGGGGCAATGATCCCAAATACTTGGTAGTCCAATGAGGTTACGATTTGGCTCAGTGTTTCAGCGGTCTGACATTCCTATTGTGAAAGAGTACTGAGCAGGTCTGTGAGATTTCTCAACTGCCCACACCGAAAAGGTGTCATCTCAGAGCTGACACTCTTCTAGTCTTCTACTTGCATCGATAACTTACTGGATTGATACACTCCCCAACCCCAATTGCAAATGAAAATAATTTGCAGTAACCAAGTTTTGCCTGCAGTTATGCATAATTCTGGTGTATGGAATGGAACATGTTTTGAAAATTGCGTATTCATGATCTTGGTAGTGAATGGGTTATTGTCATGTATTGTGGTAAAGTGATAAACACATCCATCAGACAGTTAAAAAAAACATTTATTTTTCATGTTATTAGCTGAAAATGAAAACACATGTATATGTTTGGAAACTGCCAAAAAATGCAAAATATATTACTATACACAATGATAATATTAATCTAACATCATATTAAATGCACTGTAGTCTCCTTACGTTTTATTTTGTAATTAATACAAATATACCTTTTATACCTCTGTTTAATATATCCCCTAGCTTACCTTTGCACATTTGATTACAAACTAGGAATTTTTACAAACTATGACTGCCAAGACATTTTTTCTTAGATTGTTGCAAAATGCTTCAAACTGTTATTTATTTTTATTTTTTTTGCCTTCTTTTGGATCAACAGAAGAAACAGATGTGAGAAATGGTGAACTTAATGGACGCAAGGCTTTTTTCAGCCTGTGGTGCTATGTTTGCACTGTGGAGATGGCCATCGTTAAAGGGCACTATAGTCACCAGAACAACTACAGCTTAATGTAATTTTTCTCGTGTCTATAGCCTGTCTCTGCTGGCATTTTAATGTAAACACTGACTTTTTCAGAGAAAAGGCATTGTTTACATTATTGCCTAGGGGCAACTCCCATTACAGTCACTCAGACAGCCACTAGAAGTGTTTCCTGGGTCAGTATATCCACGACCTGCATGGAGGCGCTGAACATTCCTCATAGAGATGTACTGATTCAATAGAGCCTATGATTTTGTATTTTACGTAATAAAAAGCAACGGTGTTTTGTTTTTTAAAGCGTACTTTAATTAGTTGCCCTGCACTGAAATAGTTCTGAAAGGAATCTTTATGATAACCTTCACCTGCAATTTGCAATAGAATTAAAAGGTCATTTGAAATGCTACCATGTGATTGTTTTAAAATAAGCCTTTCTTAACTTTTTCAGAGCTGAATTACAAAAACTGCTTAAAGCAGCATCTCAAATTCTGCCCCCACCCCCCAACACAAACAGACACATGTTGCTGAACTACAACTCCCGTGATTCTATGGCCATCTAACACTTTTAAGGGATTATGAGAAGTGTAGGCCCTCAACATCTGTTTGCCAGAGTTTGAGATCCCTGCCTTAGAGGGAACATTTAACCCCTTAAGGACACAACTTCTGGAATAAAAGGGAATATTTCCGTCATGTGTCCTTAAGGGGTTAAAGTACTGAATTGTAACAGTGCTGATAATTGCATCAATGAAGGTAAAGCACTATCGTTTATAAATTATTAGAGGATTGTAGATTTATGATCATTTCTCTAAAAAAAAGACAGTGATGCCTCTTTAAATTGCCAATTATGGGAGTCCCATGTTAAATTACAAAAAAATGGATACATGGTGGCTATGAATGAAATAGAGAAATTTGCTGCTTGTGTTCTTTGGTATCTTTCCAGTCCCTTTGAACATGCTGAATATACACATGCTGCACTTATATTTTCCATACAGTTCAACTTTACAGCTCTCTGGTGTTTCCTAACATTTAAGCCCGTGTTACTGCCAGGTTTGGAGTGTGGGCACAATCACAGCCCATGAATGCTACTCAGCAAGGTTGTTTTAAATAAAAATATTGTTTTATTTCTATATTGTGTTGTGTCCATGGACATTTATAACCAAAAAATATTTTATTTTTTTAAATTGTTATTATTATTATCGCAATTTATATAGCACCAACAGATTCCGTAGCGCTTTACAATATTATTAGAGGGGGTATTTAACTATAATTAGGACAATTACAAGAAAACTTACAGGAACAATAGGTTGAAGAGGGCCCTGATCAAACGGGCTTACAGTCTATAGGAGGTGTGGAATAAAACACATTAGGACAGGAAATAGCAATCAAATTAGGTGGGTGAAGCAGAGCTTGAGGAGAGAATAGAGAGCTGCCCTTTAGGAGAGAGCACGAGACAGGTATGTGAGGTAGAGGTTAGTCTGGCAGGCCATCGGCTTTCCTAAAGAAATGGGTTTTAAGGCACTTCTTAAAAGATGCAAGACTAGGGGAGTAGGCAGGCTATTCCATAGGAAGGGAGCCGCCCGCAAGTCCTGCAAACGCGAGTTGGCCGTACGGGTGCGAGCAGCGGACAGAGGAAGGTCACGGGCAGAGCGGAGAGACCGAGAAGGGGCATACCTATAGATCTGTGAGGAGATTTAAGAGGAGCTAAAATTGTTCAGTGCTTTATAGGTATGGTTTAGCACTTTGAATGGACTCCTATAGTATACATGAAGCCAATGTAAGGACTGATAGAGTGGTGAGGTGTGAGAGGACCAACTAGAGAGGAAAATCAGTCTAGTGGCAGCATTCATTACAGACTGTAGCGGGTCAATACGGCTATTGGGAAGACCAATTAGGAGAGAGTTACAATAGTCCATGCGAGTCCATGCGAGAGATTACTACAGCATGGACAAGCTCTTTAGTAGCATCTTGTGTAAGAAAGGGGCGGATGCGGGCGATGGTTTTTAAGGTGGAATTGGCATGATTTGACAACAGACCGGATGTGAGGCTCAAAGGTGACGCCAGTATCAAAAGTAACACCAAGACAATGTGCTTGTAAGGATGGGCTGATATGGGTACCGCCAATCTGAAGGGAGAACGAGAGAGGAGGATTAATACCAGGAGAAGGAAAGGCATGAAGTTCTGTTTTGGAAAGATTCAGTTTCAGAAAGCAGGAGGACATCCAGTCAAGAGGTGACACATTGCAGGACATCAGGGGAGAGGTCCAGGGAGAAGAGATATATTTGGGCGTCTCACTCTATTTATTTCTGCCTCCCTGTCTCTTTATAGATACCTAAGCATGCTTATAGAAGCATTAATAATAGGATAGAGAACCTCCAACAGACATTAATCATGGTCACCTATTACTGGGATTAAAGGATAATGAGAGAACATATAAGAACTTGGGAGTCACAGTTAATGGAAAAAGTTCCAGTCTCTGTTATAACTACAATGGGCGCAACTATTATTACAATTATTACTATGTGTGTGTTTAATTGTTATTTTTAGTAGAAAGTAAAATGCTAAATGTTTTTGTCCCCATCAATATTGAAACATAATCATAATAGTTTTCTTCTTGTACAATACGTACAGGCTTCATGCTACAGATACAGTCTCTCTCTGATTCACATTGTTTCAAATGGTTTAACAGAAAATGGAGGCTAGATATAGGCAAATTTGTCTCTCCGTACAGCAAATAATATGCCACAAATTCATACTATATATTATCAAAAATGATACAAACCCAAAAGCGTCCTTAGTAACCATCACGTTCCTCTGAATAGTGTAATGTTCCATAGTTAGTCTATACAGACTCAGTGCTAATAACAACCCTTAAAGAATAAAAATGACAGATTACAAGATCATCGTTATTCACTAAGTTTCGATTGGCCCTCTATGGAAAGGGGCAAAACCATTTGGCTGCATACGGAACTATTTGGACTTCAAAATCTGGACATTATTGATGCTATTCAACAATGTCCAGGTCTTGCAATTCAGTCCCTGAACAGGCTTGAATTTGTTTTAGATTTCATTCAAACTGATTGCCACTGTACAGACAAAATTTAAACTGAATGCGCCCCATTAAAATTAAAAGTCCCGCACACCCTTACCCTACTACAATGTAACTAATAGTAAAATAAAAACATATGCCATCTTCTATCTTCTAATCTTTTTTTTTCAGCCCCCCAAGGACAAATTAAAATACATAATGCCCTATGCAAATAATGAAAATAAACCAAAATGTGATTCAGATAGTGAATAACCCTGTATTTAACTCCATCGCTCAATTCAAATTTCAATCATGCACTTATTATACATTATACCCAGGGCTGCCATCAGAAATTGTGTGGCCCCTGACACAGCTCAAGGTCTGGCCCCCCCCCCCGGGGTCTTGCCCCCAAGTCCACCCACAGACCCGCCCCCAAGTCCCCCCACATGCCTGCACCCAAGTCCGACTACAGGATTGTACTGATTGTGGTGTGTGTATAGTGAATGTAGAATGTGTATAGTGGATGCAGAGTGTGTGTGTAAAGTGGATGCAAGGTGTGTGTGTGTGTAATGGATGCAGTGTGTATAGTGGATGCAGACAGGGCCGGCCTTAGGTGTTCAGGCGCCCTGTGCGAAACAATCTTGTGGCGCCCCCCCCCCCCCTCACCTGTCTCTGTTTGGACCCCTTCAAACTATTTTAGGAGCATTCACAATCTGTTGCCTCCACCCCCTTCTACAAAACCACTGCACCTCTTAACCAAAATCCCTGGCCAGATCTTCACCAAGCCCCTGGCCACCACTTCATCAAACTCCTGGCCACCCCTTACCCTTCATCAATCCCCTCCCACCCCTTTATCAATTCCTGCCACCCCTTCATCAGTCCCCTGCCCCTCTCATCAATTCCCTCCCACCCTTTACTCAGCCCTCTGCCCCTATTCATCAGCCGCCTGACCCCCTAATCAATCCCCTCCCACCCCTTTAACAGCCCTCTGCCCCATTCATCAGTCCCCTGACCCCCTCACCAATCCCCTCCCCCTTTTATCAGCCCCCTGACCCCCTCATCAGTACCCTCCCACCCCTATCACCCACCTGCCCCCCTTTAATCAGTCCCATGCCCCCCTTTTCAACCCCCTGCTCCCCTTCATCAGCCCCCTTAATACATCCCATGCCAAATAATCCAACCCCTGGCCACCCCTTCATCAGTCCCCTGCCCCCTCATCAATTCCCTCCCACCTATTTATCAGCCATCTGCCCCCATTTCATCAGCCCCCTGATCTCCTCATCAATCCCCTCCCACTCCTTTATCAACCACCTGCCCCCTTTAATCAGCCCCATGCCCCCCTTTTCAGTTTCCTGCCACCCTTTATCAGCCCCCTTAATAAATCCCCTGCCAATTAATGCAATCCATGCCACCCCTTCATCAATCCCCTGCCCCCCTTAATTAAATTCCTGCACCTCTTCAACAAAACCTATTTAATAAAAAAGAAAAAAAAAGTCACTCACAGTAAAGGCTGCTGCTCCCTGGACTGAGCTGTCTCCGCCGATTGAAGAGCACCGGGTGCCGCCTTCACTCACTGAATTGGATCCTTCCGCGGCTCCCTCTGATGACAGAGCACGTCGACGTTACGCAAGTACGCGGCATAACGCCCCCACGCTCCTCCTCCACCCTCCATACAGAAGTGGATTCCCGGCGGCGGCTCTCTGCTCATAATTTGCAAGTCAAGTGCAAAGCAGTATTATGCACTTGACTTGCACTTTAAATACAGAACTCGGCCGGCCCGCGAGCTGTGTTGGCCGCCCGGCGCCCCTGTTGCCATGGCGCCCTGTGCGGCCGCACAGCTCGCACACCCCTAAGGCCGGCCCTGGATGCAGATTGTACATTTGTGTAATGTATGAGGTTTATATTAGATGCAGAGTGTGTGTTTGTGTAGTGGATTTAGTGTGTGTGTATAGTGAATGCAGAGTGTGTGTTTGTGTAGTGTTTGTGTGTAAAAGATGCAGTGTGTATTGTGCATGCAGAGTGTGTTTGTGCAGTGTGTGTGTCTAGTGAATGCAGAGTGTATGTGTTAGTGTAGTGTTTGTGTGTATTAGATGTGGTGTGTATAGTGAATGCAGAGTGTGTGTTTGTGTAGTGGAAGTAGTGTTTCTATGTATTAGATGCAGTGTATATAGTGAATGCAGAGTGTGTGTTTGTGTAGTGCATGTAGTGTGTGTGTAGTGAATGCAGAGTGTGTGTTTGTGTAGTGCATGTAGTGCGTGTTTTATGTAGTGGATGTATTGTGTGTTTATGTAGTAAAGACAGAGTGTGTATAGTGAAGGCAGAGTGTGTGTTTGTGTAGTAGATGTAGTATGTGTATAGTGAATGCAGAATTGTTTATAGTGAAGGCTGTTTGTGTGTATTACATGCAGTGTGTACAGGGAATGTGGAGTGTGTGTTTGTGTAGTGCATGTAATGTTTGTGTATAGAGGATGCAGTGTGTGTTTGTGTAGTGTGTGTATATTGAATGCAGAGTGTGTATTTGTGTAGTGTGTGTATAATGAATGCAGTGTATGTGTTTGTGTAGTGCATGTATAGTGAATGCAGTGTGTGTGTTTTGTGTAGTGTGTGTTTAGTGAATGCAGTGTTTGTGTAGTGTGTGTATAGTGAATGCAGTGTGTGTGTTTGTGTAGTGTGTGTGTATAGTGAATGCAGTGTGTGTTTGTGTAGTGTGTGTACAGTGAATGTAGTGTGTATAGTGAATGCAGTGTGTGTTTGTGTAGTGTGTGTAAAATGGGGGGGCATTTTTATTTTAAAAAATATTTTATTTCTAAACATTTTGTTTTACTCCACTGGTGGTCCAGTGGCATGGACTCTGCAGAGGGGGCCCGCAGCACACTCTCACTAACCACTAACCTTCCCAGTAGGCAGCTACCCTGTCAAACTCTCGCGGCCTGTGTGCCGCGCGAGCGTTGCCATGGTAACCCATGGCAACATTCTAACAGCTGCAGAACTCGTGAGATTTAGACAGGGGAGCTGCTGGGAAGGTTAGTGAGAGTGTGCCTCTACAACAAACAGGTAGCAGGAGGGCCCGCAAGTGTGTGTGTGTATATATATCGCTATATATATATGTGTACTTAGAGCAGTCCGGGCCTCCCAGGACCGTCGGGCCTATGACAACCGACATGAAAAAAATATTTTTTTCATGTATGAAGTTTGGTCACTGCGGCAGCACCTTTCATGCAAAATGCAGGTCTTGGGTGTGCCCCCAATCCTTTCTCTGGGCCTATGACAACCGTCATGGTTGTCATGCCCTGATGGTGGCCCTGATTATACCCATTACCTAGACCATTCTGAACTAACAAGACTATATTTAAATATTCATTAGGGATTTGGTCCATGCATACATCTAATTTGTGTCACACATTCAAGGTCATCCCAAAAGTGCTGTGTTGGATTGAGGTCAGAGGGCTGTATAGCACATTAAGTAAACTGAAATCACTAACATGTTTGTCGAATCAGCTTGAGAGGACACGTGTTTTGTGCTGTAAGCATCAACATGAGAAAGGATGGATTTGCTAAGATTCAATTCTGTGCTGTGTCATTCAAACGATAGTCGATATTTAAGGCATTATGTGTGCAAAGCAAAAACTCTGCACCGCCATTAGTCTATACTACCAAATAAAGGAAGAATGGGTCCATGGATTATTGTAAAGTGCATCCATTTCTAAAGAAATAAATGCATAAGCGACTCCATAGTGAGGATAATGATGGAGAGATCTTCCAGAGTTGTTCTGAAGAGTGAATATTGTTCAGGATCTGTCTGCTTCCAGGTGGTAGTTTTGTATGTCGTGATTTTTGTTGTATGATCCTAGTGTGAATTATTTTTAATAGGCATTTTTATTGAAATGTAGCACTTTCATGATGTGTATATTTAATAATAAACCTTTTTTGAAATACATACATTTTAACAATTACAGTGATGTGGAAAAGTGTATGTAACTTTCTTTTTACTTTCAATAATTAATCTTGTTTAGAGGTCGAGAAGGAATCTCTTCGTAGTTTTTGAGTAATTGTAAAGCACTTTAAATTGTTTTTTTGCCTTCTTTTGGATCTTTTGCCTTCTTTTGGATCATTTGCCGAAACAGATGTGAGAAATGCTGTAACAAATAGTAGCTTGCATGTTGTTGGGAAAACTCGTACTATCTATTATGAGGGTAAAGTTTTAACAAAGGACATAAAAAAATATATTGAAAAAATAATGATTGAAGTCACTGGCCAAACAAATAAGCCATTACACCAATGAATCTCGGACACCTGCTTTTTTTCTTTTATAATCATACAGTTTTTAATTCTAACCTATGGCCCTTAAAGCAGGTACATTGTAAAACAGCTTATTCATCTCACCAAAAGTATTTTGTAAAGATACATTCTTTATAAAGTATCCACATTGACTGTATCAAATATATGATGAAACAAAATAGGAATTACTTTGTCTCCTGTTATGTGTAAACTAGAAGTTGACAAAATTTTGCAAAACGTGGCACTACCACGGTCAACTTTTGCCAGTTCCTACAGATGTTTGAGATGACTGTGGGATTTAGGCTGTTTCTTACAGATCACAAGACTTATTCTACGGAGGTTCCTGTGATCTTGCAGGATCCTCTATAAACATCAAAGTTTTACTTTTATGCAAGAGTATAGCACTGACCAGGCTCCTAGGGGATGAATCTCCAAGAGTTGAAAACAGAAGTTGTGGGAGAGAAGGTAAATATATCTACCCACCCCTGTACCCCAAAAGATGTCACCTAAGCGGGGTTTTGCTAAGAGTGCTGAAGGTGACAAAGTTGCTTTAAAAATGACAGCTCATGAGAATCATGTAATAATTCTACATAGTCCTATTTCACATCACTTGTATTCTATCGCATCTGGGTTTAGCTGGTCATGGGGAAACAGGAATTGTATTCTACCTGGGATGGCCTTGTTTGAAAATGTTTGTATAAAAAAATATTTTCACCTGTTACTGATCAAAAGGCTTTGACCTCCAAACAATGGCTACATTTTGCCAGTTTGCCTCTACACAGATATCATGGCCATGTAGTGAAAATCACAATGGTTTTATCTGAAGAAAGTCAAGAGGACATTCACTGAGGATGACATAATGCTTGACGCCCAAAGTGTTAGTTATTGAAAAAAACTTTGAGACAGGTTTTAAAAGCCTCGGATATTGCACGTTTTGAAAAAGCCAGGAGATTCTAAAAAAGTGACCTTGTTTCTCATTGCAGCCATAAGAGAGTACTTGTGGCTGCAATGTAACACGAAAGACGTTGTGTTTAAGCCATATTATTTAGTCTTCAACAGTTATTATTAGTTTTCAGGAGGTCATCCAGATAGTCCAGATGGATGTCACAATGGCTGCATTGTAGAGTTCCAAGAGGCTGATTTTCCTGATACATATAAATATAATAAGCTGATCGTTGCAGGACGTTTTGCTCTCAAATTGAGTTCAGTAATAAAACGGTTCACGTTTTTCAGGGTTGGAACCATAACTGTGTACTTTGTGCTGAAAGTGCCTTAGAGACATGTGTTCCTTTTCCAGGGATCACAGCACTAGTTTGTATGTCTCCATAATAATACTGAGTATGTTCTCATGTGAGCATGTAATGCTGGATTACTATTCTCTAACGTCATAAAGTTGCCTTACAGTAACTGGTACAAAAGGTTGCAGTTATCAAACATAAAGCAAGCCTCTAATGGGTCTAGAGGGTGAGTAAAGCAAGGACAGGAAGAGAAGAAAATAGTAGGGGAATGTGGAAAACAAGAAAAAGGTTATGAAAGACAGTGGGATTGTGGTGGGTGAGAAAGGTGTAAAGTAATCCAGGGGTTTCAGATTTTCTGAATGTTTATTATGGTGTTATGAATACGTGCGACAAAGTTCCTCTAGTTTAATGTGTACATGGGCCATATTTTATTTCACACTTAAAGGGACACTCCACTGCCCAAATAAAAATCTAATTATGCATTTTTTTCACTTGGGTTATAACTAAAACAGCTTGCAAAAGCTACAGCTATCTTTTCTGCAGCCTTTGCAAGCCCTCCCATTTTAACACCACCCCGTTTTTCTGTAACAGTCCAATCACATACTTTCCAATGCAGCTCAATGAGAAGTCTTTGTACGGCAGATGCTCTGGGCTATTGCTGCCTCTTGACTTTAGCTCCACTGAGCTAACCAAACCAGAAAGTAACTGGACCTGTTGTAACCAGGTTCATTTATAAAAGTTGAATAAAAAAATAAGACACTTTTCACTAACAAAGCACTTCGGCAAACTAAATGTTTCACCTGACACTGCTTCCTATTTGTTAGTCAAGAGTTCATTAAAACCAAATGCTCACCCCACTTTGTGTTTTTATATTATTTCTGTCTTTTGCCAAATTCCCATTTAGTATATTTATTTCTTTTATTTTCTAAAACTTTTATTTTATTTATTTTTTTACAGGGGAAACAAAGAATGCAAGTAGACACATTTTCAATTTGACCTCATTGACAACATCAGAAAACATTCTTTCTGCTACACTGCATTATTATCTTGGAGACTTATTTAACACTAGCCATCGATGTCCTCATTCTCTATTCTGCCCTCGCCATGGACACAGGAAACATGAAATCTCGATTGATCTAGCTGTTTGGAGTTTAACATCTCTAGAAAAACAAATTCGTCCTTTGGGTAATTTTCTCATCAACATTTCCACGTCATACCGGGACTTTCCTTCTTGGCAATGGAAGGACATCACTCAGGTTCTTCGCAATGCTAAGCAACATGGCGAGACTCTCATTGGCATCAACATGACAGTAGATATGCCAAATCAAAGACAGAGACATATCTTAGGTCTCAAACCATACATATTGGTTTACGCTAATGACTCTGCCATTTCAGAGCCAGATAGTGTTGTTTCAAATTTACAAGGAAAACGCAATCCTCTCGCCCACAAGCCGTATCGGAAAGCAGGACCTGTTGAGTACCGGAGAAGACGATCCACTGACATACTTTTACCCTTACAAAACAATGAGCTCCCAGGTGCTGAATACCAATACAATGAGGATGAAGAGGTATGGGAAGAAAAGAAACCGTACAAAAATCTTCAAGTTAGGCCGGCTGACAAAGGCAAAAATAAGAAGAAGCTGAGGAAAGGTGGGCGGCAGAAAACCCAAACTCTGCAATTTGACGAACAAACACTGAAGAAAGCAAGGAAAAAGCAATGGAACGAACCTAGGAACTGTGCAAGACGCTATCTGAAAGTAGATTTTGCAGACATCGGCTGGAGTGAATGGATTATTTCCCCCAAATCCTTTGATGCCTATTACTGCTCAGGTGCCTGCCAGTTCCCAATGCCAAAGGTACTGTAAATATTTTAATAGTATTTTTACGCTGACTTTTATATCTATATATATTTACATGTAGTGTTGGGCAAGAAACTGTATCTCCTTTTTATGAACTGTATGTTTTTTTTCTAATCAATAAAATATTCCAGCTGTTTTATTAGGAAGTCCTCTGAAGCCATAAATAAGTAATATTTTATGTCTGTTCTAGAAGTGTAGTTGTTAAAATAGTGAGATTTAAAAAAAAATAACTGAAGTTTATATGAAGGAATTTCTTGTACACTATCCAAACATTAATGCTTTTCTAGCTAGTAAAGTATGACCTTTTGTCCGTTTATTGAAGTTCACATTCTACAACTTTCTGTGTCCAGTATTTCACACTTTAACTTTTTTTTTTTAGTTCTTGTGCTCCAAGTATTTGGTCATCGCTAGACTTGATCATATTTTTTTGCTTTCAACTTGTGAGGTTTTGATGCAATATGCTGTGCGTCTTACTGGTCTTGAACAAACATTCCAATGCGCTCATAAAGTCAGAGTAGAATGGAAATGCTTTTGAATAGAAGCACAGAATTAATTTATAAATGACACAGAATGTTGTAATCTGTGTATATACTCTTATAAATGTGTGTTTGCTGACCTCTTTCTATCATCACAGAAGGAATATCAACAGCAAAGATAAAAAATTCTATTAAAACAGGACACATTTTCAAAACAAAAAAAAATATTCTTATTCATTAATTCATGTAGTAGTGTCTAACATTCTTATATTTTTATTAATGTAATTACAGTGTTTCCTCATGATGTACATGTGTATAAAAAAAAAGAAATGTAATTACTATGCCACAGGCAGCAAATCATATACATGCAATTTTAGTAAAACATCTGTCTTTTGGCAACTACTTAATATGTATGTTAAAGGCACCAAAATCATTTTAGTTTAATAAAGAGGTTTTGGTTTAAAGATAAGGCCCCTTTCAATTATCAGCCATTTAGCTGTTAAATTACATTGTTTATGCAGCCTTGTCCCCTGACTGAGACTCACTCAGTCTCCCTACACACTTTTTGAAAAGTCAATTTTTTACCTTCCATTATTGCACAGTGTGTTTAATTTAGATTGTTTTAACTCTGTCACTGTTACCTGCCTTCTACAGTTTACATGAACCTCATGTGTGTGATTCAAGTTCTATTAACAGATCGAGGGGTGATAACTTCTAGAGTAAACACAATGGGCTATAAGATTTGATTACAAATAAAAACATTTTTGTAATGGTTTACTGTGTGAGTCACAGTCTGAGGAGGTGAGGATAGACCATCATGAACGGAAATAAAATTACTCCTAAATGGCAGATAATTAAGCAGTGAGACTTTAGGGAATTTGATTTACGCACCAAAACTACTGCATTACGCTAAAGTTGTTTTGGTGCTTTTCCTTATCTCTTTAAAGAAAAAAAAATGCTTGACGGCCAGCTCAGTTCACGAAGTGATAACCCAGATCCTAATCTGCCCATAATTCCAATCTTAATCAACAACAGATATAGCGATAAAGGTTTTCTGCCACATTTATTTACCAAAATTACACTTGATGTCCTCCAAGTCCTTTGAAACTGACTCAATAAAAAAAAAATATCTGTTGCCAAGGAAATCAGATATGTTTTCAAGAAAACAAATATAAATGAGAAATACAATTATTTCCAGAAACTTTTTTTTCTGAGGTGCATGCCTTTCAATCTTTTAGATGTTACTTTTTTATTGTATTAGTAGAATTATTCCTGTAGAATGAAATTATGAATTGGCTTCAATTCTCATTTGTGACATGGGGTTGGGTGTACTTGGATATTACATATGTTTTCAAAAAGTAATATCAAAGTAATAAAGTTTACAAGCGTAGAAATTCTGGATGTAATTTTTCCATTAGGTCAGCTAAGTGTCCACCTAGTGGAATGGTGGCTACAGGTTAACTACAGGTTAACTAATATAATGAACACAAACCTTCCTATGGGTTAATATAGTTTCTTAACATTACATGTAGAAACACATGCAACGTGAATTAATAGACTTATTTTTCTGTACTGTACATAGAACGTGTACATTTATAAAGAAAGCAATCTGATTTACTTCTCAATATAGGTCAAAGTCCGTTGAAAAATGCTGCAATACTATGACACTAGATTATAACAAGTCTTACATTTAGTTACTTCCTGGAATTTGAAACCAGTTAGACCAGGTTAATTACTATGAACACAGCTGAAACAGTTCTTTGCTATTTTGTCTTGAATGTCTCAATCTTTACAGCTACTTACATCTTTCGTGCTCTTCAAACACGATTCTTTAAATTGTTGAACTGTATTCTTTATGTTGACTACCTTCAGAGGCTCAGCAGTCTCAATAATGTATAGCTTCTCGGGACAATCTATCTATCTGGATGTGATATCTAATTTGTTATAATGTAGCTAAAACGAAAGTTTTTTTCTGCAAAAATATGAAAATTGTAAAATTGTTATGGACTATTTTACATTCCACTGTAAAATATTGGTGCCAGGGGAAATTTTGTCTCAGCCATTTCACCCTTCTAGGTCCCTAAACTGTATTTGACTTTTGTCTCTCCTAAATATAATCAAGATTGCAAATTATATAATGACTTGCCAGCACACAAAAGCTCAGATGTAAAAATAGACGGGGTTATATTTCATCATTCATCTCATATGAAATAAGGAACGATGTGCAGAGTCAAGAAACGTTTCATCTGTTACCTCCTCCTTGACAGATGATGTTCCATGACATTCATGATATAATTTGCCATACCCCTTTTCAGGAAAGGATTAATCTCGATATTGTAACCTTTTTATATAGATAGATGGAGATATATAAATAGCCTGATGATAAATTAATAAATCGATGGATAGATACATCGATCGATGGATATGCTTAATGTATATTTTCCTGATAGCGTTGGACTTTTTTTTTAATGTGCTGTGTGATTTTTATATTTTTACAGTCTTTAAAACCATCTAACCATGCAACTATCCAGAGTATTGTGCGCGCTGTGGGTGTGGTACCCGGGATTCCTGAGCCATGCTGTGTTCCAGAAAAGATGTCTTCCCTCAGCATCCTCTTCTTTGACGAAAACAAGAATGTTGTTCTCAAAGTATATCCCAACATGACAGTGGAGTCTTGTGCTTGCAGATAACATTGCACACAACTCGGAAAAAGTGAAGTGATCATCATATTTGCACTTTCGACGTATTGTATTCTAAATACTTTCCAAGCAAAAACAGAAAAGTAAAGCGAAATATATACATATATATATAACATTCATGAATGCTGGTTATGAACCTCCACTAATTACCAGCTATAAACAATTGTGGAACAGTTATTATTAAAGCTGGTATAAACAGCACATGCAAAATATTACTTCTCAAAAAATAAAAAAGATTTTTCAGTGCCTTAGAGGAATTTTTTTTTTTCATATAGGTAACGTCCAAAGACACATCTATTTTTGTACCGGAGAAAAATAAAAACAGCTGTAGCTGTTCTTTTGTGCCTTTTGAATTTCATCTTTGATTATCCTATGAATCTGATTTCAAATAAATCCAATAAGTGGTAAGCCATTTTGCTTCATGAGCTTGCTATCTCACCTTACACCTGTCTTAAACATCTGTGACCAAATAATGAATAGAAATGATGAGTGCTACTTTAAACTGTTGAAAGAGTTTTGTGGGTCTTTGCAATTTCTTCTGAATAAATAGAAACTAAAAGGGACAAATCACTTTCAGTCCTGTGTTTCTGTGGAAAGCAGAATCGTAACATTTGTGTTGTAAGTTTTGTGCCATGTGAGTAAGTCAGTACAGAAATGTTGTAATAATTTCAACATTCATATTTTAGTCATTGTGTCCTGACCTCAAGCGGTCATTTTTTTTTAGGGACCTTGGCCATTATACATCAGAGTCTTGTATGAAATTTGATCATGCAGGACAAAATGCTTAATTATAAGTAATATGTTTTAAAAGGAATATGATATATAGGATTAATTTGCTGTAAAAAACAAACAAACAAAAAAACACCTCACAGAAAACAAAAATATAGTGAAGATAAGAGATTAAATAATTTTTAAATAAGTATAAATAAACGTTCATGAATTTAACTATAAAATATTGTTTTTGTAGGGCCACTATTTAGTGTTTAGACAATAAAGTCCATGTTTATAAAAAAATGTCAGTTACATTATATGCTTATGTATTATTAAATGTGTTACATTGAAATAACCGTTTCTTCTGTCGAAACTCCCCCTTTACTTTCTGCTTTTCTTGCAGCAGAATGTCTGGAGAAACATTAGTAAGTTTCTTAAGCTAGTTTTTATGAATGGTGAGCCACTGATTGTCTTAGAGCCTTAGCTGAATGCTCTAAGCCAGTCAGTGGCGCCCCTTGCCTGTAGTAGGCTGGGGCTTCAGTTTTCACAAAATGGACGTTGAGGGGGCAGAGCGAAACAGCACTGGAGAGTAGACTTTGGGGTTAAACTGTTTGTGGCACTTAAAGCCTACCACCTCAGCTGAGAAGCAGGGCCAGATTAAGAGCCCAGTGGGCCTGGTGCTGACAATTATGATGGGGCCTAATTACAGAATCCTAACGACCAAAAACACTAAAACAGTCACACCTCTCAAGCGTCATGTATCTGATGTAATTGGTGTTGGAGGGAAACTCAAAGGATGCAGCTATAAGAAAACACATACTCTATGCTAATCTCTTTATCTAATTTATGCTTTCATCTTTCAAGTAAATCCATACCCCCTAAAAGCAGTGTCCAGTGAAGCAGGAAGTCAATGGGCAGGGTAAAAGAGTGGGCCACTGATGCAAATCATGTGACCAGAAGTGCCAAAATGGGCAAACATGCCCAAAAAGGGGGTATGTGTGTCCAAAGAATTGGAAGGCCAGCCTGGCATCAGTGTCCCTATGTATCACAACATCAGTGTACCCATGTCACCCAGTCCCCATTTCTCCCAGTGTCCCCATGTTTCAGTGTGTCCCATGTTACTAGGATACTAGGGGACACTGAGAGACATGGGGACACTGGGAGACATGGGGGCACTTGTGGATACAGACATGGGGACACTGGGAGACATGGGGACACTGGGAGACATGGGGACACTGAGACACTATGGACATTGGCTGGGAGGCATGGGGACAGAGACACTTGGGGACACTGGGAGACATGGGGGCACTTGTGGACACTAGGGACGCTGGCTGGGAGACATGGGGACACTGGGAGACATGGGGACACTGAGACACTGGCTGGGAGACATGGGGACATAGACATTTGTGGACACTGGGAGACATGGGGACACTGGGCACTATGGACACTGGCTGGGAGACATGGGGACACTGGGAGACATGTAGACACTGTGTCCCTAGTGTCTCCGTGTCCTAATGTGTCTACCTATGTCTCTTAGTGTCCCCATGTATCACAGTGTCCCTGAGTGTCTCAGTGTCCCCACGTGTCCCCTAGTGACTCAGTGTCCCCATGTCTCCCTGCTGCCTTTCCCCTCATCCCTCACTTCCCTGAGCTGTAGTCTGTCTCTGCAGGCTGGGAGCTGCTGTCTGAACTCTCAGTGCTGTGCAGCTCCTCCTCTGCGTATCAGTGAGTATAGAGAGGCAGGGAGGGATTTGCTGTAACTTCCTATCCCTGCCTCTCTCCATACACAGTGACCCCTACTGGCCGGTGCTGGTATTGCAGAGTCCCATGTCGTTTATACTGAAAAAAATATTTGCATTTTTATTGCCGGTATTACTGCAATACCATCATGGCCAGGCAGCCTCAAATACCGGCTGTGCCTTAAAATACCAGTCAGGTGGCAAACCTAAGAGTAGTGTGTAAAAAAATAAAATAAAATTAAATTATTATTATTTTTTTTTAAACGGGCCTATTCCATAGGCTTGGGCCTGGAGATGCAGCTCTATCAGCCCCTATGTTAATCCGGCCCTGCTGAGGAGGTTACATCTTCCTTATTATGTGTGCAAAATAGTTTATGGGTTAGCAAGTTGGGCTAACTCTTTTGGCACACCAAAATTGATACAGGTACCTTTGCACCATAGCCACTGCTACACGTTGTAGTGCTTGTAGAGTTCTTTAAATGAGAGAATTTCTTAGAAAAATACCTGAAACATAATGCATGAAAAAAGTAAAATACTTTGCAATATTAAAAAGACACTGTAGGCATTCTGCACCATAAACACTTATGGTTATGGTGCCTGGAGTCCATGCTTAGGCTTGAGACACCATAATCTTTTTAAGATTTTTGAGTGGTTATGGTGCCTACAGTGATTCTTTTAGGATGAAGCTGTTTGTGATTAGTGATTGCTGCCTCTAAGAAATGAATATAATTTTCTTATGACTATTATAATAATTATTTTTGCTATTATTTTTACTGCTGCTGCGTGCAAAAAAAATCATACTAAGAATATGTTACTTATGCACCAATACAAGATTCTTATAAAATGATGCAACTATGTTTTTATTCTTACGTATGTACTTTATTAACAATTTCATAATAAGCATAATAAGCAAAAGTTGCTTATCTCAGAATTATGTAAAGTGAATATATACATTTTGTGCGAAAGGGGTAGTTTTTAGTAAAATAAAAATATATATATACTACTTTATCCATTTGGAACCCAAGTGATTAAATAGTTGAATGATAATGTTTGCAATAATTATTTTTGTCTGTTACGTTGCCTTTTCATAGTGATGTGTTGGAACTGAATTGTACAGTCAGTGTACATTGTAAAGTGAAGATCTGGATTGAATTAGACAGTGTTATTAAAACCACTTGTAAATTGTATACCCAGCCCAAGATTCCCCATAAGCTATTTGGGTATACCATGTTAATCCATAAGCTCTGCCATTTACGTACATAGCAATACATAACATGAAAATACACTGGCTCCCTAAATAGGTGGTTGCAGTCAGAAGATAAGCCACACACATCCCAGAGGCAAAAGGGGAACATATAGGGAAAAAAAGTGAACAAAAAAGTGTAATTTCCACTGGGTTATTACAATTCAGGGTTATTCAACGAGAATGGTTATGAATTCAAAGTGAATTTAAAGGTTTCAGTTTTGTTTCCATTTTGGCTAATTTAGCATAATGTATAACCACTTAAGGACCAAACTTCTGGAATAAAAGGGAATCATGACATGTCCCACATGTCATGTGTCCTTAAGGGGTTAAAGGGACACTAGAACAATTACAGCTTATTGAATTTGTTCTGGTGAGTAGAATCATTACCTTCAGGGTTTTTGCTGTAAACAATGTCTTTTCAGAGAAAATGCAGTGTTTACTTTACAGCCTAGTGATAACTTCACTGGCCACTCCTCAGATGGCTGTTAGAGATCCTTCCTGGGTCATGGCTGCCTAAAATACATCCAAACATTCAGTATCTCCTCCCTCTGCATGCAGACACTGAACTTTCCTCATAGAGATTCATTGATTCAATTCATCTCCATGAGGAGATGCTGATTGGCCAGGGCTGTGTTTGAATCATGCTGGCTCTGCCCCTGATCTGCCTCCTTGTCAGTCTCAGCCAATCCTATGGGGAAGCACTGTGATTGGATCAGACTACCACATGTCAGCAGACTGCTTGTTTTTCCTAACAGCATGCAGAGTTACAGCTTCAGGCTTGAATACAGTAAGATGTTGCTATATTTATGGAGGCATGAGGGGCTAGACGGTGGTTTTAACACTATAGGGTCAGGATTACATGTTTGTGTTCCTGACCCTATAGTGATCCTTTAAATTTACTTTGCATTCCCAACAATTCCCACTTTAGTGGATAACCCTGTTTTTGTTTAGTAATTCTACTCTCTCAGTACAGGTATTTAGTATGTGAGACAGTGAACAATTGTTCTTTTAAAGTGCTCTATAAACAATTACTATTAGCTATGTTGACAGTTTGCAATATGAGTTCCTTAAAAAATAAATTAACTTTATATGTTCCCTAACTAATTAATTCAAAAGGCATGGTACCTTTTTTTAAAAAATTCTTTATTTTTACTGTGCAAGGTAAATACAGGTATATGTGAAGTGCCACAACAGCACTCATAGAGTAAGCAACAAACATTCAATTCGGCACCTGGAATCTGCACATTTTTTGTTATTATTATGTTGGATCGAGCTAGACACAATTTTTAGGTATATAGCAAATAGATGATACGTTAAAACTATGTCAGTAAGCAATAATTCGACAATATACTAAGCTCTAGAAACTTTAACTGACAGCATGGGGTTGTTTAGCTAGAGTGAGAATCTAGGAGGAGTGTTAGCTTAAACAAAAGTTTAACGTTAGTACACTCGTTTTATAGTTGGGTTCCAGGCTGTACATGTATGTCTGATTATGTGAAGCTATGGGTTCTGCATTCAGTATAGGTTAGCTATACATGTGGGTGGTTAGGTAAAAACAGAGTTAGCTACATGCTTATGAGATACGAGTTGGGAAGTAGATAAAACCCCTACTGGGAAGCAGGTAATTGCTAGGCAAGCAGGCAGGCGCTTTTACTTCCCCATAGCTGCGCACACATGGCCGCTTTAGAGCTAAATGGCCGCTGCTACAAAGCATCACAGGTCTATGTATAAAAGACAAACCGCAAAAAACAAACAAAAAAACAAAACTTAGAGTCATCAGTTGATGTAAGACATTGTCCTTGTAGGGCTTTACGTTGGGGCTTTCAGCCTATGCCCAATGTCGGGAGGTCCCGGCCGCCGCTTCTACAAGTGTCTCTCTTGGAAACTCTGGGCAAGGTGCCTCCATATCTGGATCCAGATTTGATGGTGTGCTGAGGGGTACGCTTTTGTTTGGTCTCTCGATTTGCAGCGCTGGTGGCGGGAGGTCGCGGTGTGCTGCGCCAGGCACTGAGAGGTTGGGTTGGTGAGTGCTTTGCAGGTGTCGCTTGTAAGGGGGTCTTGCTGTTGTGTAGCTGCGAGTGGGAGCTTGCGTCTGGGAAACATGGCTTCTGTACCCGCCTTGAGGGCCGCAGGGATCTGCGCTGGGGTGTGGGAGCGCGAGCTCCGGCTCCCAGGAGACAAGGCCCTGTTTCCATCCATGCTTTGCTTCTGCTCCGATTCCCATTGGGAGCTGCTCTGGAGGTACGGGGGGGGTTCCCGCCTAGCTGGCGCCGGGTTGCCGGGCGGATCCATGCCGCCATTTGTCTCATCATCAGCCTGTAGGACTGCCTCCGGGTTTTCAGCTTTGTCCAGAGGTTGTCGCAGAGCCGGTCGTAGAACTCCTGTGTGTGTTTGGGAGGCCTGATGAGAGCACGTTGTGTTGTGGATCTTGTCTGTGCCGCCATCTTGGGTGGGCCTTGGCGAGTCCGCTTTGTCTTAAGTGTTGTCGCTTGTTCATGCTGTGCAGCAGGGGCATTCTTCCCCCGCAAGGACCGGGATATCCCCCGCCGGTCCAGAGGGGGGGGTAGCAGGGCTGCCGTGGGTGCTTGTCTGGGTGCGTGTCTCGTGTCGGAAGGTCGGCCGTCTCCTCCGGACCTCAGGCCCCGCTCCAGTTTAGGCCGCATGGCCGGCGTTGATTTTTCCGCCACGTATCGGTGCCGGGCCAGTACCATTTTGTGCCTTGCGTTCTGCTGAGTTGGTTCCCGAACACCGTATGCCTCTGGCGTTAGTGGGTCACTCGGTACTTGCGTGAATTTGCTCATTATTGCAGGAGCTCATGAGATGTGCAGCCGGCCATCTTAGCTGCCAGGCCCCGCCCCCGGCATGGTACCTTTTTGATCTCCTAAAATATTTTTTATTATATTCACCATGTCCTAAAATGTTGTAGTGATACGACTATTGACCTTGTACGTAATACAAATCTATCATGTTATTATTATAGCAAAATAAAATGATTTACCAAAATCTGGCTAGATATTGTTTTATTTTTTTAATTAATTTTTTTATTGTGTCCTCTTTTGAAGTAATTGCTATACAAATTCTACAACTACTGATTGGCTTGATTAGGAATCTGAACACGACAATTGAGGTAACAATAACTGATCTGGAGAAGTTTCTCAGCTTAGCTATAATCAAAGCTTGTCTGTTATTGTCTAAATATTGTCTTTCAGGTTTCTTTCTTCTAAAATTCAGAGTGTATAGCAATAACTTTAAAGCAGGACACGTTTTGGGGAGAAAACTAATAAAACAACAGCCAGACTACTTAATTTCTGTTTTTATTGTGTTATGTAAGGTTATGATAGAGATGAAACATTAAATGAACATTCCAAGCACCATAATAACTACCACATGCTAAAGTGGTTTTGGTGCCAGGAATGCCCTGGTGTTCCCCCATTGTAAGTAGTCAAAATTATTTTAGAATGGTTTGACTTCTTAGATAGACGCCTCCACTACACCTGCAGGAGAGCTTCAGAACTTCAATTAGCTCTCCTGAGCTAATCCTTGCATCTCATTGGCTGAGAGCATCAGAGAGCTTCCAGTTAAAGAGAAAGAACCAGTGGAGGCGGGTAACAGCGCCTGGTTGACTCCAGGTAAGATGTCAAACAAGTCACACTGTTCTAAAATGGTTTGGTTACTTAAATTGAGGGTGGGGCTAAAGTACTGTCTATCGTTAGGACATTGGTTTGTTATATAGGGTTTTTTTTTGTAGTTTTGAAGAGGAAGAGCTTTGTTTATTGTTGTATAGAATGGCCAGATAATTTCTTATATATAGGCCAAAACCGGAAACGTACGCTAACTCTGACTTTTTTCGACCCTCTGATTTTATATAGTTATTTTTTGTTCAAAATTTGTCATACCTTTGTCAGTTCTCCAGCTGTTCTGATTTAGTGAATAAACCCCAGACTTTCTTTGTTGGACATTTTGAAGTTGCAAATAGGGCAAAATAAAAACAAATTTTGTATGATAATATGAACAAGAGTCACAATAGAACTTTAACTATGTACATGTATTAAGTATAAAAAAAAATTAAATTATTTATATGAAATATTCATTTGTAATAACATTAAAAACTAAGACGGTTCCATAATTCTGAACTTGAAGTTAATTTGAAATATCTACCAAGTGCAGAATTAATACATAATACAGGGGAAATAATTCATAAAGGGAAAATAGATGTTTAGTTTTGTTCAAGTTAATAGTGAGCATTAGTTCAACTCAGCAATGTTTAAATTTAAAATAATATTTTGGCATACAGGGTTTTCATTAGAAGCCTGCCCTTGTATTCCTATATAAGAGAAAAAAATATGCAAATGAAAGGAAAAGTATATAACCAAGGAAAAATATATAACAATAATAGCATAATAGATAAGACATGGTGCACTTTTGTCTCTCTCATGTGGAATAAACATTTGTAGAATAATTTTTATTTGTTTAACTTTTTTTTTTTAAATAGTACATAAAGCTGCTGACATAAATCTGCTTTATTTGGGAATAGTATGGTAAACCCTTAGATAAAAGGAAAAAAAGTAGAGTGAAAATTGTTAGAACGTTAAGATACGAGTGGGTTGAAGTGACCGAAAAATGTAAGGCCAGTGGAACGAACAGGAAAGCTACATAGGTCACACATGTTCCCATCAATATGTGACAGCAAAATACAATTTGTGGTGAAGGAGCAAAGCATTCTGGATGATGTAATGGGATTTGTTTTTGTAATAGACTAGGTATTTGAGGGGAATTGGGACAAGTACCATGTAAAATGTGATTACCTAACTTTACCGCCAGTGCATTAATTAGGCTTTGAGGGAGGCTAGAATGAATAATCTAGCAAAGGGATATCGGAGTGAGCTAGCAAAAAAATGAGAAAAGTACATGTTTCCTTCTATGGAAGCGTGAATTAGTGGCTGCAACATGGCCTAATTTTTGTGGCGCTCGTGAGTAATGAAATATCCGCTCTGCTTGACCTTGTCTCCTCTTTGAAGTTGGCATGAAACTAATGGCATATAATATTTTAGTGTATTAGCATGTATATTATTTGTGTTATTACTTGAAAGGTGCATGAGTCCATCATAGCCAAAAGCAAGTTACACAATTAAAAATGATATAATTAGTATTTGTTATATAAACATAAAGCTAACAAAGCTTGTGCTGTCTTCATTAATGACGTTTTACCAGTCGTTTTGTTTCCAAATGCCACTAACATGATCAATGTCCTCCTTTCAAATGTTTAAAATAGTTTTGTCCAAGCCGACCTGGTAAATTATATTAGTATAAACATTATGACTTTGCTACTGCAAGAATGTTTAAGTGTTGATGTATAGATGCGATATGTAGATGAAATTATATGTTTTTTTTCTCCCTGTTATTATAGTCACTATTAATCAGTGTCCTGTGGTTATGTAACAAACTCATTTTATATTTTTCAACCATCTCCAGCAAAGGTGGGATTTCAAGAATTATTTAAAAAAATTACATATGGGTGCGTAGAATAAAATAATACCAGAAAAATGCCTTGGTCTTGATAGTATTGATGACTTGTACAAAATGTAGTTCACGTGTAGTATTAAATATTAAAGGAAACTAGAAGCTCCATAAAAACCAAATCTTTCTGTAGCTGTTATGGTTCAAGGAGAGTAAACAAGATACCAAAGACTAGTGTATGTCCGAATCCTGCTAAATTCACACAAATAATAGAGACAAATAATGTAATAATGTAAAGTGGAACATTATCATTTTCATATCTCAAGCAGAGGTTTTGGCCATTTTATGTTAAGCCGCTTGAAACCTGATTGACAAAGACCGAAATATATGCACCCATAATCTTTTATTTAACATAGCCACTACAATGAGCTGTAGTGGTTATGGTGCTAGAAGATTCATTTATTGTAACTTTTGTTGCCAAATAAGTCATTTAGAGATGTAGCATTTTTTGCAATAGTGCTTTGAACAAAATCATCAGTGAATTTTGGCAAATCATCAAATAGAATTTTTTGTTTTTTAAAGAGCATGACTCAGACTACATTTCAGCTAGATAATGATAAAAACTAAAAGAGAAGCAAGCAAGCAAACTGGAATTATGTTAACATGGCATTTTTCTATTTGGGACAGAAATAAATAAGCTATTATTACATGTTGTTATTGTTTTTAACAAGGCACATGCTTTATTAACAACAGATTTAAAAAAAGTTGTGTGTAATTGGCTTGTGTTTGCAAAATAACATATCTTAAACTATTCAAATTCGCCAGAGGTGTAATATTAATGAAAATGCGGACTTCCTCACAGTGAGGGTGAGCGTTCATGTAAATAAATGATTTAAATGTCGTCATGTAATCTTTAATTATTTTAGCTATGTAATATGTGTATATAGTATTTACTCTTATACTACATGTTCAATTTAGTTGTAACTTTTATTTTATTTAATATGTAAGTTTACATAACTGTTTTTTGTAATGTTTTCACTAATGACAGTTTTCCACATATTAAAAAAAACAAACAAAAAAACCAAAATGTTGCAATTGATTGTCTCGCTCACAAAGCAAACACTAAGAATCATTTTAAGAAATCTTTTTCTTTTTTTAATCAAATTTTCCCATTGTGTTTGTTTTTTGTTTTGTTATTTTGTTAGTTTTCCTTTCTTTGTAAAAATGTATGTTGTAAATGTTATAGCTGAAATGATTTTCTGTGTACAGTAAAGTTCAGAAAAAATATATATGGAAAAAGTGTAAATGCCTTTTCTTTATTGGCTTAATACATTTTAAAACATTATGACATGTCAGAGTAAAACTATTGATCAAAAATGCTGATATGTTAAAGGACATTTAGGGATATAGACATGTAGAATTACTTTTGCTTTACTGCTTACAAAATTACTTTAATTAATTTCTTTTAAATGTGGGAGGTATTTTAATTTAATTTTTTTTTTGCACACAATATAGCATAAATATATAGCAGAAATATATTCTTTTTTTTTATTAAAAAGTGACATCCCAATAATAAGTATTTTCAACTGCTCAAATAAAAAACAAAAGGCTTGAAAAAATGGGCAAACCCCCACAAATTATCAGTGTATGTATGCCATTTCTCCTTAGTATGAAACACATAATGTAAATTAATGTACTGTTAAATTAGTTGACATTTCAATGTCACTACACTGTTTGGAACAGAATTATTAACAGAATCTGCCTTTTTTCCCTCATGGCCTTAGCCATGTACAGGATTTTGTTGTTGGCCACCAAGGTAGGAATATCCTGCTCACAACAAGTTCTTGTGATAGTCAGTTTGGCCATGAAGAAAAATACAATTGTTCACCGAAGTTAAAAAGACTAAGCTACCTCAGTTAACATTAGTAGTTTGAGTTACATACAGTCATTAGTCATCTGAAGAACATCTATGTGCTGTTATGCAGGGCATAGACATCATAAGTGGAGTGATGACACTTCCTGCATACCCACGTATAATTTATAGTTAAATGAGAGATGTGACTTGGTTTTAACTTACCATCTAACCCTTATCTCCTGAATAATTTCACATTGGTTTGTGAAGTGTATAAAACCTGAGAAGTACCAAATTTGCTTTCTACCACATTTCTGAAGACAATTTTTTACTTGTGTTCTCATCTTACCATGTAGGAAATACAATGTGGCATTTGGAGATAATTATTATTAATGTTATTTAAAAAAAAATATTAATGTAATTTTGGTAGAAACATTTAACAATACAAAAAAATACAGACTGTATATACAGCACTTCTCATGTTTTTTGATTAATAATAATAATAATAATATAAAGAACAAAGTAAACAGTAATAGAATTAAAACCAGGTAAGGTAAGGCTGATCATAGTGTATAATAATGTTCGTTGCTGCTGAGATAACAATAGCTGATATGCGTGTGATCTGCCGGTACTGATGCCGGCATAACTCATGGACAGCTAATAGGTTGTGAAAGCTACGTAACAATGGGACCTGAAACCCAGGGATTTGCACAAAGATTCAACCAATTGAGTTATTATATCAGATAGAACCTAGTTATGTGTTGAAAATCTTGTTGTCGAACACTCCTTACAGAATAAGAGCTGATCTACATTGCACAAACTGTACATTCCAAGACCAGGTCAAGCTAGCTTAAAAAAAAGTCTGTTCACAATGGAGGAAACACGAGCCATAATGCCAATTAAAAACTGGGGGAAAAGGAAGAGAATTATTATTTGGTAACAGGCATAGATGTTTCATTAAATACTCGGGTTTGGAGGTGTCAAATCTATAAAGGATATCAGTGGCTAAATAATATGTTATTTTTTTTCTCCGTTTGGGAAAACTTTATATCACTTCAACGATTGGAAATATGACCATGTTCAACTATTACACAGGGCTCTCATCTTCTTAATTTCTTTGGTCTGGTTTAGTTTGCCAGGAAACAATCACAGAATAGACTATACCTATAGTCAGCACCAGAATTGGTGAAAACTTCCATATACATTGTGTTGTATGATATTGTTTACAACCACCAAATTCTTCCAAATTTCAAAGAACCATACAAAGTGAAATATAGAGCTGTGAGGATTATCAGGATTTGATTTAGGACCAGATGTAGCACCACAACTCAGTATCTACTCAGTATCACCATCTTGCTTAAAGGGACACCATAGGCACTGTATCTGCTTCATCTCATTCAACTGGTTATAGTGTCTGGAGTCCTCTGGTACCATCATTTCTTTCAGCATTAAACAGTTTTTAAAGTTTTAATGCTTTAATGCTAAACAAGAGTCCCAGGCAATCCATTCCCTCTGTGCTGCTTTAGCTAATAAGGAAGTATTAGCCTGAGCAGCAATGGGCAGCTGTGATTGGCTGAGAGTGTCAGCTGACTGCTTTTAGCCTGTCAGAGTTCCAACTGACGGTATGAATGGGTATGACAACAAGGAAGTGTGTAATCTCTGCCTTAGCTACACATACTGAAGGGGCCGGACTGTGGGTGGCTAGGGGCTCTTATTTTGTGGCATACTGCACAAACATGGTTCAACACTGAATGGAGGGACAATGCCAGGGCACTCCAGGCACTATAACCAATTCAAAGAGATGAAATGCTTATAGTGACTACAGTGTCCCTTTAATTTTTCCAAGAATATGTGAAGTAGTACTTTGTTGTATTTTACAGCTCATTCAATTATTTAGTCTCCTGAATTTGAGTCACTGATTGGAGGAGAGTGTCAGCTGACCTCTGCCCAGCTGACTCTGAAAACTCAGAAGTTGAATGCTGCCTGGGAGGTGGACATTGCCACTGGAGGCAACTTTGGAGTTAAACCATTCATGAACAGTTTACCCCGTAAGGTAAGATTTCCACTAGGGGTCTCATGGCACCATAACAAATTAATTTAGATTATGTTGTTTTGGTGCCTTGAGTGTCCCTTTAAGGTGCTAGTAGTACCCTGCAATCTGGGTCCTCCAGGGTTCCTGCCACCACATCTCCTGCTGCTGGTAGCTCCTGCAACTGAGCTAAGCCTTGCTGTGCAGAGCCACGCTCATTGGCTAAGAACACTCAGCTAATGCTATCAGCCCATGAGCACAGCCCTACACGACAAGGCTTACTTAGCTCAATGGAGTCAATTAAAAGCTTATTGAAACAATAGTGGTGGAGATGGTCCCTGTGGGACCCAAGTAAATTGTCAAACCTTTAAATGAGAGGGGGCACTTCTGATACCATAACCACTATAGTGGGCTGGAGTGTTCCTTTAACTGGAATAATTATAAAAGTAGTATACAGTTCAAATAAATATATAAATTTAATGTCATCTGTGCTAAAATACGGCTTTTACAATGAGTGAATTACTATATTTTACTCATGAAATTAATAAAAGTTTATTTTTGCATGGAAGCTACATGATATTCAGAATTCAAATACAGGAATGGAAATACTGATACAGCTAACAAAGCTGTAACAGTGTACTTACAGTAAAATCTAGGCATTAATTGTATGTTCTAGTAAAAAAAGTCTACCATTGAAATTGGCGGCACTATATTATTTAAATATAAAGGGACTTCACAACTATATACATAAACAGTATATCAATCAGAACATTGGTGGGTCCATCTTCACTTGAATACATGATTGAATACACACAACAGTAAATTATTCAGTAATTTCACAACACTATATACACTTTTCTTTTTGAAGATGAATTTGTTTTTTTATTGGTATAATTATGTAATTCAGTGATTCCCACCTTAATTCACAATGCACACTAAGTACAGTACGAAGAAGGTAAAGAGCACAAGAACACAGGTGTTGGTTGTGAGTGTCCGATTGTGTGAATATGTGTCATGGGGTAAACGTAAGAACCTAAAACTTACAGTTAAATATAAGGTCTTTTCAGCACTAATTTATAAGCCAATGTTGACTGATCACTAAATAAAATAATGACTATGTACAAACAGCAAAATTGCCATTGCTCTGACCGTGGCCTGAATTGCGTTCACTCCAGATACACTACTCGAGCTTGAGTTCCATAAGCCTAAACAACTTGTTTTCTGAATAAACTGCACAATGCTGTGCCACCTGAATTACATCAGTCACTCTAAATTTGTATTATAAGGACAGCGGATCATTTTTCAAGAGCCCCCTCTCACATTTACTGGAGCACATATATAGAAGTATATTAAGTAAGAATTGCATAATTCAAAGGAGAAAAAAGGCTAAGGAAGGTTAAATCCTTGTTTTCAACAGATTTACATATTACAAAAAAAAATCCAATATGAAACTATATACGGTTTTCTATTCATTTTCATTTAAGTTGTCCTTCATAGAAAAATGTGTGGTATAAAAAGAATAAAAATAGAGGAAGAGTATTTTAGAAATCTTGATCCCAGCCGGAAATCTCATCTGGAGGCATATCGTTATCTGGTGGATAGTTGTCAAAATGGCTGTGGTCTGTGGGTCCTTCAAGCTGCAACCAAGAAATGTTTATTTTTTAATAAACACATATTTATGAAAATTACCAAATGGGATACTCATTAGAGGCCTAATGTACTTATAATATAAAATTGGTAATTAACAAGCTTGAACAAAATAATTCAGATTGCTGAAAGATTGCTTTCTATCATCAATTAATACATACAATAAAAAATGTTTTCAAAAAAGCGTGCATGAATTAATATTAGACCACTGGTAGTGGTACCTAACATTCCTTTGCACCAACAACAACATTGACAGGGTTATTTACTAAAGTGGGAATTCAAAGTGAATTTTAAGCCAAAGTATCCAAACTAGAATCATAGCTGACTAAAAGAATTTGTTCAGGTCGGCTATTTTGACCTTAAAGGAACATTATAGGGTCAGGAACACAAACATGCATTCCTGACTCTATAGTGTTAAAACCACCATCTAGCCCCTCTGGCCCAGCCTTGCCTCCCTAAAATATTACTTGTATTCAAGTCTGCAGCTGCTAGCTCTGCCCCTGATCTGCCTGCTTACAGCTGACATCATCAGAAGTGATTCTGTGAGGCAATCACAATGCTTTCCCACAGGATTGGCTGAGACTGTCAAGGAGGCAGATCAGGGGCAGAGCCAGCACAAGACAAACACAACCCTGGCCAATCAGCATCTCCTCATAGAGATGCATTGAATCAGTGCATCTCTATGAGGAAAGTTCAGTGTCTCCATACAGAGGGTGGAAACACTAAATGTCAGTGCTGTTCACTGAGCAGTGCTGCCCCAGGAAGCACCTCTAGTAGCCATCTTAGGAATGGCCAGTGGAGTTATCACTAGGTTGTCTTCTGAAAAAACAGTGTTTACTGAAAAAAGCCTGAAGGGAATGATTCTACCAGAACGAATACAATAAGCTGTAGTTGTTCCAGTGACTAGATAGGGAAGGGGCATACCTATAGATCTGTGATGAGATATAAGAGGGGCTAGTATTGTTTAGTGCTTTATAGGTATGGATTAGCACTTTGAATTGACTCCTAAAGGATACAGAAAGCCAATGTAAGGACTGACAGAGGGGTGAGGTGTGAGAGGACCGACTAGGGAGGAAAATCAGTCTGGCGGCAGCATTCATTACAGACTGTAGCGGGGCAATACGGCTTTTGGGAAGACCAATTAGGAGAGGGTTACAATAATCCTTGGTAACATCTTGCGTAAGAAAGGGGCGGATGCAGGCTATGTTTTTAAGATGGAATCTACAGGATTTGGCAAAATACTGGATGTGAGGCTCAGAGGTGAGGCCAGAATCAAGTATGATGAAAAGACAGCACGCTTGCAAGGATGGACCTATGTGAATGCCACTAACTTGAAGGCAGAGCAAAAGAGGAGGATCAGTATTAGGAGGAGGAAAGACAATGAGCTCAGTTTTAGCAAGATTGAGTTTCAGAAAGTGGAAGGACATCCAGTCAGAGATGGAAGAAAGGCAAGCAGTGACACATTGCAGATCGGCAAGGGATAGGTCTGGGGAGGAGAGATATATCTGGGTGTCATCAGCATACAGGTGGTAGTGGAATCCAAATGAGGTAATAATTTTGCCAAGAGAGGCAGTATAAAGAGAAAATAGAAGCCGACCAAGGACAGAGCCTTGGGGGACTCCAACCGAGACAGGACGAGGGGAGGAGGTATCTTTAGAAAAGGAGACACTGAATGAGCGTTGGGAGAGATACGAGGAAAACCACGAGAGGGCAGAGTCACAGAGATCGAGTGATTGAAGAGTTTGAAGAAGGAGAGCATGATCAACGGTGTCAGGCAGCAAAGAGGTCAAGAAGAATTAGTATGGAGTAGTGGACTTTGGATTTAGCTGCAATTAAGTCTTTAGTAACTTTGATAAGAGCAGTCTCAGTAGAGTGGAGAGGGCAGAAGCCAGATTGAAGAGGGTCAAGGAGAGAGTTGGAATTAAGGAAGTGAGACATATGGGTAAAGACAAGTATTTCCAGAAGCTTTGAGAAAAAAGGGAGCAGAGATGTGGGATGATAGTTAGAGGGGGGAGGAAGAGCAAGATATGTTTTTTTCAGGATAGGTACTAGAGTGGTATTTTTAAGGTCAGCAGGGACAATTCCAGAAGAGAGAGATCAGTTGAAGATGTGTGTTAAGGAAGGCACAAGACAGGGGGAGCAGCTTGGGGGTACCAATCAATTAGACTACACTTGATATCAAAATATTACATTCATTGATACTATATGATTAAATACTTTAAGAATTTAAAATAAATAAATAAATAAATAATTACCTCAGGCTTTAAAGGTGAGGGGAGACTTCTAGAACCTAGTCCTTCCCAGTCAAATCCATTAAACCACCTTAAAAAAGATGCAGAAACCAAAATAGCTTAGAATATATATAAAATAAAGTAACTTAAATGTTTTCTAGCATAAAATGGGTCATTTAACAGAAGTAACAATAGAGACTGTGTATTGACCAATTAAAACAAAAGATCTGCTTGCTAAACCCTGCATTTTAGCTACTGGCCAGATGAAACATGGTGATGGTACTTAAAGTGCCCTGTAAATAATTATTACATTGCTGCCAGATAGATCAGTAAGTTGTTGAAAATACTTTCAACAGAGTATGGTTGTCATATACTGTATTTACTTAAATCCAATGCGTACCATTACTGGCAAAATAAAGTCTCCAAAATTTGAATGCGTATTAGACTCAATGGCACGTTAGATTTGAGTACGAAATTTGTATTCGACAGGAATGCAAGACTTTATGTTAGATTTCTGTGTACAGTAAAGCTGTACCTCGCTTCTTTGTTGTGATGCAAATGCGAGTTTCGCCCAGTCAGAGGGCATATTCTTGTACAAATACGCATTAGATTTGCCAGCGAAAACATTTTTCATTGTATGTGTGTCTGTCAGTGAGTGTCTGCCTGTGTGTGTCTGTCAGTGAGTGAGTGTATGTATGCCAGTGAGTGTCTGTGTGTGTGTGTGTGTGTGTGTGTGTGCCTGTCAGTGAGTGAGTGTATGTATTTCAGTGAGTGCCTGTGTGTGAGTGTGTGTGTGTGAATCTGTCAGTGAGTGAGTGTATGTCTGTCTGTCAGTGAGTGTGTGTGTGTCTGTCAGTGAGTGAGTGTATGTCTGTCAGTGAGTGCATGTGTGTGTCTGTAAGTGAGTGAGTGTATGTATATCAGTGAGTGAGTGTAAGTCTGTCAGTGAGTGAGTGTATGTCTGCCAGTACGTGTTTGTGTGTGTGTGTGTGTGTCTGTCTGTCTGTGAGTGAGTGTATGTCTGTCAGTGAGTGTCTGTCAGCGAGTGTGTGTGTCTGCCAGTGTGTGTCTGTCAGTGAGTGAGTGACATGAGGGGGCGGCAAAATGGATCTTTGCCTAGGACGGCAGAAATCCTTGCTCTGTCCCTGCGCTTGGTACCATGTGCATGTGGCTATATTTGACAGTATAACTGTGAGCAGCTGACTGTCTGACTGTGGGACTGTGTGCATCTGTCACTGCAAAAATACACAATAGTATTCACACATGGGCCTACATGCATTTTTTAAAATCTGAATTAAATAGCCTAATACAAACACTGCATCCTTATATATACACAATACATGGATGAGCGGGTATGACCAGGGAGGGGCGCTGAGAAAATATTTTGCACAGGGTGCGTAAAGGCTTAAGACTGGCCCTGCTAGGGCTGAAGAAACAGTAACAAAAGTGATATAAATCCTAAATGGCAAAGCAGTGAGACTTCAGAGGCATGCTATTTACACTAAAACTGATTCATTAAGCTAAAGTTGTTTTGGTGACTATAGTAGTCCTTTAAAGCAGGGCTGTCCAACCTGCGGCCCCCCAGATATTGCTGAACTACAACTCCCATGTTTCCCTGGCTATCTGTTTCAATGAAAGAATCATGGGAGTTGTAGTTCAGCAACATCTGGAGGGCCGCAGGTTGGACAGCCCCGCTTTAAAGGGATACTATAGTGCTAGTAATACATGTTAGAAATCTTGGATGAGTGCCCACTTATTTCCTTTGGATTTGATTTCTGATGCAGAACACAGTTAAAATTTTGTTAGCAATAATTTGCTATAATATCATATAGACAGCGGTAATCAAGTAATAAAAACACAGAATAGATGATTATGGCACGTTAATAAGTCATATTTGAGAATGCTTTTAAATAATGTATTTCTCGCTATACCTATGTTTTTTAATGTCAGCTATTCCATTCTTCAAGTTTCCAAGACGTTCTGTGGGATTTTGTCTGCGAAGGATTAAATAAAATATATTAAAACACTTTTAAACAAACACTCCATTGAAACAAAACAATACAATTTAGTAAATACACCCCCACAAAATATGCATTTACCATATTTTTTCAGAATATAGGACACAGTTTATTACCAGAAAATTACAACTGTGTATTGTGACCTTGCGGATTGCTTATGGGGATATTCTTCATCCTCTACCCGGTCTGACAGGAAGCTGGAAGCAGTGAGCAACTTCCTGTCAGACCAAAAAAAAAAACAAGATCACAGTCAGGAGTAACCGGGTCAGGGATATCAGAGGACAAGAACAGGTCAATCCAAAATTTGTAACACAAGCACCTATTTTTGCTGAATAAAGTTTTGTTATACACAGTTAAACATGTATTAGGGTGAATAATGTAATATTGGGGTTCTGAAGACATCAGTTAACCTTCAGTTTCATGTGTATTATGACATTGTAGGGCTCAGCAGCAGTATTTTTACATAACGTCAACATTCTCAGGGTTATTTACGAACGTGAGGATTTTAGGGAAGTCCTACTGAATTTGAATATGAAGGCCATAGTTGCTGAACAGGAAGCATAGTTGAATTGGGAATTATTCCAGTGTGTCTACTCTAGCCTTCTAGTTAAAATTCACTTTAAATTCAATTTGAATTCTCAAGATTTCCCACTTCAGTAAAGATCGTTGTATGTATCACCAAGACAAATATATAAGATGCTAGTTGTGCAATCTTAAAAAGAGAAATTGGGAATAATAATGATAACAATAATTATATATATATATATAACAGTCACAATATAACTCTACTGTTTACCTTTTTTGTCTTATTCCTTACAGTACTATGTTTTTTTAAAGCTCCTTGCATTCCTGTATTAGGAAAATGTAGGTATCGTAACTAGATACATATGTACGGTAATCTACATAAGTGAAGCATTAACAACCTATAGCTCAGGTCAGCATGACCCAAATCCAACTCACGTAAGTAAAATCAGTAAGCATACTTTGGAAATGTGAGGGATAAACAATTATTCTGGTTCTTTATATTAATCCCAGGGACATATAGTTACACAATTTGTCAACTTTGAGCACTGATTCGTAGATATGGGAACCTCCATATATGTTCTTTTCATACTTGTAATTCACAGCTGAAATATCTTAATAAAGGATATTAAATCATGACAAGTTACAGTTTTTTCAATGAGTACCAATGTCATAACTGCTTGGTTACCACAGTAATTGGTGTCTACGTAAAAATTAATTGGGGGCAATTTAAAAGTTATTATTTTAGAGTCTATATGTTACCTCATTCACAGTTACACGCTTCAAAGTGGAAAATGGTATGCTTCAGTGTCCTCATTTGAAGGCTTCTACGTGTTAGGAAGCTTTGTACATTAAATATATAACACAAATTAACATGAGGGATTGTTTTAACCTGCACAGTCGACGAATCAGTTCATCAGAACGTCTTGATATTCTTTTATGAAACTCCATTTTCTCAATGCCTTGCAGAATTAAATTGTAGATCATCATCTGGTCTGGCCCAGTGAATGGAGGACTGGTAGGAAAAATGTCAGAAATTACGGTAAACACACCTTTAAACATAGATGTAAATATAATGCATATATCACAAAAATATGAAAAATGTGTTATACTAAACTTTTAATTTAAACATTTTTTCTTTGAAGCAGAACTGTCTCTTCTCTGGAAGTTCCTTAAATCTTCATCCCAGTCAATGTTTCAGCATTTACTGGGGTGAGTAGCAGATTGGAGGAAAGTATAAAACATACTTGCCTACACACATCATTTCCTGACGAGACACCAACGCGCTTGATGATTTGCTAAGAATTGCTATAAAAGTTAATGCATGATTGGACGTTTCTTAGAAATGCCCTCATGGCGTCTGTGTGCACAGCACTATTAGGGTTAAATTAATTTACACTGTATGCTTTTTTTTTTTTTGTTACCAGAACAGGGAGGCAAACAATGTTAATTTAAAAACAAATTACAATTTTCTCCACTAATTCCGGAAAGAAAAATAAATATATTGCATAGCTAAATACAAAGCTTGACTAAGGAACAAAGTAAACAATGTTCTAGTTGATTTGGGCATGGTGACACTTGCAGGGTTATTCATTAACTCCTTAACTATGGCGTAAGCTCCCATACACTAGAATTATGTACACAATTTGTAATTATGCAAATTAAATAGTTTTTTTGCAAACAAGTTAGCTTGCATTAAGTGCCCATTAGAGCACTGGCTCTGCAGAGATCCTCTGCAACAGCAAAGGCATGGGGAGATTAAAAGATCTTCCTGGCCAGCTCTGGGAGGGAGATGCATGTCTACACATTCAGTGAGTGCGGTTCACTGGTGATGCTCCCTCACTATCACAGACTGGAAGGGAGCACAGTCAGTGGTCTGCACACACAAAGGGTGCACACCAGCAGCTTAATCCACTAGACCACTAGGTAATGCGATTAGACACACAGTCACCTCCCACACTCACAACATAACCTCACCTATGCACAAATCAAGACCATAAGTAGGCCTCCATACACACAATACAGAACAAAGTGAATTCAAATTGAATTTCAAATTTAAGGTCAAAGATGCATAACTGACAGAAAATGTTTCCACTTAAAATTTTTGTCTTTAAATTTTAAATTCACTTAGAATTTTCACTTCGGTGAATAACCCTGTAATAATGTTTAATACACAGAATTCCATTAACTAACTAGCTTTACTTAGCTTAATTAGATAAACTGTCATATCTAAAAAATTCATTGCACTCAGAAGTCAGAAAAATATCCAAATATGGTTACTGGTTGAAATTAGAAATTTTCATTTTAAAGATAAATAAACCATTGACTGAGAACATGGTATAAGTGGCACTCTAGAGATAGAATCAGTGAGAGATGATAAACTCACACACTCCCACAGTTCAGTGAACACCAGATAAAAAATGCTACATATGGACACAAGTTTATCATTCAGTATCCAGCACTGTTGGTAGGTGTTGTATATACTTGAGTAGCATAGGGATACAGTTGTCCATTATAATGTGTATTTTCACATGCTATAAAATAATTTTTTTAAACTTGGGACTTGTTCCTATGCATGTCGCAATCAGTTATCAACAAGACGGTAAGCTCTAAAATGGCTGCCTGAAGTGTTAGGGACTCCTGGCTGTTTCCACTTTGCAAATTTTCACTGTTTGTGACTGGTAATTAGTGGCAACTATTAAAGCGATTCTGTCTTTTGTTTCCAGTTTTTTTCCTTGTGTCCCTTGTATCTTATTAATTATAATTTTCAATTGCTGTTATTTGTATTTATTATTGTTTCTTTCTGTCATCTTATTGAAGTTGTTATAATCTCTCCTGGCTCTGTCTTCCATTTAGCATTAAACCACTTCAAATGTTTTAATGCTAAACAAGAATTTCCAGCAGCCCATCCCCTCTGTGCTGCTTGGGCTAAAGTGAACATAAAATCCAATTGCAAACTTTAAGTTAAAAGACCACAACAGCGAACTAAATAAGATGTGTGTAAGCGGAGCTCTGACATGGGCCAGCGACTTACCTGAAATTGCTGCGAATAGAGACTCACTACTGCGTATCCTGCTAAAGCACCCCTAAGATGACTGTATGGGGCGTGGAAACAAAAAGTCCAGACACCTAGAGTGATACAGCATGCCAGACATCAGGCTTTCATTTGAGAGACCTGCAGAGCGCATACCAGCCAACATGACGCACAAGGCACAAATCGATGGCAGAGCTCTCAGAAGACTCCCAAGAAGACATGGCATCTATTACCTCAGATAAATCCAAGGGCACCTACCAGGAATCTGAATCGGAGGAAGACTCTCCCCATTCCGCAAAAGGGGACATTAAAAGGTTGCTGCTGGATATGAGAAAATCTGGAAAGCAGACCTCCAGGAAGCCCAGGCTAACATGGGAGCCCTACATAAGAGACTTGATGAATGCTGAGAAGAGAGAAACATCAAGAGACAGACAGATTCAAGAGACAAAAAGCCAGGTGGAAAATCTCACTAGCCAACTTCAAAAGCTGACCAATACAGTTATAGCGCTGGAATCCAGGCAACGAAGATGAAACATCCGCCTGAGAGGTGTCCCGGAGACTGTCGGAGGGGAGCAACAGTTGCCTTTTACACAGAGGCTGGTGGCCTCATTGGACCTCTTGCTGGTGTTATTGGCGTTCAGACTACACAAAGCAGCTGCTGCACCAGATGGTGCCCTCAAAGACACTATTATAGTAACTAAGGATGTTAATGCAAGAACCGCTATTATGGCCCGCTATAGAGCCCTGGGGACTGTACACTTTGAAGGATGCTCGGTGGCTCTGTATGGTTCACCCTTTTGCAGTCTTGGTGGAAAAAAGACAGCAGGCTCCAGTTGCAAAACACCTCAGAGATTATTCAATCAGGTAACGCTGGGGAATGGAAGGCTCCCTTGTAGTGAGGAAAAGAGAGAAACTACTCATGTTAACCTCTGCTGACAACCCAGAGTCATTCCTCCAGAAGCTCGTCCTGGGAGCAGGGCCACACTCAAAACCTTAGATGTGATCAGAAGAGACGCAGTCTCATGATGACCATGAAGTGGGAACTTCGCAACTCCGGACCATACAAACAGGGACTAATGTTCACTGGTTGAAGTTCAAATGAAACCTTAAAGCCTTACAATGCCCACACCTATTCCATTGTCAGAGGTGATGCTGGAACCTGGCATAATTGTTTAGGATGGCTGCAGGTTTAACCTGTCGCACAACCCAAAGCACTTACTTACTTGCTGTCATGTTATTTCAATCTTTTGCATTTTTATAGTGTTCAGTGTTCATACAAATTCCACCTGGTTTTAGATCCTCACTGTAGCAGCGATCTATATGTGTAAGTCACCCCAGACAAAGCGCAGATTCCTAAAATTTCCTTTACCCTACAAATAGTCAAGCAGTGAGTTGTCGTTTCCTATGTGATTATACTGTTCCTATACTGTTTCTTATATAATGATTTGGATGTATGCTCTGTATATAAAATCCTAATAAATTATAAATTTAAAAAGTGAAAAAAAGACCACAACAGGCCCCATAACACCTTTATCTCATCACTTTTATCTTTTGCTTTGGGGTCTGGAGGTCCTGAATAATGCCTTACTAAATAGGATTGAACCATTTTCAAATTGTTTAACTCCAATGTTCTCCTGGCAGCGCCTGTCCACTTGTTTGCTCTGTTTCGTCCTCCAGCCCTAGCTACTATGTGAAACATTTCCCCTTTCCTTAAAGTTCTCAACTTATCACAGGCTGTTCACTGATAAAAACACTTTAAAAAGGTATGTAACAGCATCCAAGGGTGCATCTTCCACATTGAAGCTAGGGTCTGACAAGGAGGAGGCAGAGTTGTTGAGAACACAGGCACAATCAAGAGAACTTTGTGCCAAAACCATTCAAAAACAATTTAGCCCAATAAGGTAAGACGGCACCAAAGACCTCCAGACCCCATAACAGCATCATTGAGATGAAGTCATTATGGGGCTATAATTGGTGTTTTAATAGCTTGGTTTATAGAAGCAGAGTTATGGATAACTGCTAATTGTTATAGACAACAAACGTAGGCAACAATGTGCAGTGGCTAAGGCCAGTAAGGTATTGCCATGCATGAAAAAGGGCATTAATTATTGGGATGAGAATATCATTTTGCTTCTTTATAAATCACTGGTAAGACCACACCTTGGATATGCTGTGCAATTGGACAACAAAAAAACGCTTGATATTTTTTAGTTGCAATAATCTAATGGTTGTTGATATTAACAATGCTTAATGGCTGATTTTCACCAACAAGCATGGTAATGATCCATTGGTCAATAATAATATACAGTGTCACACTTAATAAATAAAAACAAAACATTCAGAAAATGTTTTTCCAAACATTTTCTCTAACGCAATCTAGAGTTGCCATTACTATAAATCAAACATACATTTTTACATAGAATTGCATTCTATAAATAATTTTTAGTTTTCTGAAAAACTTACCTTCCCGTAAGAAGTTCATAAAGTAATATTCCAAGTGACCAGAAATCCACACTAAAGCTGTGGCCTTTGTTCAAAATGACTTCCGGAGCAACATACTCTGGTGTTCCACAAAACGTCCATGTTTTTTGCCCAGGAAATATTTTCTTAGCAAAACCAAAATCAACCTGTCAGATGAAATTATTCCAGTTACATTAAGAAGCTTTTCATATCTGATTAATTCTATGCAATTTATGCCCTGATGAGTTCTGTAAACTTAGGTGGGCAGTGTTACTTAAATTTAGTAAACAGGAAGGCACAATTTACTGACTAAAGAAGAAAGCCTGAACTAACAACGTTGAGTGGTATTTTGAAAAACAGTAAGATATACCTGCTGTTTGCTCAATGTTTTTAGAACATTGGTCGAGAACTTCTCTTTTAGTAGTCCTCAATGGTTAGAAAAATATAGAGGTGGGAGCAATATGGTTTATCCAGAAAAGAGTTTCATTTTAAGTTGGGAGATGTGCAAGGGAAATATTCATGGAAATAAATAAATTAATTATTATAAAAAGACCTGACACAAGATCTCAATGTATTGTGCATGTTGTTTAACAATATTTGGTTAAAAAATAGCCAAATTCAAAATGAATTTGCACTTTTTATATGTACAAAAACGAATCCATTTGCATTTTGGTTATTCAACGCAAAACATCACATCTCATGGTGCCATCTGGTGTCTGCTTTAAAATCAGTAATTCTCACATGCACATCCTAAAATATAGGATTTTTTTTTTTTATAATTCTTTATTTTTTGTGGTGGGTTGCATGAGTCATACAATAAAACAGTATATTGCGTAATAGAAGTTCTGATATATAACATTGCATGAGTAAATAATTTTGTGTGTCTGCACCTTTTGTACATTTTTAACATGTTGTAAACTTGGATCAAGGTCCTGCTATTTGTAACATTTATTGGTCATGAGTTTGGGTTGCCTAGTCAGTCCCAGTGTCCTTGTTCCGTGTGCTGGGTGACTATCGGGTGGCAGTGCGTCCGTGGTTGTGGCACGCTCAGGTGTGAGTGTATTTGACGTGAGAGTGTCTCGTGGGCTTAGAGGTGAGTGAGCACCGTTATGTAACTACGGAGGTGTGTGAGCATTTAATCTCAGTTCTCCTGCATGATTGTATTCTATGCCTTGGTGGAGGAAACTCCTAACCGGAGGAGTTGCGGAGGAGGATTATGGTAAGAGTTGTCCCTCGTTTACTTTTTTGTTGGGCAACCCGGTACCGGATTTGTTGGCCTCATATGTGTGTCCAGCGTTATGTCCTGTGGGAATGGGCTATACTGAGCATGTAGTGTCAGACAGTTACGGTCTGTGTCAAGATTCGGTCCGTCATGCGTTCTTAATGTGATATTCTCCAACTAGGAGAATAGCACCAACAGAGGCAGTAAATTAGAGCAACATCATATATCATATAAGCCATTTCAATGGAAAGGTTTGGTATGCTCCAGGTCCCAGTTGGCAGTAGATGGTCTCGGTAGTGGGTTAGCGGTCGGGAGCTCCAGTCCCAGGGACTCTAAGAGTGTGTGTGCCTCCTCCATTGAGGTAAGTATGTGATGGGTTTCGTTCCTCCATCTGTAAGTTATGCCTGCCGCCCTAAGTCCGTTAGTGAGGGTACTGAAGATTTTGCGCCACATAAGGGTGGATTTCGTGAGGTCCTGGAAGAATGTCAGGCTAGCGCCCTCAAAGGTCAGAGGTGTTTTACCTTTTAACGCAGACATGATCTGTATCTTGTCGTGGACCATTGGACACCTGAGTATCACATTGCGGGCATGTTTGAGAGCGTCTTTGCTAATGTGGGTAGGCGATATATCTCCTCTGTGACCATCTTCTTTACTGTGGCATGGGGTAGAATAGTGGCCAGTAGGCGTCTTGTGTAGTGCGGCAGTTTGTCTGATAAAATGGCCGCCGGGATGGCCCTTATTTTTATATTTATGCGCCGGTGGCGTTCCTCCATGGCCGTCTGCTGTGCCATCACGGCTCTTTGATGTGCCCAGGCTTGTTGCACTGAGTCTTGTAGCTCAGCTACATGGGACTGTAAGTCTGTGATGTGTTTTTCGGATGTTGCACCCTATTAGTGGTGGCTGTGATTTCTGTTTTGATGGGGGCTAGTTCTGCCGCCAGAATTTTGTGGAAGTCCGATAGTAAGATTTTCAGGTCATGCCTGGATGTTGGGGTCATGTCTGCTGGAGGTTCGGGTTGGGGTTGCTGCTCTGTTTGGGTTTCTCGGGTTTTTGCTGTCTCCGGTGGCTCTGTGTGATGGGAGTGAGTTGCAGAGCGCGGTATTTCCCTGGGAGTGATTTTAGTCAGAGTAGGCCGTTGGAGCATGGCCCCTATATCCCTGCAGTGTTCTGCGGTTTGTGGTCGTTGTGATTGGCGGCCCATGGCTGGCGTGTGAGCAGGTTGGTCTGATCTCTGTGAGGAGGCTGTCCCGCGCTTGTCATGCTTGTAGCCGCTGGGAGTGTCAGCGTGGGGTAGGACCCGATTTTCCGCCTCCGCTTCTGCTGGGTGGAAGCCGCAAAGAATGGTATCTATCTCCTCAGGAGAAGGTAGGGAGTCCAGCTGGTGGCTTTTGGAAGCTGGATTGGCTTAGGGTGATGAGATTTTCCTTGGATTGTGCAATTTGACAGAGGAGCCTGTCTGAATGGCGTCTGTATAGCTCGATGGTCTAGCTCCGCCCCCAGGAATCACATTTTTTATTAAACACATGATTAAACAACATGATTTACAATGAAGTCTGGGGGACCATTTTAAAGAAGTGTTTGCGCAAAGAAAAAGAATGTTAGAAAGCATGGTAGAAAATATGTACAGAATAACTGAGAAGATGAGTAAAATAGAAACATAGAAACATAGAATGTGACGGCAGATAAGAACCATTCGGCCCAGTTTTCTAAATACTTTTATTAGTCCCTGGCCTTATCTTATAGTTAGGATTGCCTTATGCCTATCCCACACATGCTTAAACTCCTTTACTGTGTTAACCTCTACCACTTCAGCTGGAAGGCTATTCCAGGCATCCACTACCCTCTCAGTAAAGTAATACTTCCTGATATTATTTTTAAACCTTTGTCCCTCTAATTTAAGACTATGTCCTCTTATTGTGGTAGTTTTTCTTCTTTTAAATATAGTCTCCTCCTTTACTGTGTTGATTCCCTTTAAAAAAAATGTAGAATAATACGTTTTGGTGTATAGATCATGTCCCTAGTGTGCTCAATTCACTGCTCAATTATATGCCATAGAGGAGTTAAATCACTTTTATTTCTGTTAATGCAGCCCTTGACTCACCTACCCTGGCTGTGACTCACATAACCTCCATTTAAAAAAAAAAAAAAAAAATGTTAAATCAGATCTTACAGCAAGGTGTGTTTATCATTTCCTGCTCTCTTAATTGAACTTTCACCACTTGATGATTCTCATGCAATGCAGGGATTTAACAATGTCATAGACCGTTATGCATTTAAGGTATCTGTAGAGCTAGATCCCAGCTGGTACTAGGGAGATCCAGTTATCATTACAAGAATTAGTGGGTAAGTGCAGCATGAAGGCACTTAATTCTGTTTAAATCACCATGGCTAAACAATCACATTCATTAGTGGTGATTATCTTGGAATTCTGCCCCATACAGTGAGAGACTCATATGGTCCAAAAATACTCCAGTTACGTCTCCCTGCATGCCCCCTTGTTTAGTGTTAGCAGTAAGGTTAGCTTGGAGGTTAGGGTTAAGGCTAGTGTTAAAAATAAAGGTAGGGATAATGGTAGGGTAAGATTTAGAAATAGCGCTAATGTTTGACACTGTTCATTATGGTTCCACTACCCCTTAATTAGTGAGGCTATTGTCCACATTCTGAACCAAAAGAAAACCTTCAATTTGATCTAAAGGTTTGTTATACTGCAAGTTAAGGGTTTCTTTTCAAGTGCTCCATACATATCATGTATTGCTTTTTTAAAGGACAGAAAGGGCTTTAATGTAATATTCTATATGTATACCTAACTAACATTACGTATGAATAAAATGTTTAAAATGAGAAAAAAAATTAAATTTTTTTTTCACATTTTTGCTTATAATAATTTTTACGCATCCAGTGCAATTAATTATAAAAACTGAAAATAGATTAATTTATCAGTCCTGATTGTTAAATGCCCAGTATGTTTAGGAAATAAATGAATGTTGATAGTTAACGCTAACCCTATACCAACCCCCACACTAATGCTATACTAACCATACCCCTTACCCAATGCTTACACTAACTCTAACTGTATGCTTACCCTAATCTTACCCTTAACCTAAATCCTACACTATCTTTAACTCAAAAACTTTTCTTGCTCTAACCCTACACCAACCCTGTCCCTACAGCTATCCCTAATCCATCTTCAGTCTAACCCTAATCTTACCCCTAAATCTAACCCTACCCTAACTCCACCACTAACCCCAACCCAACTCTAACCCTAAGGTAATCTACTGCTTTTATCACACCACAATAGATGGTGGTATGTTGCCCATTTTTCAGAATTATACTCAGTGCCCTGGTTTACAGCCGATTATGGTGTTGGGAAGCTGGCCAAGCCCAGCACCAGTCCCAATTGACTAAGAACAGGCAGGGTAGACCCTGGCAGGGTCTATTTAGACCCAAAACTGCCTGCAGCCCAGAAACAAACGTGGCTGAGTGATTGTGGCTGTATCAATGTGTTTAAAAGGCTCTGTGCAGCAATGACTTCCAGCATTGCACAGAGCTCATCAGTCACTAATACTAAAAAAGGCCCCAGCTGCCTAACAGGAGCCCAAGGTATTCATTGATACCTGGAGTTAGTGATCTGAGCAGGGATTTCACCGCAATCTCTCAGAAGACATTTAAATGCCTTTTTGAAGAGCCATTTGCAGCGCTGGCTTTCATTGCTCATTGCTGCGAACAGTTCATCAGCAAGTCTGGGGCCACAAAAATGGCCTCAGTAAACTCAGAGGAGCCCCAGGTATCCTTTGTGGTTAGTGGTGTGAGCATGGATTTAACTCTGCTCACACCATGATCTTTTCATAGGCATTTAAATACCTATTTAAAGAGCTCTTTGCAGCTCCGGCTTCCAGCACTGCAAATAGCTCATCTAAAATCTGAGGCCACTAAAAAGAGAGACAGAGAGGAGACAGAGGGAATCCCCAGGTATTCATCATATGAGGCTCCCTGGTGTAAGCCGGGATTTAACTCTGCTCACACCAAATATGCAGGATGTTCTTTGCCGCCCTACAGGCTTTCAAGCCCACAGCAAAAAATGCCCAAAAACCTTAAAGGCACTAAAAATAAAAAGGTGAAGCAATGGGAGATTAGAAAAAGCGCAGTAAAGAGAGCTGACCCATTGATGAGCTGGTGGGTAATGGGATACTGAAGGGTAAGAGACCTGCTATCTGGAGGGCCTGCTGGAATGAAATAAGGGATAAAAGACTTTGGAACTGAGGGTACAAGACAAGGGATGAGTGTAAAAAACATGGGTCGGAGCATACTGAGATAGGACACCTTTAAAATTAGTGTGTGAGACAAGGAGCATAAAACTGCAACTGCTAATATTTGGAGATGACTAGATCTTTTGAGATTAAAGAATCGGTCTCGTGTTCACACAAAGTTGTTCATTTTCCAACACCAGAAACACACACAAATATGGACATATCCACCAATCAACATCAGTTTGGCAGTATGTATTATCACTAGGTATGTATCATAATTTTCAATGGGTATCCATAATATCTATAAACATCAAAGGCTTTTTGCTATTGATTTAGTAAAAGTATTTATAGCTACCAGTTTCACATAGCCTTCTGAATCCAGCAGTAAGTTCTCTGGCTTTAAATCCCGATACATTACACCAATACTATGCAAATATTCAAATGCCTCAGTCACACATCCAATGCAGAATTTGGCAGAGGTCTCATCAAAACTACCACTGGAAATAAAAGAAGAAAAAAAAGTAATTTAAACACCACTTAAATACAATGCTGTAAATTTAAATGTAATTAGCCTACCAAATTATTATATAAATTTAAACATAAAAAGATTAACACACTAAATTACTTTTCAAATGATATTTGAAAGAAAAATTACTACCAAAAAATAGCCAACACATATTCACAAACAGCCACAAAGGAGAAAATATGATTGACCTAAATAATTCAGAGCTGTTCGAAAACAACATATAAACTAAACTCTCTGTCACTGTTAATATACTAAAAGGGAACAATTAAAAAGTGAAACAAACAGAATGATAACATAAAATAGTAGATATGTGTGCCAACATTTAAATATATGTGTGCCAAGCCACTTTATCTTAAACAAGCAAAGTAGTTATCCAGGGACATCAACATGAATGTTCTGTTGTATAACTAACTTCTAAGTAATTAGGTGTGCAAAATGGTCACATGTATTCACACAGTTCATTGCAGCAAAGTCTGGGCTTAATATTGAGTGGTTGAGCACAGGAGTTCCTGCTACCAAATAGGCAATAGTTCTGCAATCATTATAAATAACTTAATTCTGTTTTTAGGAACCTCTTATACCTTCCTAAAAATGACACCACAGTGATAAAATAATGTATGTATGTGTAAAAATACAGGAAGTACAGTTACATCAGGCCTCTGTATTAACATTGCAGCCTTGCAGGTTCTAATTTTGCCTAAAAACTCCCTGTAGTGTACAGAGCCTAACTCTTATTCAAAAATAATTATTGAGAGGGAAGGGGTTAAATAAATAGAATATATTTTTTTAGCACAGAATAAGTATACTCAGATTAAAATGTGTGCCGTCAGTGTGCTAAACATATGAAAATGCAATAGATTGATTAAAAAAGTGAATCTGGAACACCACAATTATTTTTTAGTTTATCTGTACAAACAGTAAAGCTTTTCCATACACATGCATATAAGAAATATATAACATTAATTTAAAACATTACCGATCTCTTAGAAGGCTCCACAATTCACCACCAAGGCATGCTTCCAGCAACATATACACATACTTGTTATCCTTGAAGGTCCGATATAATCTGTAAATGTACATAATTCTTAACATCTGAATACTAAAACTACAAATATTTTCACAAAACCATAACAAAAATATAAAATAAAATAAAAAGTATGTTAGGAGCTCCAAAGCAGGTGTATAACAACAACGGATATTATGAACGATTCATAGTTACAAGAAAAGAGACATGCGTCAATCAAGTTCATGCTTTCTCACATCTGTTTTTGCTGTTAACCCAAAAGAAGGCTAAGAAAGACTCAATGGTACAAACTGAACCCAGTTTGAAATGCTTTTTAATTTTGCAACAAACTAGGAAAAATTTCTTCTTGACCCCAAAATAACAGTCATGTCTCTCCTTGAATCAAGAAGCCTTCCTTTAAACTATAGAAAAGGCAAACATGCTAAAAAACATGATAATATTGTTTTTATTATCATTTACTACTGCATAACTGCTCTTTCAGGACTCGCTTTTGTCAAAAATGATCAAATCAGAGAAAAACTGATTTTATCTATACATGTGCTATTTCCCTATTCCAAATATCCTGACCTATAACATGAGATGCAAAATTCATAAATTATTAAATTTGCTTTAGCAAAATGAAGGACCCAGTAACTCTCATATGTATTAAACAATTAATTTGTAGGATTAATGTAAACATTATATACCTTACCACCTCTACCCCCACCTAATGTACTGTAGTGGGGATGGGTAACAACTAAATGTTGAGGAGCTATGGACTGTCCAGCCATGAATATCTCCATCACATGATTCATGGTACAGGGGCATTAATAAATGAATGGGTATGAAATGCCTGTTGATTTTCCCTAAAGGCCACCCACAGCCATCATATTGCTGTTGTGTAACATAATAATGTCCATTCCTTTATTGGTGGTATGGAAATGTTAATGATTTTGTGTGGTCCGTTTGTAACCTTCTTTTGCCACTCACTCATGGCTGCTGGGTGACGCTTCAAATAAAAAAAAAATCTAGTGGGACATTAATTGCCCTCAGACTGTTAGCAATGGAATGGGGTTTAGAAAATGAAAAAGGAGGGTAAATACAGTTATCTGGCTGATAAGGTATTACCATAGGGTGTTAAGACAGAAATTGCAACTTGTACTTATGCTCTACAATGTACCCACAGTACAGGAGGTATGTCAATTAATGCATTGTTGACTTATTTAAACATCCACTTCATTAACCAAAAACATTCTTATGTAGATGTATTACACTGTACAGATCTATAATATGTATCTTACTTCACTATAAAAGGTGAACTGGCTTCCTCTAAAATGTTCTTCTCAGAATGTATATGTTCTTGTTGCCTATTCTCCACAATGTGTTTCTTCTTAATACACTTCAGAGCAAAAGCTAGGTTGTCATTTCTCATTTTCACCTGAAACGGAAAAGATTGTTTATGAAATCATGCATAAAAACACATCATTCCTTGAAAAAGATTTTACCAATTAAACAATACGACTTTAAAGGAACACTCCAAGCACCCAGACCACTTCTGCCCATTGGAGTGGTCTGGGTGCCAACTCCCACTACTCTTAACCCTGCAAGTGTAATTATTAAAGTTTTTTATAAACTGCAATAATTACATTGCAGGGTTAACTCCACCTCTAGTGGCTGTCTACTAGACAGCCACTAGAGGGCACGTCCTGGTTTCTAGCACAATTAACCTGTGCTAGAGCGTTGCTGGACGTCCTCACGCTATGTGAAGACCTTCAGCGTAGCTCATTTCCCCATAGAAAAGCATTGAAATGCATTGACGAGCATGCGCATTAGGTCTCCCCGGCCGGAGGGCGGGATCAGTCTCGCCCACCGGCCGACGCAATCAGAGGGAGGAGCGGCGCGAAGGAAGAAGCAGCGACTTGGGACATCGTCGCTGACTCTGGTAAGTTACTGAAGGGGTTTTCACCCCTTCAGCAACCAGGGATTGGGGGGTGGGAGGGAGAGGGGACCTGCAGTGCCAGGAAAACAGATTGTTTTCCTGGCACCGGAGTTCCCCTTTAATCAGAAAAGCCATAGTATTTATCAAATCTTAAATATATTGATCAGCCATAACATGAAAACCACCAGCCTTATATTGTGTAGGTCCTCCTCGTGCTGCCAAAACAGCTCTGATGTGTCGAGACATGGAATCCGCAAGACATCTCGAACCTGTCCTGTGGTATCTGGTATTAGCATTGCAAGTTGCGAGGTTGGGCTTCCACTGATAAGGTTTATTGTTCCAGCATATACCTCAGAGGCTTGATTGAGATCTGGATAAAAAGAAGGCTGCCGCAACACCTTGAACTTTTGGCCATGTTCCTTAAACCATTTCTAAAAAATGTTTCCATTGTAGCAGGATGCATTTTCCTGCTATCACGGAACACCAATGCCATGAAAGGGTGTACATGGTCTGTAACATGTACAGCCTTTCATAGGTCAAAGTAAAATCCACATGAATGCAAGAAAGAAGCTTTCCCAGCAGAAAATTGCCCAAAGCATAACATTGCCTCCGCCGACCTACTTTATTCCCATAGTCCATCCTGCTGCTATCTGTTTCCCAGGTAAATGACGCACATGTACATGGCCATCTATCTGATTTAAGAGAAAACATTATCCATCAGGCAATCTTCTTCGGTTACTCCATGGTCCAGTTCTGACACACATATCTCTATTGAAAGCACTTTCAGAAGGGAACAGGAGGCATCACTGGGACTCTGACCAGTCTGTGGCTACACAATTCCATATGCAGCAAGCTGTGATGCACTATGTGGCATAATCACTGCTTGTTTGGGTGCTTTTCACTTGTATTGTGTATTTTTCCATGCCTTTCATATATTGTACCCCGCTCCCCGTTTGGGAGTGCTCCCACGAAAGGAACTCTATCTTCCGAACGGGGACCACCCCGATATCCCATTTAGACTGCTAGTTTAAACGTTCAAGTAGAACGTTCACACTTGCAACATAGGTGTGAAACTGTAAGAGAAGCAATTAATCAGTGCTCCCCTGGGTGGCCGCCATTTTGTGTAGACGAACGTCAGACCGGGGGAGCATTCGGGGATTGCTTCCCGACTAATTAATCTCCCGAACGAGGACCTCCCCGGCGTGCCATTGGAACGTTCCCACCAATTAATCAGAACGTTCGCACATAAGTGTGAAACTGCAAAGTTTGCACTGGAAACATAAATGTGAAACCGCAAGGGAAGTAACTAATGAGTGCTCCCCTGGGTGGCCGCGATTTTGCATAGATGAACACCAACCAGGGGGAGCATTCATACCCCGAAAGGTGATACTTCCCTTGCAGGTTTCAGCACAGGAGCCTCGCGAACGGGATGGGTCACTGTAAGGTCGCCTGTGGTTGGTGGGAACACTTTTGGGGCACTGACTAGCTTTTCTATGCCTGGGAAAACAAAGGGAAGGCCTATTTTCCCTGGCCTTGGCTCCAAGGCACAGAGGCTCCTGGAATGAAGACCCCCTGCCCATTGGGGAGGGAGACCCTTTGTATGTGTGGCAGGCTTTCTGTACCTGGGAGACAAAGGGACAACAACCCCCTTTCCTGTGCTTTGACTCACAGGTACAGAGGCTCCTGGGATATGACCCCTGTTGTTTTGGGATGAAGACCCCTTGCATGGGGACATGCATAAAAGCCGAGTGTGGCTCAATATAATTGTGTTGTACCTCCAGAACTGTGTGGTCCAGTTATTGGGGGAATGGCTGGCTGTCTGCCTGTCCTAAGGGTTCTGGAGGGGCTGAAGGAAGAAAATAGCAGAGGTAGCTGGTCGGGTTACCCGTGGTCCGCTACAACTGGTGGCAAGCGGCAGGATCATACTTCCGAGCCGAACAGAAACCAGCAAGTCTTTTTTCAGCTATGTAACTATGTAACAAACTAACCCATGGACTACATGGCTCTAAAGAGGCAAACCCTACAAGAATTACTGAAGGTCAGAGGACAATCAGCCGGCAATTGTCCCATGGCTGATCTGATTGCCGCCCTCATGGAGGACGATCTACTAAGTGGTGAGTCCACTGTACCACAGGGCGAGAAGGATGTCCTCGACAAAGAAATTATCCAGCTGTTCCTGCTGGAACGGTTTTACAATGGCTTGGCCTACCGAGGTACATGAGTGGGTGAGGGATCGGCAACCCAAGACTCTGACTGAAGCAGCCCAGCGGGCGGATGAATACGTAGATACCTGCCATCCACTTCGTCCCGCTCCCATCACCACTTGCTGACCCCCAGTACACCGTACTCTGCTGCCCCCTCCAATTCCTGCAACCCTACCCTTAGCCCGAAACCAACCATCTCCCACATCAACCCAGAGGGCACCGAACCTGGCTGCCACCCAGTGCCATCACTGCTGCCGGTATGGACACATGAGAAGGAACTGCGCTCAGCAGGACCAGTCCCAATGGATTAGTCCGGGGCCCCCTCCCACACCCTGGGCAGCCACACACCGCTACTCTTGTACGATCCGCAGAATACTGCGGAAGCTTGGATCGTTCTGCATGAGGCAAATACCATCCAATCCACGCCAGACAATAGAGATCACAACAGGCACCCAGTGCAACTGAATGGCCATATCGTGCACGGACTGCGGGACACTGGAGCCACCCTGACCCTGGTACAGCCCTAACTGGTCACTGAGGCAGAAACAACCGGAGGAACCATCGCCGTCCGGGTAGCAGGGGGCGCCATCCATAGGCTACCCACCACCAGGATACACCTCAACTGGGGTCTTGCTAGTCAACGACCTGGTCCAGCTAACTTCCTCATATCTGCCCACTGCTGGCCCTGACCAGCATACCCGGTAAAGACATGTCGATAAGCCCACACCACCCAGGACGGCTCACACTCTGAGACTCAGGTAGGCACTCATGCCCTTTCCCTTGTCTCTGTCCCCTTGCCCTCGGATACCCCTGCCAAGTTTGGGAGGGAAGTAGTCTCTGACCCTACCTTCCTGACTTATAGGGATATGGTGGCCACTAGTCAGGCGGGGTTGGACGGGGAATGGTTTATCTGGGAGAAGGGATTGCTATACAGCATAGCGGAGTGAGTAGGTTCGGGGACAGCTCCTACTACTACCAAATAGCTAGTGGTACCCAGGAAATATTAGCATGAGCTGATGAAGATAGCTCACGATATTCCCCTGGCAGGGTATTTGGGAGTGAGTCGTACTAAACATTGACTCACCCAAAGCTTCTTCTGGCCAGGCATCTCTAAGGACCTGAGGCAGCATTGCCGGTCTTGTGATGTCTGCCAGAGAGAGGGGAAGAGGGGCGACCGGCACAAGGCCAAGCTCCAGCCCCTACCCATCATTGCAGACCCCTTCGGCAGAGTAGCTGTTGACATCATAAGACCCTGGCTAAGTATAGCCCGTCTGGGAAGAAATATATTCTGACCATTGTGGACTACGCAACTCGATACCCCGAGAAAGTCGCCCTGAGCAACATTTAGGCAGAGAGTGTAGTCGAAGCCCTGATGTGAGTGTTCTCCCAGATGGGTTCTCCTGTGGAGATTATCTAGGATCAGGGCACCCAGTTTACTGTCGAGATGACTCACCAACTGTGAAGGTTATGTGGCATTAAACCGATCCTGAGCTCCCCTTACCACCCCCAGACTAATGGCCTGTGCGAACGCTTCAATGGCACGTTGAAGCAGGTGCTCTGTACCTTTGCAGTTACCCACAAGGATTGGGAAAGTTTCCTGCAGCATCTCCTGTTCGCATATCGGGAGGTGCCCCAGGAATCCACAGGATTCTCTCTGTTCGAATTATTATTCGAGCGGAGAGTTAGAGGGCCCCTAGACCTGGTCAGAAAGCACTGGGAGGGAAATGGGGATCAGGAAGGGACCCCCATCATCCCCTATGTGGAGTTTAGGGACCGGCTAGAGGAACTCACTCACCTGGTATGCAGGAACGTCCAGGTGGCTCAGAGGCGCCAGCGTATATGGTATGACCAGGGAGCTGGGAGCCAGAGCTTTCAAGTTGGTCAGAAGGTTCTGGTTTTGAAGCCTGTCCGGCATGGCAGGCTGCCTGGCAGGGTCCATACCAGGCGGTGGAATGGAAATGTGACATGCTGAAGCCCTACCACAAGCAGACAGGGGATGTAGCCACTATATGTGCTCCAGGCTCTGAAGATCTGAAGATTTCGATAATCATCCCCTGCCTGATCTCCTAGAGGATGGAGTTCAAGCAGGGACCATAGATGAGTTCCACTTGGGACACCGACTGACTGAGAAGTTCTCCAATCTGCCATGATTTACCCCACTAGCCACCCACAGGGTAGAGATCCCTGACCAACATCCTCTGCGGCAAACCTCGGACCTGGTTTGGGAGAGTATGAGGCAGAAGTTTCAGGAGATACTTCAATTAGGCGTAATCGTACCGTCCAAGAGTTCTTGGGCCTCCCCAGTAGTGCTGGTCCCAAAACATGACAGAGCTATCCGGTTCTGTGTATACTACAGGAGGCTCAATGACAAGACGGTCTCGGATGCATGCCCCATATAGACGAGCTATTAGACAGGATAGCTCGTGGCCAGAACCTCACCACGATAGATTTGTGTAAGGGGTACTGGCAGATTCCCCTAGCGGCAGATGCTGTTCCCAAGTCGGCATTCGTCACCCCATTTGGCTTGTACCAATTTATGGTGATGCCATTTGGGATGAAGAAGGCCCCAGCCACTTTCCAAAGAAAATTATGCATGTGCATACCTGGATGACATAGCCATATACAGCGGCACTTGGGAGGAGCATCTGGTACATGTAGGAGCTGTCCTAGACCGGATTAGGGAGGCAGAATTAACCTTAAAGCCCAGTAAATGCTACATAGGGATGGCAGAAGTGCAGTACCTGGGACACCGAGTAGGGTGTGGGAAACAGAAACACGCGCCAGCCAAGGTTGAAGCAGTAGCCAAGTGGGCCCTTCCCCGCACAAAGACCCAGGTGATGGCCTTCCTGGGGACTGCTGGCTATTATAGGAAATATGTCCTCTCACCGACTTGACCGGGAAGACCTTGCCCAGACAGGTAAACTGGACCCAAGAGTGTGAGAGGGCGTTCCAAGCCCTTCAGAACTCCCTGATAAATGCACCTGTCCTGGCTGCTTTTAATCCGAATAAACGTTTTCTTGTCCACAAAGATGCTTCTATGTTTGGATTAGGAGCAGTGCTGAGCCAGGTCAGGGATGATGGTGGAGAACATCCAGTAGCTTACCTCAGCAGAAAACTACTACCCAGGGAGGTGAGCTACGCCGCCATAGAAAAGGAGTGTCTGGCGGTGGTGTGGGCACTCAAAAAGCTGCAGCCTTATCACCTTACTCATGGAACACAACCCGCTGGTCTGGCTTAACCGGGTCGCTGGAGACAATGCCCGACTGTTACGGTGGAGCCGAATTTACCATTCATTACAGACCCGGTAAGCAAAACGTGAATTCTGACGGGTTGTAAAGATAGATGGAACTGGAGAAGTGATCTGTGAGTATGCCCCTGGATATCCCTGAGCCGATCCATTGGGATCAGACTGTGTATGCCAGCTTGTGGTTAAGGGGGAGCTGTGTGGCAGAACCACTGCTTGTTCTGGTGATTTTCACTTGTATTGTGTTTTTTTTCCCTCCCTTTAATATATTATACCCCGCTACCCGTTCGGGAGCGCTCCCACAAAAGGAACTCCTTTGTCTCCTGAATGGGGACCACCCCAATATCCCATTTAGAATGCTAGTTTGAACATTCAAGTAGAACGTTCACACTTGCAACATAGGTGTGAAACCGCAAGGGAAGCAATTAATGAGTGCTCCCCTGTGTGGCCGCCATTTCGTATAGATGAACGTCAGCCATGGGGAGCATTTGTGGATTGCTTACCGACTCATTTGTCTCACGAACGAGGACCTCCCCGGTGTTCCATTGGAACGTTCCCACCAATTAATCAGAACGTTCGCACTTGCTACATAAGTGTGAAACCGCAATGTTCGCACAGGCAACAGAAGTGTGAAACCGCAAGGGAAGTAATTAATGAGTGCTCCCCTGGGTGGCCACCATTTCGTATAGACAAACGCGCGAAGAGGGGGGGGGAGCATTCGTACCCCAAATGAGACACTTCCCTTGCAGGTTTCAGCACAGGAGCCTCTCGAACAGAGATGGGTCGGGGAATGTGCCACTGTGAGGTCGCCTGAGGTTGGTGGGGACACATTTGGGGCACTGGCTAGTTTGGCTGGCTTTTTTGCACCTGGGAGACAAAGGGACGGCCTCTTTTCCGGCGCTTTGGTTCCCAGGCACAGAGGCTCCTGGGATGAAGACCCGCTGCCCGTTGGGGATGGGAGAGCCTTTGTATGTGTGGTGGGCTTTCTGTACCTGGGACAGCGACCCCCTTTCCCGCGCTTTGGCTCTTGGGATATGACCCCTGTTGGTTTGGGATGAAGACCCCTTGCATGGGGACATGCATAAAAGCCGAGTGTGGCTCAATATAATTCGATTGTACCTCCAGAACCGTGTGTCATGCAGTTACTGGGGGAATGGCTGTCCGCATGTTCTAAAGGTTCCGGAGGGGCTGAAGGAAGGAAATAGCGGAGGTAGCTGATTGGGTTATCCATGGTCCGCTACACACTGTGTGTTTTGACACCTTTCTATCATGGCAGCATTAAATTTTTCAGCAATTTACGCTACAGTAGCTCTTCTCTGTGACAGATGGGTTAGCCTGAACCCCCATGTGCATAAATGAGCCTTGAGTGCCCATGACCCTGATGCCAGTGCACCTTTGGTAGGTACTAACCACTGCATACTAGGGACACCCCACAAGACTTACTGTTTTGGAGATGCTCTGACCCACTCATCTAGCCATCACTATTTGGCCCTTGTCAAAGTCAGATCTTTTTACTTGCCCATTTTTCCTGCTTCCAAAACATCAAATTAAAAAAAACTGACTTGACTTGCTGCCTAATCTATCCCACTCCTTGACAGGTGCCATTGTAACAATATAATCAATCAGTTATTCACATTACCTATCAGTTGTTTTAATGTTGAGGCTGATCAGTGTATGTACACATAAAGTAGCTTCAATATTTTTAAAATGGAGGGCAGAGGCATGGCAGTCCCTGGTAGTCTAGTGGTTGGGGAAGCAGAGATTCCTTATTGCTTCTCTGTATGCAGCAGGTGCTAGTGCCATGTTCTTTGCTCCTGCTGCCTGTATTATTGAGGCAGGTTTCTTCCTGCTAGACCAGAGTATAGGATTATTAAGTTTTCTACCGAGACCCGCTCAGCCACGCTATGCTGTGTGCACCTCCCTCCAGCCTGTCACCAGCGGAGAACAGCTCCCTCCCTATATTACGTTGCTGCATACCTCCACTCACAATCCTAACATTAAAGTGTTTGTCCATTTGAAATTTTGGAAGGTATGACTTAGACTCTCAATGCATTAAGGTACCTATTACATTAACATAAGCACATGTGAAACTGTGACTGAGTACATAGAAAAAAATATATATTTATATATATATATATATATACATGGACTTTTTGAGGACATTTGACAGTTTTTATATACTTTTGATGTTATTTTTATATTTTTATAAATTTATGGGGCTCTTAAAATATAACCCTTACGAGTTCAACTCTCCCGAACCCACCAACACCCAGTGTGGTAATAATCTCTAAATTCTCAAAAGGCGATGAAGATGCGAGTCGAGCAACTGTTTCTTTGATCTGGATCATTTCCAAAGAAATGGCTTTCACATGCTGTCCACCTCTCGATCTTCTTTCAGAGATTTAAAAAAAAAAAAAATAAGAAAAAAAATAAAACCAATTACAAGAAACATAGAGACTGTATACAATATTCCCACAAATACTTAATACAAATACATTAATACGGCAATATTTGGGAATCATCAGTGCTGTAGGATTATGTGAATCTATATTTTGATTGACATAGGAGCACATGGTATGACATCCTGAATCTAACTGTTTGGTGTCTATCAAATGCATAGGCAAGAGAACCCAATAGAACCCTACACCAGAAAAAACAATTGTCACATTTTTAAATTTGAAAAAAAAAAAAAAAAAGTCTAGCATGGTAAGTTCACAAATGTAAGGCAGATGCATGTTTTAAGAAGAATTGCTTGTTTGCGTTTATGTAGCTAAAAACTAATTATTAACATTTCTTTTAGTAGGTTACATCAGTCAAAAGTTATAATATCCGTACAGTGTGTGAGTGAGAGAGATGCAAAAACACCAAGAACGTTAGAAGAGATTGGGCATTAAATGGCTGTATGAAACGTATCAAATCCACTTAAGTAAAAACCTTTGGGTATGTACATTTCAAAATATATTCTTCTGGGCTTCGTGATAGCATAAACCTGAAAGGTAATGCACTCCTTGTTCTACATGACCTATTGCTATAAATCTAGAAACAAGTAAATAGAAAATATGCCATATCCCTCAAATAATTGTCTTAAGCTGCACAGGTTGGTTAACAATTGAATTCATATTTTTTACTACTTTTTATATAATTTTCAAGCTAAATTGTTTAAGTAAAAAGAGTGAAAATTTGGGAGTTCACAAGGGAATTGCAAATTTAAGGTCAAAATAGTTCCATTATAGTAATTTGACCTAAAATTTGTCATTCTCTTGTGAATTCTCTATAATGCAAGGTTTACTGAACAAGTGTGAATGTGTATCTCAGATGAATGAAAACTAAGTGTTGATTAATTTGTGATCATCAGTATAGCTTACTTGGCAATTCTTCTTTCATCGTCAAGATTCAGAGTTGCCACATAACCTTCAAGGTATTCTTGAAGTTCTTCGTAGGTTCCAACAGTCTGATTAAATTTCCTAACATGACACAAAGTTAAATATGGACATTCACTCCTATACATGCAATAATTATTTCACTAAACATAGAAGATATTTAAAAGGACACTGCATGTACAATAACAACTTCAACTGATTGAAGTGATTATAATGCCTGGACTCTGTAGGGAGTCCCAAATCACTTCTAAATGATTTACTCACTGTGAAGAAGAGATGCCCAATCCCTGGCACTCAGAAACCATGACTCCAATAACAAATGGCAGATGTGGAGTTAAGCCATACCAGGGGGAGTGGGCTGTGATAGGCTGACAGCATAAGCTTCGTGCTCTCAGCCAATCACTGCCATAATCCCTTGTAAGAATTGGTATGGTGCAAGGAGGAAGTATAGCTGGCTTCTTGTGACAAAGTTTGCCAAACATCTCTGCTAAATGCTGACTAAACTGTTTAGCAGTGATGCAAGAGCTAGAGCACATGGAATCAAGGGACCATAACCACTTAGTAACATGATAAACTGATTTGGAAAACACTAAAGTCCATCAAGTTCATCTGTCCACACATCGTTTCTGTGGGTTTGTTGCCTACAGTGTTCCTTTAAACATAAAAACAGTAGAAAAAGGTCAGCGCTGATAGAATAAACTGGGAAAAGTGAAATTAAGGCAGCTTTCCTCCTAAAGGAAGGGAATCCCTCTATCCCTATAGTAGTGAGGCAAGTACAAAATATAAAAAAGTGTAGAGGATTAGCGCCACTCTAAAAAGACACTGGTGAGAATATTATAACCAACATAAGATGCCTTAAGTAGGTTTACAATAGATAGATACACTTAAAAATGGGATAGAATAAGAGACCTAAAATACAAATAAATGTAAAATAAGATAAATAGAATAATAAAAAATAAAATATACATTTTTGAATATTTGTCCAAGATAGAGAGTCCAATAAAAGATGATGGTATATACTTTTTCTTTTCTTGAAAATGTTCTTGTTGGGATATCAGATGCAGTCCGTATGTGAAAAGAAGGAGAGGATAATGGTGCAGTATGTCCAGAAAATATAAAAATAAGAATAAAAGTATATATGGTCCTACTCACGTTTTTTAGAGCTTTAAACCAGCTCTAGTATAAAAGGCATACAGTGTACAATCCCCACTTATAGGATATGTGAAGAATGTGGATCCTCTACACTTTTTTATATTTTGTACTTTCCTTTAAACATAATAAAACAGTAAATAATATATTTTTTTTTAAATCACACATTTAAGTAAAGACAAAGGTTAACATTGCGTAGAACTCCCTTAAACTAATACATTTACATGAAGAACTTAAATCATTTTACTCACTCTCGATCCATGGCTAGACACTCCACATTATCATCGGCAATTATATTAGCTGATCTGACATCATCACTGCATACAAGAACAACACAGAGATATTAATGGGAAAGATCGGGGAACATGACGTATCATCAAATAACATTAAATAATGTCATTTTCAAAGCTGAAGCAGGTGGATCATGGCTTTTAAGTTCTGCAATATAACTTTCTGTCAGAATAGAATCTTACAAATCCTACCAAGCTTATGGACGTATTTTAGACTAATCATAATATCTTAAAACAATAATATGTTGTTTCACAGAATTATCTGAGGCAATACAAAGACAGAAAGTTGAAATGTCTGGCTATCATTTTAACAGGCAGAACTCTGATTTCATATAATATTTTTGTATGTATTCCATTCCACTTTGGATTTAATGTTTGGGAATAAAAATATCATTATGATGCTTTTTTTTTTTTTTCAAAACTGTACTGACCTGGAATATATGCTAATATTCAGAGATTGTAATATATAAATGGCTGTCAAAAAATAAAAATTTATATTTTGGTTAACATTTCCTAATTTAATTCTAATTGGTAAGCTCACTAAAAAGCTACTATTATTTAAATTAAGGAACATTAAAAAAAATTTGGATTTTTTATTTTCATTATGGAAAAAACTGTTGTATTTGGACAATCTAAACATTGTGCTTGCTTGCTTTTTTATCTTGTACAGTTGGCACTGAGTAATTATTAATAATAATGATCTTAGCAGAGTTATTTTCCCATAGATTTGAAGGGAGAAACTTATAGTCAGTAAGCAGGGTAGCAAGGTAAACCGTTACCTTAGAGAATGCAGCCTTTAAAGAAACACTAACCTTAGGAATACAAATATCTATTCCTAATACTATAGTGCCCTGGTCTCAGTATAGGTCACTGGGCAGATGCTGGCAGGATTAAAAATATATATTACTTACCTCTCCTACCTCCTAGTGCCGGGCTTCTCAGTGAAGCTTTGCCCGGAAAGCATTAGAAGGCTAGTGCGCATGCACAGTAAAACACTGCGCCAATCATATGGTCTTTTTGATTAAAATTAGCAGAGTTAATCTGAAGAACGCAATGTTTTCGGCTGCAGGTTTGAAACGAGAGGGGAACATGTCACCCAGACAACTTCTTTGAGAAAAACACAATCTTTACAGAATTCACTACAGAGTCTTCCAAACAACTGAACAAGTAAGATAAATGTAATAGTACAGTGCACAAACCTGATTAGGGACTTTTCTCCAAAATAATCACCCTTTTCCAGCATTTTAATTAACTGGGCCTCCTGGTTGCATTCAGTACTCTGAGTGACTTTTACCTGTAGATAGAAATATTAGGTATGTAAAATAACAATAATAATAACAATTTAAAAAAAGGAATATTCAAATACAACACAAAATAAAGTTATTGGGAATTACCACAAAGTCATAATGCTGCATAACTAACAATAACTAATAAGATCTGTCCCAGAGACCCTGATGGATATTCAAAGTGTTTCAAAAAGTGATGGTGGTGGTGGTTAAATACCATCATTGTTATTTATGATCGTATTTATGAAAGTGATCTAAAAAGTGACAATTTATTTCATAGTTTATAACATTTTTCTGTCAGAAAAAGTGGCAGAAATATTTATAAATAAGTAATGTCTGCAAAAAAGAATAACATATTATAATATTTTGCCAAAACAATGTGACATATAACAAAAGCTGACAGATTTAATCAATTATACCAAAAATTCATTGAAAAACTGTCTGAGGCAGTATATTAATTTTTTGTTCTGCAAATTAATATACTGTCTGGGGCTGTATATTAATTTTTTGTTCTGCACACAAATAGTCTAATTTAACATGCTCCCTCCTGACTGCACCTTAAAACGCTCCTTTCCCAGGGGCAGGCCCGGACTGGCCATCGGGCACACCGGGCAAATGCCCGGTGGGCCGCGGTGTCCGTGGGGCCGAGGCCGGCAGGGGAGGTCCCAGGATCTCCCCTGCCGGTCTATGCAGGGCCGGCACTCTCCTAGCGCCGGCCCCGCTGTCTCCACGACGGGCCGGTGGGGGATCAAAGATCTCCCTCACCGGCCCACATGCGGCCGCCGGCGGGGAGGGAGGGAGCCAGCCAGCCAGCCAGGCTGGAGAGAGGACCCGGCGGAGCTCTAATTTGCGGCTCCGCCGGGATCCTCTCGCGAGATCCGGCGCGTTGCCATGGCAACGACCGGATCTCGCGAGGAGTTCACTCACCCACGAGGACCACCAGGGAACACTGCCTCCCCGCCTCCAGTCCCAGCGTGCCGGTCCCCCCCTCCCAGGCTAAAGGTAAGAAGGGAGGGGGGGGAAATAATACCTGTTTTTTTTTTATTATTTACCCCCCCTACATACACACAATAACATTTATACAGCACTCTCACACCCATCACACACAGCACTCTCTCACACCCATCACACACAGCACTCTCACACACACACAGCACTCTCTCTCACACAGCACTCTCACACCCATCACACACAGCACTCTCACACACACACAGCACACACAGCACTCTCACACCCATCACACACAGCACTCTCTCTCACACAGCACTCTCACACCCATCACACACAGCACTTTAACACACACAGCACTCTCTCACACCCATCACACTCACAGCACTCTCACAGAGCACTCACACACCCATCACACTCACAGCACTCTCACAGAGCACTCACACACACACAACACTCTCACAGCACTCTCACAGAGCACTCACACACACACAACACTCTCACAGCACTCTCACACCCATCACACACAGCACTCTCACACCCATCACACACAGCATTCTCTCACAGCACTCTCACACCCATCACTCTCACAGAGCACTCACACACACACAGCACTCTCACACCCATCTCACATACCCATCTCACACAGCACACTCACATCCATCACTCACACACAGCATTCTCACACCCATCACTCACACACGGCATTCTCCCATCCATCACTCACACACAGCATTCTCACACCCTTCACTCACACATGGCACTCTCACACCCATCACTCACACACAGCACTCTCACACCCATCACACACCGCACTCTCACACACACATACTGCACCCCTCACATACACACAGAACCCCCCCCAACACACTGCACCACAAACATACACAATACTTCCAAATATATATATATATATATATATATATATATGTATACACGCACACACTACACTCTTAAAGGACCACTCTAGCCACCCAGACCACTTCAGCTTAATGAAGTGGTCTTGGTGCCAGGTCCTTCTAGGGTTAACCCATTGTTTTATAAACATAGCAGTTTCAGAGAAACTGCTATGTTTATCAATGGGTTAAGCCTTCCCCCAAAGCCTCTAGCAGCGGTCTCATTGACAGCCGCTAGTGGTGCTTGCGTGCTTTTCACTGTGAAAATCACAGTGAGAGCATGCAAGCGTCCATAGGAAAGCATTATAAATGCTTTCCTATGCGACCGGCTGAATGCGCGTGCAGCTCTTGCCGCGTGTGCGCATTCAGCCGACGGGGCGGATCGGAGGACGAGAGCTCCCCGCCCGGCGCTGGAAAAAGGTAAGTTTTAACCCCTTTCCAGAGCCGGGCGGTCCCTGAGGGGGCACCCTCCCTGAGTATGTTTTCCTGGCACTATAGTGGTCCTTTAACATACACACTCTGGATCCCCTATACACACACTAGATTCCTTGTAAGCAAACACATTCTACACCCCTAAACACACACACACTATAGCCTGTATGCACACACTTGCTATATCCCCAATACACACATTCTCTACAGCCCATAGCCACATATGCATCACATTACACCACAAACACAACACGACTAAAACCGACCTTATTACACAATACCACACCACGACCAGCTCACTCTACACACACGCAATACCACAAGCAGGCTCCAAACACATGCACAATACTCTTTCCTGGCCTTTTGTCTCCTGGTATCCATTTATAGACACCAGAGACAAGTTGCAAGGAAACACAGTGCAAGCATGTTATTAAATTTGCTTGCACTGTGCAAAACAAATACAGGACTTTTTTCTCATGCTAGAGCTCTTCAGCAGAGCTCTGCGCATGGTCTGCCCTGGAAGAGCATTGAACCAACATGCTCACTTTGAGAGGAGGCGTGTCTGTCATTGGTGACAAAACACACCTCCTCTGCCCCGCCCCCTTTTTAGTGGGCCGCTGTGTTAAAAAAATGCCCGGGCCGAATTTTTCTCCCAGTCCGGCCCTGCCCAGGGGTGTCACTTTCTATCCCTTTTGGAGAATGGAGACAGGTCTATAGGTCACTGTGCAACTATCAATGTATCTAGGTATGCAAATTTACTTTATAGACAATTCCTTTGTGGAAAATATCTCCCCTAAGTAAAACATCTCTGTTCTGTACTTGTAACCTAATAAAGACAAATTACATCCTTAGTATTAATAGCTATATGTAGCCTTACTGTTATTAAATGAGTGGAACATTTCACATCAGAGTAGGACTAATAGTTATGTAGAGCAAAATTCATCCTTGAACGATTTAATGTCATCTGTAATAAAACACCTTTTAAATTTCTTCACAGAGCATTTTTGTTGCAATGTTGTTGCAATGTTGGAGTCACAAATCAGTGTGAATACATGTTCAATCCAAAATATCTTCTTGCACGCATTTTCAAAAGAAGTGACACACAAGGGTTTATTAACAAAGCTCGGAATTGTGGAGAATTTAAGTCCAAATGGCAACATTTAAGCAAAAATAACTTCCCCGAAAAATTCTCCAATACAACTGTATTCTTAGCTTGGCTATTTTAGCCTCAGTTTTGCAATTCAGCCTTTAATTTGCTAGGTATTGGAGTTTAGGCAAAAACTTTTACATTCATTTCGTTCAAATGTAAATTGCTAAATTTTAAATAGAATCCGAAAACTCCACTAAGAGGCCACCGGAATATATCAAGATGCTTCTCAAACAGTGCTGAGAGTATGTTTCCCTTGCACTGCAACCCACCAGCTCTCAACATATTATATAAATTAAGATATTTGACATTTTTGGATAAGCTTTTCAAATCATCTTATATTTTGGATTAACTTTTATGTAACAATTCCAATTTTTAATTCAAAATATTAACATATCAAAAAATATAAATATATATGAAAAAATCAAAATATTAAAATACAAATTTTTTTTTTTAAAGTGAATAATTGTAAATCTATATACAAAAATATGAATTAATTCGAAAAGCTTAGCTTATACAACAATATTAAATCTAGACCTAAGCATGTCATTTATTTTATATTCTACTCTACTTTCTGAGCATTAAATATGTATCCCTAGTCTTTCCAGAATTATTTAGGAAAATGACACCTCATCCTTTTTTTCATAATGACTTATGTAGTGTAAAAGTCACATTTAAAATATGTGCATCTTTGTTCTTATTTCCTGACCGAAACTACTTGAGCTGATGTCAAGCCTGTATGCATTGTAGTTCTTTCATTTATTAGGAATTCCATTCAACGATTTATATAGTTTGGAACTTCATCCCAGGCTTCCTTAAATGCTTCCCCTTCTGTGTTTGCAGTTTGGCAGTAAGGGTCCATATTAGGGTAGGCAGCCTTCAGCACTCCAGATGTTGTGGACTACACCTCCACTGATGCTTTGCCAGCATTATGGCTGTCAGAGCTTTGTGGGAGATCGACATCTGGAGTGCCAAATGTTACCTACGCCTGGTCTATATTGTAAATATTAATGCATGCCACTTATTTTTGTTAAAACATTCATGGTTTTGTTTGTTTTTTTATTTTTAAATTTTTTAAAATGAAGTGGCAACCATTTTGTGTAAGCTATTTGCGTGTTATTTCAAACATCATACATAAGTTATTAAAAGTGTTTAAAACATTTTCTTGTGATCGTTGACATATCAGTTATTTCCATCCCTTTGGTGTGCTCATCAATTACTAAAAGTAATTCTCTCCAGACTCTGGCCTGCAAAATCCAGATGAACTTTGTGTCAGGGGACTAATGGTCCTTCTAAAATATGTCCTCTTGTATGCTGCTTCATTTATTCTGTTCCCAGGTGCTCCTTATGTAACAATTCCAACGTTTACAATGTATGACTCTGTCTCTACAAAACTGATACAACGATCAATTCATTCATCCTGTTCCACGTGGTTTCAATACTTCTGTACTTCGTTCTCTCCTTATTTCACACTGATTTATTAATTTCAGAGTTTAATCTTCATGTAGCTCTGATGCAAGTCTTTCAGAAGTGATACATTTGTGGTCTATATTATTACAGCAATTATAATAAATTGCATTATATTGTGTCTCACTGTACTACAATCTTCAGAGTATTGTTAAAGATGCATAAACATTACAGTGTGAAGCAGTGATTATGGTGCCAGTCCCTGGGTGCTGTCCCAAATGAAGTACTACTTTCAGTGGACACTTACCTAGGTTCCCTGTGCGCCCCAGGGAAGGCATCTTCAGATATAGCTATATGTATAATATATTCTTCCGATAGAGCTAGATTATCAATTTCCTCCCTTCCCTATCTGATCAAAATTAATTACCCGGGAGCATCAGTAACACTCTTAGTCAATTAATTTGTCCAATAGTAAGCAGAATTGACTAATGATGAAGTATGGACTTTAAGGTCATTCATAAAAAGGAATTCTATAACAAAATTGTCATGATGTTTTTGAATAAAATGTAAACTATTTTATGTAAGCTATTTGTGTATAATGTCAAATGTTTCCTATCAACTATTCCCAGCTGATGATAACCGCTTTAATGATGATCTATGACAGGGGTGGGCAATCTTCGGCCCTCCAGATGTTATGGACTACATCTCCCTTGATGCTTTGCTAGCATTACGGCCCAAAGAGCATTGTGGGAGATGTAGTCCAAAACATCTGGAGGGCCGAAGATTGCCCACCCCTGATCTATGACATATTAGTTACTAAATTCGACTCCATCTAAACCCAGCTCTGCCTCTTTTTACATAACAGCATTGTAGGGAGAGGGTGTGAAGGACAGTACCCACATGTAAACAATAAAAATAAAGATATTGGGCCAACCAAGAGCTTCTCGAAAGAACCTTTAGAATTTGAAACTATACAGACTGCGTGATTTCAACTGTTCAAGCAAACCTTATATAAAACTTTAATTGAGTATGAGTTGAGTCTTGTATTTTGTTAAAGCAATTTCCACATAAAATAACCAATATTTTATTTTATGAATTTGCACTGTAAATGGAGTAGAAGAACTAATATCATTAAAATATATATTTACCTCATCCAATTCCACAGCATTATTACGCATTTAATTAATAGCGACATCTGCCATGTTTTCTTTCCTTACAGTCAATTTCTATTAGAATTTCAGTAGTTATTAAAAAAAGATCAACACAAACGTTTCTTTTTTTACATGGTCCACTTTTGCCAAATTCACGTCAACATTTCATAAATAGGAATTAAGGACTTATTACATTCAATTGTTGAATTGACTATGATCAAGTAAAATAAAAAATAGTTAGTGTTGAATTTCTCCCAAAGTAAATCACTTTATAAAACATAATATTATTGTGCCTGGGTACTTGCATTAAATCGAAATCTCATAATAAAACCTAATTCTCACATATGTTTTGGGCAATTTTGGTACAATCAGCTATTGCTGTGTTCTGCCAAAGAATATAAAATTGGGGAAGTTCAATATAAAAAAGTAGTTTAAATCAACAGTATGAATGGCCCTCAAATTGAGCAACTTTGGGTGGCTTTGTTATTATACCGAATCTCACACTATAAATGCTCACATTTCCCTTAAGTTAAATTTATATGAAATTTATATAATTTCCCTTTAAAATATAATGTTATTTTAATGATTTAATTGATTTGTAATGTTCATGCTGAAAGTATTTGCTGAGAAGTAATAGCAGTTACAACAAATCGAGAGACGCTTAAATGAAAACACTTTTTTATTAGTAACAGTAATCAAAAGAACTCCATGCTCTGCTCTGCAATCCCTCTCTACCCCAGCACTCTGAGTTATTAACTAAACGTGGGACCATGAGGGAGCTGTTAAAGTGATCTTCACCCAAAAAGGGTGCTTACCAAAAGGTTCTCCCAGCGGACCACCAGTAATCCACCTCCCCAGAGTGTCTTCCACTGGACCACCAGTGACAACATGCAAATGCCTCGGGTCCTGGGCAACCTTAATCTGGCTCTGTATATCATATCCTAAATATAACAGCTTATACATTGAAGGTCTTTTCTGTCTTACCTTGCCCTTAGCAATGATAAAAAATGTGCTCCCTTCCTCTCCTTGGCGGATGATATAATCTCCCTTTTCATAATATTCCTGCACAAATAAAAGACACAATTTCTTAGAATCAGAAATCAGTCTGACACGTATTGGCATTTGTTCTGGACATTGAAAATACTGGAGAGCATGTGGCAAGATGTCTTTGATCTGCCATCAGAATTTATTTCAGGGATTAAATTTAAATCAGATAAGGATGGGAATTTATTTCGACTTGGTACACTTTAGATATTTCTAGGGAACATGGCCACAATGTGAACTAAATGAGTTAGCATTTTAAAGGGTTACTCTAACCAAAGAACACTGTTTGATTAAGATAATGTTTTTTTTTCCCTGATTAATCCATACTATTCTGTGATAGCCAAATTCTGCACCGTGACCAAATTCTCTTGTCACTCCTCCTTGCTAAAGAGTGAGAGATCTCCAAAATACACAAAACTGACATTTGCCACCATGGAACTCTTGTTCTCATCTGACCAATGGTACCTTAACGACATGTCGGTGGTGGAGTTACACCTCTGACAGCAATGATATATATCTCTGGCATTTCATAGTTAAAGGGACACTATCGATGGGAATTTCCTAGACCACCATTAAAGTTGTGTTGTTTGCCAATCACCTAGGTCTAAGTCCAATCCTAAAATAATATGATTAATGGAACCGAACTCACATGATCCAAACTCCATCCAACGAGTAAACTGGCCATGGTTAGGTCACTAATCTAATCACAAAGTGCTCCAGTGATAGGAAAAAAAACAACACAAAAAACAGAAAAAAATAAAATGAAAATAAAAATGCGCATAAAACCTCCTTTATTCCTTAAAAATTCAAAAGAGATTTAAATAAAATAAATATTGTTGTTCGTTGCCTCTTATAAGTAAATATCATTAGGAAAGGAGAGAAACCTAACTTCCATGAGATTAACAATGCTTTTATTATGTCCAGCTGCATTACTCAATAAATACATACATAAATAAAATAATTGAATAAGGTAATAGATAATTTAGTTACATAGCATTGTAACATTTGACTGAATGAATAAAGTTTGTGAATCTTCAGAGATCAGTACAAATAAACAAATGAAATTACACGAATGTATTTATACTGTTTTGTGATAATATGTTGAAGACAAAAAGTGGGGTCACAAGAGGACCATTTTAAAGGTCTATACCAAAGGACATACTTATTACTTATTACAAAAAGTAAACATTTTGTTAGACACTTAACGTGACCTTTGACCCACAAACATTTTTACAGTTGATTGGCTATAACACTTCGTCGAGTACATACATTTGGTTTCTAGTTTTAGAATACAGTGAAGTCTCAAAGTATTAGTCTTTATTCAATGCCCTTGTTCCACAGTAAGCTGCTGCAGATGTTACACTAAACCTCCTCTAATAGATTATTTTTAACCTAAATGTAAACAAGGTTGGGTACAGCTAAGCTACAAGTGGTACACCACAAGCAAATTAAGATTAACCTGCTGTAAGTGACTAATATTTGTGTTTACACACAAAAACACATACACATATTTATATCTGGATTATTTTAGTTAAATGAAGGATCTATAAACACAGCTGTTTTGTGCTATTACTTAAAATGGAACTATCGCCAGCAGAAAAGGTTATAGGGGTGAATTGCACAGGTGAAATACGTACACAACAGTTCCACTTTCCACGGTGCTATATAGCATTCTTATGGCGTCTTGTGACCTCATTAACTTACATAGCATGCCAATCTACTTTATAACATCACTGCATTTCAAATAAATACAAATAAAACAAAAAATATGGTTTTATATTCTTAAAAAGCACAATTAATAGATAATTCTTCCTTAGCAATTTAGCAAGTTCCATAATCGCCAAAGTGACATTGAAGTGGTCTGGGTACAGTGTCCCTATTGCACTTAGTGCTGTAATAAAAACACTGTAGTTCCAGAGAACTGCAATGTTTACATTGCAGCACTAAGTGTGCCTTCAGTGGCTGTCTACCAGACACGCTTCGTGGAGGCGCTTCCATGGATGTTAACAGACTTTTGGTCCGCTAACTGATGGTGGACATGCTCACACTCTGCATGAGGACATCCAGTGTCAGCTATTTCCCCAGCTTTGTGATCCAATGCTTTTCCATAGGGAGGCCTAATGCGCACACAGCACTTGCCGCACATGCTCATTAACCCCTGCTCGTCGAAGCCGCGCCTCAGCCAACGGTTTAGACATTAATGGCTGTGTTTTGAGTTATTTTGAGAGGGCAGCAAATTCACATTGTTATACTGGTTGTACACTTACTACTTTACATTGTAGCAGAGTGTAATTTCTTCAGTTTTGTCACATGAAAAGATATAATAAAATATTTACAAAAATGTGAGGGGTGTTTGTGAGATACTGTATTGCCAGTTGTTAGTTTTGAAGGAAAAATGAAGCAAGTATTTTTTTCATATATCCAACTTCCATTGTGTTTTATGCAAGTATTACAGAAAAAATAAATAAATAAATATATATATATATATATATATATATACATATATATATATATATATATATATATATATATATGTGTGTGTTCCTTGGTCCAAACAAGAATGGGATTCACTGATCTAGAAAGTCCAGTTTAGCCCCCAGTGATCTAGATTTAACATCAGGGACCAGAATGGAATTCTCTTTAAGGCTGGCTGAGGATCATGAGCTGCACAGTTCACAAGCACAACCATGACTGATCTAGATTTAATATATGGGACCAGATTGAAACTCTCCTGTTTTCATTACGTCTGCTCTGCAAAAACTCTATTAGAAACACATTTTCTACATTTAAAGAAAAATGATTGTGCTCTTCAGTGAAATTGCGCTGAATTATTAATTCGTAACATCTGTGTCAGTATTACGTTACGTGGTCATCCCTCTTGAGGGATCAGATCCAAGAAGACCTGTTCAGAATGATTTCATCATCAAAACCCTGGGAAATGGGAAAGCAAACACTGTATCTTCATGGTATGGAATTAATAACCGTCACTGGGGAATTCGCATGAAATACTCATTGATACATCGCTGGTGTAATTTACACATAAGTGCAAAGTGGTCTTTGACTACTTGTCAGTGGAAGGTAGCTTTTCTTTTTAAATTACATAAGGAACACAGGACTGACATAAAGTCAACACCTTGAAAATAGTTTCTTTCTGTTAAATCTTTCAGAAAGAAAATGTGCAACTCCACCGCATGTATTTGAAGTGTTTAACTTCTATATGGTATTTCTGCCCCCCAAAAAACAATCTAACTAGTCCCTCTTATTTTTACACTTTGTTTAAGGTATACAGAAAGCCCTGCTTAATGAGCTATATTGTACTTTGATAAAATTGGACATTTTTCACCTTCTTTATAAAAGGAAAGACACAGCACATTACCATAGCATGCTTTGGATTGTTCTTAATTATTCTTGCAAAATGTGCAAATATGGGCTGGCTATAAATATATATTTTTAATGCCATTAATTTAGGATAGATAGGGATACACAAAAAAGATAGATTTAGAACCATATATAGATATATAGAAAAATATATAGATATATAGAAAAATATATTTATATAGTTTGGAAAAGGATTAGAATTTTAACCCCTTCAGAGCCACGGGAGGGGGATCCTGACGGTGGGGGCACCCTCAGGGCACTATAGTGTCAGGAAAACCGCTTTGTTTTCCTGACACTATAGTGATCCTTTAAAGGGACACTATAGTCACCAAAACAACTTTAGCTTATTAAAGCAGTTTTGGTGTATAGGTCATTTCCCAGCAGTGTCACTGCTCAATTCTCTGGCATTTAGGAGTTAAATCCCTTTATTGCACCCTAGTCACACCTCCCTGCATGGAAATTGTAAAGCCTTCCTAAACACTTCCTGTAAAGAGTCAGCTAATGTTTACACTTCCTTCATTGCAACTTCTATTTAATTTAAAATGTATTATCCCCTGCACTGTTTATAGCTAGCAAGAATTCTGTGCATGATTAAAGTTCACTTTAGAGAGCAGGCACTAAGAACTTTTAAAGTAAGTTACATCTAATTGAAAGTGAAACCATTTTTTTTTTTATGCATGGTGTGTGAGTCAAAGCCAGGGGAGGTGTGACTAGGGCTGCATGACAGAAACAAAAGTGATTTAACTTCTAAATTGCGGAGATTTGAGCGGTCAGATTGCAGGATCATGATCTATACACTAAAACTGCTTCCATAAGCTAAAGTTGTTTTGGTGACTACAGTGTCCCTTTAAGATAGAGCACAGAGCCACAACAACTAATTGATAAAATTAATATTAATCCATAATGAAAATAGTCAACGATTCCTTTTATTGATTAGTTGGTCTAACACACAATCCCAGATCTCAGCACTTTGCCTCAATACAACACTTTAAGGAGATAACACACCTTGCTTTAACGTAACAAAAACAGTTTTACAGAACATTAATCAATGGTTTGACCCCCAACGGTTCTTTTTGAAGATCTCAAACTATATATTCATTGCTCATATCAGTTCAAACCCAACCAAATAGAATACAGAGAGCATACAAACCATTTGGTTTTATTCACTAAAATGGGAACAGTTGGGATTTAATAAGGAAAACTCATAATTCTAAAACCCATCAGGTCTTTCAGCATCACAATTGTAACCTGAAAAATGTATGCATGTTCACTACCAGATCTGAAAGGTACACAATTTCACAATTTGTGATGTTTATATGCAGAAGCTGGCTCTCCAACTGAGATTTATATAGCAGGCACAACAGAGCCTGGGCAGAATAAAGGGGAAGATTTATTTTAGAGTAGAGGAAAATACTATTGTGTTGCCATCTATTAGTGGTGGGGGATACAAATATAATAAATGGACACACACACACACTTTAAATATATATATATACCATACTGGGGTCTTAAAATGTTTGGATGAATTTGACCTCTCTAAAGCCCTCAAGTTTAAAATTATTTGGGAAAGCCAAGAATGCATACAACAAATATGATAATCTACATAAAAAGATCACCTTTTTACAACCTTTTATAGAAACGTATTTAATATCTTACCACTTCCAGGCAGTCAGCTATTTTCATCAATTTATCTTCTGGGAGCCTTTTCAATAAGGACACACTTTTGAAATACAAGAAAGAAAGATCAGTTTAATTTGCTCATGACATACTGATGGGGGGAGAAGAAGGAATTTATTGTATCAAATATAATTGGAAACAAAGTATATATGCATATTGTGTTCCTCATAAATAAGCCCGTAAGACCTCTGGAAATAATGAAAAAATATTTGATAACTATACTGTATATTTTCATAAAATAAAAATTGTGTTTGCCTCCATTTTTTTTTCCTATTCGTATTTTATTGAAAGAGTTTTCATGAAATATAGGGTACAGAAAAGAAAAAGGGAAGACGGGGGAACATATACAGATGAAACATTTCAGTATACAGTCGCATAGGTTACATGGTATCTAATACAATATAGCTTGTGGTGGTTGGCATAGTAGACCTGATCATCTCATTTTCGAAGCTCTATATCATACACATGGGTGGTATATTTCAAAAACCTTACACCAAGCCTATTTACTCGGATCTGGGGGAAGTTGAGTCACAGTGCATCATGCTATATCCCCAATATCTACGATGACTGAGAGAGGGTAACTACGGAGGGTGGTTCCCTTTATTTGGTGCATGGCTGAGCCATTGTTGCCAGCCATGGCGAGAAATAGCTATTTGTTTGGGTGTATTCGCAGTCAGCATCTCATACCTAAGGTATAGCCGTATCTTATGACTCAATAGTATTGGGGATGGGCACACCGTCTGTTTCCAATGGCTAGCAATCAGGTTATGAGCAGCCAGGATCATTATCACTAACAGATGCCTACCTGGGAGAGGGACATGGCTAGGTATTAACAGAAAGAGACCCGTCTTGGGTGTGAGCCTCAGTTGTTGGGTGTTTGCCTCCATTTTAAATGTTTTACAGACAGAGAAAAAGAGTTAACAACAACACACAAAGATGCTGTCTAACCATACTTACCTTCTCAGGAAATTTCTGTGTTCTTCATGTCTCGTTTGTGCAGTCTTTCTCATAATATTCTGGAAAACCTCTCTGTCCAGAGCCCATGTCCTTACATTGCTGATTGCTTATAGAACATATGATAAATGAGAATATGAGTAAATAAATATAGGGGACATTTTGTATTAATAAAGAAATAAAGAAATAAAAAGTTGATTAAAGGACCACTATAGTGCCAGGAAAACATACTCGTTTTACTGGCACTATAGTGCCCTGAGGGTGCCCCCACCCTCAGGGACCCCCTCCCACCCTGCTCTGGAAAGGGGAAAAGGGGTAAAACTTACCTTTTTCCAGCGCTGGGCGGGGAGCTCTCTGCCTCTGATCCTCCTCCGTTCCTCCCCGTCGGCTGAATGCGCACGTGCGGCAAGAGCTGCGCGCGCATTCAGCCGGTCGCATAGGAAAGAATTATCAATGCTTTCCTATGGACGCTTGCATGCTCTCACTGTGATTTTCACAGTGAGAATCACGCAAGCACCTCTAGTGGCTGTCAATGAGAACGCCGCTAGAGGCTTTGGGAGAAGGCTTAACCCATTCATAAACATAGCAGTTTCTCTGAAACTGCTATGTTTATAAAAAAAATGGGTTAACCCTAGCTGGACCTGGCACCCAGACCACTTCATTAAGCTGAAGTGGTCTGGGTGCCTAGAGTGGTCCTTTAAGTTATAATGATTTTAGTGTTGTTTTTAAATGTTTTAAAGGTGCAAAACTCAAATTTTACTAGCATCACTTCCTTTCTGTCATGTGTATGTATAAGTTTTGTACTGCATTCTAAGACCATGCAAAATGAAATTTAGCCCATAATGCCCTAATTTCATATCATCTGTTGCTTGCTTAGGCCGTTCTCCTTGTGTTCTGACTGTTAATGGACACCATCCCTATATGGCCTTCAATAGGTCACCTGGCAGGAGTTATTTACAAGCACACATCTAGATGCTTTATTCAAGTGACAATAAACACGTATGGTTTTGATGCGCAGAAATGGTGCAGGTCAGTTAGTCCTTTTTTAGATCAGGTACACTTCCTTGGCACTGTTGAGGTTTATCTTATAAGCCAGAAGTGTATAACTGTATTTTCCTATTACTAGAATTACCTTGGTATACTTACCTAGCTTTTCTATGTATATTATGTTATCTAGTACCCTTGTCTTTGTGTGTTCTCTTGCTTTCCCAATCTCTGCATTCCTTCCACCTCAGCTTGATATTGCACTATGCAGGTTCACTTTTTAACCTGACTAAATTAAACAAACTAAGCCCAAACATTCATAGGTTCAGTGATATATCAAGGCCCTGCTTTTCTTATGGAGGTAGATCAATGGCTTAATCTTTAAATGTACACCCCCCCCCCCCCAGGAGCCTCATAATATTTCCATGTTCAATTCACAATTGCTATGGTAAAAGTTTTATATCACCATTCTGTTTAAAGCCATACACTCGAAAATGCCAATACAAACCATACCCCAAATGACTTAAAACAACAAAATTACACTGAAATCCAAATACAAGGTGAGATTCAATACCATAAGTGGCAAATATCACATTTTATCATATCATGTTTAGTCTATTATATTTGCTTCTGCATTTATTATTAAATACTTAAAAAAATAAATGTCACATTATACAAAGTGTGTCCTTATCAATGAAATACTATTCAATGACAGCAAGGTATTTGATAAGAGAGTCAGAAGGAAGGAGATAAAGATTAATTTTATGGGAGGTGGAGAATAGTTTTCTATATTGCAACACAACACAGCAATACCATGACTGCAATATTACAGCAAGCTGAACGTTTTACACAAGTTTTGATTAACTCTCTCCTTGTTGGTGTGACTTTCCATAGTTTTGGCAAACCAGCGCCTATTTGGTTCCTATAGGATTCTGTAAACAGCTACTAAATTAACTAGAATAATTACTTTTAGATCTGTACAGATAAACTGACAAATACCAGATGTAATAAAAAAGTAATGAATCATAATGGTGTAAATTAACCTTCACTCAGGATAATTTACAGCATTATAAACTATAATTTGAACACAATTTTACAATTTGAAGTCATATACCTATGAAAGGATGGCTCTGGGAGGTGCAAAATTAGGAGGTTTTTTTATCATATAATATTTTTGTAAATGATATACTTAGCTGTTGTTATTTCATCATAAGCCTTATAACAAATAGTACAAGTATAAATTCACCTTTACCTTACGATTAAAGGCCTATTTACTAAAGTGAGAATTAAAAGTCAATTCATAGAAAATGTCACATTTAAGGCCAAAATAGCTGAAATGAAATTTTCCAGTTTAGCTATTTTGACATTAAATTTGAAATTCACTTTGTATTCTAACTTTAGTGAATAACCTGAGAGTCAAAAATTTGAGTTTTTGTAGGAACATAATCAGCAGTCCAGAAGTGAGCCTTACCTTTTACTGAGGCTGTTCTTGTACAGTTATACAATATTGCAAGTTCCCCAAACGTTGTCCAGCCAGGAATGGAAGTCAAAAGTGTGTTTTGCTGGAAAACCTCTGTTTTGCCCTCTGTTAATGTCAATAAATGCGTATGTGAGAAGATTGTGTCAATTAATTCAACACTTCTGAAGAATTGCTACATAACAATAGGCATCAGAATGAGAAAGGAAACAAATGTCCCTTATATATTTCCATTTAAAAATACATTTAAAGTGTCCCTCTGGTAGACATGCGTAAATATCATTTAAGCAATCCACAGCAGTAAAACTGACATTAGTATGTAATATACTAAACTAAACAATCTAAAAACACTGTAGCATATATAAAATATTGTGTGTTAATGAAATATATATATATATATATATATATATATATATATATATATTATATTGTGAATTCAACTTAAAATGTAGCCCATTATGTGACATGTCATGATTCCCTTTTATTCCAGAAGTTGGGTCCTTAAGGGGTTAAAACACATGTGTAAATAGGGTAAATTAGTGTATTGGGGTTCATAAAAATACCCTTTTTTGCCTTTTAGCTGAAAGCATCAAGGTGAACTGTGAATGTAGGACTCACTCATGAGGGATGAGATAGAGCGCAAGTAATTTTGTTTTGTAAGTTTTGTAATTTAGTCATTTTTGTTTTTACTTGCATGGAGGAGCTGAATGTTTCTCATTGAGATGTATTTATTCAATGCATCTCTATGAGGAGATGCTAATTGGCGCCTCACTGCATTTTGCCATGCATACGCATTAGTCTCCCAATGTTTTCCTATTGAACTGGTGATCTCAGCCAAGGAGGCGGAGCCAGTTGCAGCTAGACCTGTGCATCGTTGGAAAACAGTATGTAAACTAAATGGGGTTTTACACCTATAGTGTCAGGAATACATGTTTATATTCATGACACTATGGTGTTCCTTTCAAGCTGGAATTATATTTTATAAAGGGATTTATTTATAAAGGGTCAGATGTGGGAATCTGTATCTCTATCTGTATCCGTTAATGTTTGGTCAAGATGAACCACCATCCTCAGATTAAGATGGTATATTGGAAGCCCAGTAACAACCAAGGGAAGGATTTTTCTGGAGAGTTGGCATGGGGGGTATTTTTAAATAGCATATGGTCAAGATAACCATCTAAAATTTGTGTTAATTGGAATTTGTTTCCAACAACTCCAATTCAACTGTTTACGCATTAAAGGGAGACTCTTGGCACTAGTGCAACATTAATGCATGTAATAGGATTGGGTTGGTTTAAGGGTAGGGTTAGGAATAGCATAAGGTAAGAGTTAATAATGCCGGATTAGGTATACTGGTAGGTTACTAAACTCCTCAATGTGGTAATGTTAGGATAGGTGTAGGGTTAGAGTTAGTGTAAGAATTGGTCTAGATTTAGAATTAATAGGGTTGGTATGAGCTTAGCATCAACTACCAAGAACTAGTATACATATGAGGCACTTAACAATTATAAAACATGCTCAATATTTGACATTGTATTCATACTTAATGTTGTGTTAGGTATACATATAAGGATATTAAAAGAACACTAAAATGATCATGAACACGTGTATTCCTGACCCTATAGTATTAAAAACACATGAAGGGTCCATGCAACCCCCCCCCCCTCCCCTTTTCCCTCTTAAATAATGAGAAAACTTACCTTTTTTCCACATAGAAAAGCACTGGATTGACTGAGATTGTCAATTTTGATGTTCTCAGCCAAGGAGGCAGGCAAGGGCAAGGCCAAACGCTTCCTTAGCCAATAAGCATCTCCTTTTAGAGATGCAGTGAATCAATGCATATCTATGGGGAGCGTTTGGCAACTCCATGCAAAGCATGGAGACCCTGAGTGTCAGTGCTGCACACAGTGCAACACTGACATAGAAAGCACCTCTAGTGGCCATCTGAGTGACTGCCACTAGAGGTATTCCTAGGTAGTAATGTAAACACTGCCTTTTCTCTGAATCACTAATCACTGAATCACTTCCTGAAATTCACATTCAGTGAGCAGAAGGTCCATAGGAAAGCATTGAGAAATGCTTTCCTATGGACTGTTAGAATGCGCGTGCATTCCGCTCCACTCGGGAGCTGACGTCGGCGGGGGAAGAGAGGTCACCAGCGCCGAGGGAGCCCGGCGCAGGATTAAGGTAAGTTGCCACGGGAGGGGGACCCTGAGGGTGAGGGTCCCCCAAGGATGACATTGTGTCAGGAAAACAGGTTTGTTTTCCTGACACTATAGTGATCCTTTAACACAAGCAGCACTGTAATTAATAGACCTGTCCCTGCTACATAAAGTTAAATGTACTACTCTTATATTTGTACTTGTAAATCTAAGCGGGATACATTAAAAACAAACATGTGGGCATGTTACCAAATCAAGTTCACGAAGTTAAAAAAAAAAAGCCATGACCCCATATGCTGGACTTTTTTCCAAGTATTTAACCAACATTAAATGTATTCAAACTGGCACAGATGTGAAATTTAATGCTACACTAAGTTGTGCATTAAATTAAATTGAGTAATAATAATATTTTGCTGATAGATTCCTACTAAATATGCTGCATTTTGTTAGCAAAATGCATTTTTACACTAGACATGCAATGATATTTTAACATTGATATATATTATTGTACCTGACTTAAGTATACTGTCATTTTTTTTCCAAAGCCTAAAAAAAAGTACAAGGTGCATGTTTGAAATGGCCCACTAACGTCAGAGCCACAAAATGTTTACTGAGGTTAGGCTTTGCATATCTAATGCAGGTAACCTAGTGAAATACTAGCTCTTAAATGTATTGGAATACCAAGTGTGGTCTCCTTGGGGTCCAGGAATAACTTTTGCCTTACTGCTTGGTTTGTGTAGAGACAGAGCTTTATTTGTGTGGACCTGGTCCCGGCTTCCTTTTTAGCAGTGGTATTTTTTATTTTTTTAAGTATACTTTGAGAAGAGTTAGAACGTCTTACTGCATCATCCGCTCTATTTATCTCCTTGACTGGTTTCAGTCAGTGCTAAACATTTCCTACTCTATAAGCATTTTCAAGGACAAATTCTGTCCAGGTTAAGTACAGGGGACACAGGAAAATCAAAATACATACCAGCTAATACGAAAATACGACTCCCTGGTTCTCCTTGCTTGATAATATAGTCTCCTTGCGAATACGTTCTTTCATACATGCATTCAACCATATCCCGAATTTGATGAGGGTCAAGTCTCTTTAAAAATTGGTTCTTGTTTAAGGCATTTGTTATTAACTTTTTCTCACTTGCAATAAAAAAAAAAAAAAAAACATTTTTAATGAGGATTTTGATTGTAAGGTAATGTCATATAACATACTTATGACAGGGTATACGTAATTAAAACAAATGAAGGTGAAACATTAACAAATCAACCACAGGTCAGGGCATCATAAATCTCTCGGCAATACAACAGTTACATACAGTAACAGGCAATAGAATACACTAAGCAATACGACACAATAGGCATAACGAAAACATGGTGGGATGAGACACATGACATTGGCAGTTAACTTGAATGGTTACACATTATTTACGAAGGATAGAAAAAAATAGGAAAAGTGGAGGGGTATGTCAGTCATATGTTAGAGCCAAATATTAAGCAAGTAGAATGTGACAAGGAAAATGTGCAATCTTTATGGGTAGAAATTTGCCAGTTATTGGTTGGGATATGTTTTAAAGCACCTATAGTTAATATTGATGAGGAAGAACAGCGGTTCCAGCAAATTGTGAAAGCTACACATATGGGTAACAATGTAGTTTTTGGAGATTTTAAATACCCAGACATAAATTTGGATAGAGGAACTAGTAGTTCATCTAGGACAGGGGTTCCTAACTTTTCTAGTATCATGCCTGCCCTGACAATTAACTTAAAATTAACAACTCCCCTCCTTTCTAAAAGCAATTCATAATGGATAAATTACATACTTGAAAGGGACATTTTTGTTCCTATAATATATTATAGATTTTTGCGCATACAAGTTTTTATTCTCTTAATATATTATTAAATATTGTGCATAAAAAACATTGCCATTTTTTCAATTCCATCATGGCCAAGGTGGCATGCAAACCCATATTTAACATTATCGTTACGGTACTTCCTTTTTTTTTGTTGTTGACATTTTCTCTTAGGATACAGAATTGTAATACATACTCTTCTAGCAGCAGAGTTAATAATGGAACCACTTCTAGCATTGAAGAGGAAAGACAAATCATTAACTAAGCTGGTAATAATTAATATAAAACGCTCTTGGAAAAATCCATTGTTGCATTCTAACAATAACGGTCGCCGAGTGCGGAGTTATTGTGTTATTGCTTTTCTACTGTCTTTGTGGTTGTTGTAAACAAGTGTTGTGCGAGTCATTTCCAGCCCGGGTGTTTGGTACAAGATTACACTAAATGTACAGTTATTCTTCATTTTATCAAACACGATAACAGCAGTCTTCATTTTACCTTTCGATAGTATGATTTTTCATTATCTGAATGCCTCTGACATTTTTTTTAATCCAGAAATGGCAAATCAAATATTTCTAAACTAGGTTCTAAAAAAAGCAATTATAAAAATGTTCATGAGGAATGTCATGCCTTCCCTCTAACACCTTTGCACCTCACAGGTTTTAAAACCCCTGAACTAGGAGAATCAGAATTTTTGACCTGTTAAAGGGACACTATAGTCACCTGAACAACTTTAGCTTAATGAAGCGGTTTTGGTGTATAGAACATGCCCCTGCAGCCTCACTGCTCAATCCTCTGCCATTTAGGAGTTAAATCCCTTTGTTTATGAACCCTAGTCACACCTCCCTGCATGTGAGTTGCACAGCATTCCATAAACACTTCCTGTAAAATTGCAAGTTCTGTTTAATTAAGATTTTCTTATCCCCTGCTATGTTAATAGGTTGCTAGACCCTGCAAGAGCCTCCTGTATGTGATTAAAGTTCAATTTAGAGATTGAGATACAATTATTTAAGGTAAATAACAACTGTTTGAAAGTGAAACCAGTTTTTTTTTCATGCAGGCTCTGTCAATCATAGCCAGGGGAGGTGTGGCTAGGGCTACATAAACAGAAACAAAGTGATTTAACTCCTAAATGACAGAGAATTGAGCAGTGAAATTGCAGGGGAATTATCTATACACTAAAACTGCTTCATTTAGCTAAAGTAATTTAGGTGACTATAGTGTTCCTTTAAATAACATATTTTAAATCGCAATTGGTAAAAGCACCAACTAGAAAGGATGCCTGTCTGGTTCTATTTATAACAAACAATGTTGACCTTTTGATTTGGTTTGAAAAGTATTTGATGGGTTACTAAGTGATAATATTTGGGAATTCATTGGGAAGAACAATGTAATTTGCAAAAAAAAATGCATAATTTTATTAAACTAGCTTAAATACATTAGAAGTAAGTAGAAGTATAGATCAGTGTATTGCAAAAGATCAGTTTTAAAACTAAAATAAATTTGTCTAGATGAAAATTCTTGTTCTTGGGTATAACATTGCCTTAAAACTAGAGTACAGAGAGTTGTCATTAATGGTACATTTCCAATATGGACAACAGTGGTGTCCCTTAGAGGTCTGCTCTGGGACCACTTCTACACAAGATATTTATAAAATGATCTTGAAACAGGGATTGAAAATCATGTATTAGTGTTAGCAGATAACACAAAATTAGGTAAAGTAATACAATGTGAGCAGAATATTACTTTGCTGCAGAGGGATTTAGATAGATTGGAGTACTCAGCACTAAAATGGCAGATGGAATTTAGAAATGTAGATAAATGTTAAGAATTATTCATTTTGGGGTAAAGAATGCATAAGCAATTGGTAGTGAATTAAGGATAGCAACACATGAGAAGAATTTTGGAATTGTTATAGACAACAAACTATGCAACCATGTAAAATGTCAATCAGCAGTTGCTAATGCCAGTAAGGCATTGTCATGCATAAAAAGGGACATTAATTATTGGGATGAAAATATAATTCTGCCTCTTTATAAATCAATAGTAAGACCACACCTTAAATATTTTGTACAAATTTGGGCACCTGTTCTAAAGAATTATATTATTGCACTAGAAAAGTACAGAGATAGGCTACAACATTAAAAAGAGGTATGGAAGATTTTTGTTTTGAAGAAAAGCTAACAAATTTAAATCTGTTTAGTTTAGAAAAATGGCACCTCAGAGGGGATATAATAGCATTAAAGAAATATATTTGTACTCAATACAAACTATTGTCTGGAAGTCTTTTCATAAACAGTACTACCATTTCCCCCCGAAAATAAGACATCCCTTATTTTAGGTGGATGTTCGTAATATAAACCTTACCCTGAAAATAAGCCTTAGTTCGCTAATCTATGTTTGTAGAATATTCCCGCACATAGATTCGGTTTATGGCACATGCTTGCTACCATTATTCCCTGAAATAAGACAAAAAATGAATATTAGACTGTGACGGAACGCCGTCACTGAGTACCATGCCTACATGTGCCCACTCGCTTGCCTGCTTATTGTGTTTTGGTCATCATGCTGGGGATCTCCCTATCTGTGTGGTCCCCTTGTTCCACACATCATGTTTAGGCTTGATTAGAACATTGTGCTTGTCCCATTCTAAATATGATACAAATGAGGCTTGAGTATTAAAGGACCACTCTAGGCACCCAGACCACTTCAGCTTAATGAAGTGGTCTGGGTGCCAGGTCCAGATAGGGTTAACCCATTTTTTCATAAACATAGCAGTTTCAGAGAAACTGCTATGTTTATGAATGGGTTAAGTCTTCCCCCTAATCCTCTAGTGGCTGTCTCATTGACAGCCACTAGAGGCGCTTGCGTGCTTCTCACTGTGATTTTCACAGTGAGAGCATGCAAGCGTCCATAGGAAAGCATTATGAATGCATTCCTATGTGACCGGCTGAATGCGCACGCAGCTCTTGCCGCGCGTGCGCATTGAGCCCAGGAGGAGGAACGGAGGAGGATCGGAGGAGGAGAGCTCCCCGCCCAGCGCTGGAAAAAGGTAAGTTTAACCCCTTTTCCCCTTTCCAGAGCCGGGCGGGAGGGGGACCCTGAGGGTGGGGGAACCCTCAGGGCACTATAGTGCCAGGAAAACGAGTATGTTTTCCTGGCACTATAGTGGTCCTTTCATCTGTGGGTAGGTATTAATGTCTCTTTGGGTATGATATTGGAACACAAGGCTGGTTAAAATGACTCCTTATCTAAGATGCAATCAATAAATATGGTAAACGAGAGGGTTAGTTTATACTGAAGCCAGACTTTCAGGCCACTTATGTGTGACTTCTCACACCTTACAGAATAGCTCTGTTGGGATCCCAACTTCAAATATGAATTTAGATTGTAAACCTTTTGCCCTCCCATACAATCTAATTAACCTCTTTTGAAATTGACAATATCACCTCTACCAGACAGCCAGTACACAAATTACATTAAATGGCAATATTCTATAGTGCAACAATGAATTATGTACCCTTGCCGTGACACCTCCCCCAGATCCCAGCTTTTCGGTGATGTTACTTTCGTGGGGTTCTGAAATATTAAAATGTGTTTGTGGGGTGTTTTAAAATTGTATGTTTTTTTTACCTGGGAGATAGTTGAGTTTGTACAGTTCCTGACTCAATTATCTCCCAGACACAGGGGGGGAGTTTGTGTATAATTGTATGGAGACCCCCCACTGGGCATCTGTGTATGACTTGGCTGTACCATGTCGCATTAAAAGTCAATTTGAGTTGTACTCCCAGAGCTGTGTGTTGTTCAGTTACTGGGGGAATGAATGTCTGCTTATTTTAATGGTTCCAGAGTAGCTGAGGGAAGGAATTAGCTGAGGTAACTGGCTGGGTGACCCGTGGTCCCCTACATAGACCCGGTCTTATTTTTGGGGAAAGACGCTATAGGACACACATTCACTTATTTAAACTGGAAGAAAGGACATTGAGTCTGAGGCAAATAAAAATGTTGTTTACAGTCAAAACTACAAGGATGTTGAATTCTCAGCTTGAAGGGATTGTTAGAATCTGTAAAGATGTTTAACCCCTTAAGGACACATGACATGTGTGACATGTCATGATTCCCTTTTATTCCAGAAGTTTTGTCCTTAAGGGGTTAAACAACAACTGGATGAGTTATTGCAAAAACATAATATTCAGGAATGTGATTTTTAATAAGTGGGGTAACAGTTTCTTGATCCAAGGAAAGATCCAACTGCCATTCTGGGGTCAAAAAGGAACCTGTTCCTAGTTTACTGTATGATTGGAAGCACTTCAAACTGGGTGTTTTGTCATCTTTGGATCAACAGCAAAAACAGATCTGAGAAAGGCTGTACTTGGTGGATGCAAGTCTTTGTTCAGCCTATATAAGTATGTAACTATGTCATTTGTCACAATAAGTGTAACTATATTAATTTATTATTAGTGTTACCAATCATATTTAATGGTGAAAGAGTTTGAAAACAGTAACATTTTAAGAGTTTTAACAGTAAAAATTTCCAGAACATGACTAACAATTTTATTCAAGAACATAAGGGTGATTTATAACAATAGTGCACAGGTTAATAAGTCTATTACAGGGAGTGCAGAATTATTAGGCAAATGAGTATTTTGACCACATCATCCTCTTTATGCATGTTGTCTTACTCCAAGCTGTATAGGCTCGAAAGCCTACTACCAATTAAGCATATTAGGTGATGTGCATCTGTAATGAGAAGGGGTGTGGTCTAATGACATCAACACCCTATATCAGGTGTGCATAATTATTAGGCAACTTCCTTTCCTTTGGCAAAATGGGTCAAAAGAAGGACTTGACAGGCTCAGAAAAGTCAAAAATAGTGAGATATCTTGCAGAGGGATGCAGCACTCTTAAAATTGCAAAGCTTCTGAAGCGTGATCATCGAACAATCAAGCGTTTCATTCAAAATAGTCAACAGGGTCGCAAGAAGCGTGTGGAAAAACCAAGGCGCAAAATAACTGCCCATGAACTGAGAAAAGTCAAGCGTGCAGCTGCCACGATGCCACTTGCCACCAGTTTGGCCATATTTCAGAGCTGCAACATCACTGGAGTACCCAAAAGCACAAGGTGTGCAATACTCAGAGACATGGCCAAGGTAAGAAAGGCTGAAAGACGACCACCACTGAACAGGACACACAAGCTGAAATGTCAAGACTGGGCCAAGAAATATCTCAAGACTGATTTTTCTAAGGTTTTATGGACTGGTGAAATGAGAGTGAGTCTTGATGGGCCAGATGGATGGGCCCGTGGCTGGATTGGTAAAGGGCAGAGAGCTCCAGTCCGACTCAGACGCCAGCAAGGTGGAGGTGGAGTACTGGTTTGGGCTGGTATCATCAAAGATGAGCTTGTGGGGCCTTTTCGGGTTGAGGATGGAGTCAAGCTCTACTCCCAGTCCTACTGCCAGTTCCTGGAAGACACCTTCTTCAAGCAGTGGTACTGGAAGAAGTCTGCATCCTTCAAGAAAAACATGATTTTCATGCAGGACAATGCTCCATCACACGCGTCCAAGTACTCCACAGCGTGGCTGGCAAGAAAGGGTATAAAAGAAGAAAATCTAATGACATGGCCTCCTTGTTCACCTGATCTGAACCCCATTGAGAACCTGTGGTCCATCATCAAATGTGAGATTTACAAGGAGGGAAAACAGTACACCTCTCTGAACAGTGTCTGGGAGGCTGTGGTTGCTGCTGCACGCAATGTTGATGGTGAACAGATCAAAACACTGACAGAATCCATGGATGGCAGGCTTTTGAGTGTCCTTGCAAAGAAAGGTGGCTATATTGGTCACTGATTTGTTTTGGTTTTGTTTTTGAATGTCAGAAATGTATATTTGTGAATGTTGAGATGTTATATTGGTTTCACTGGTAATAATAAATAATTGAAATGGGTATATATTTGTTTTTTGTTAAGTTGCCTAATAATTATGCACAGTAATAGTCACCTGCACACACAGATATCCCCCTAACATAGCTATAACTAAAAACAAACTAAAAACTACTTCCAAAAATATTCAGCTTTGATATTAATGAGTTTTTTGGGTTCATTGAGAACATGGTTGTTGTTCAATAATAAAATTAATCCTCAAAAATACAACTTGCCTAATAATTCTGCACTCCCTGTAATGTTTTTAGTAGAATCATTACATTTTTCTTTTTGCCTTACCTTCCAGAGAACATTATTCTTCTAATTTTTTACACATATATAGGATAAAGCCAAATGTTCAAAGATGATATTTCCCTTAGTATATTTAAGTACACTATCACATTGGATATTGTGTTCTAAAGTTCTAAAATCAAATGGAAGAAGTGTATACACTCACATTCTATGTTTCTATGTATATTTCCTTAGGTAATCCATGTTGACTGTCCTAAAAAAAATATCCTCTTACTAAGACACCAGAGAGTTACTGTTGATGACCACTGTAGCCCATTAATTTAAATATTTAGCAGCTCCTTTAAGGGTGCCATATGGGTACTTTGTGGATACAAAATACTTATAATTTACCAAAACTTTTGAAAGAAAATCTTGCCAATACTCTTATATTTTTCTATTCTTTAGTTGCAGACCCTAGCTTGCAACTTGCAGGATTTAAAGGATCTGCTGCTAATGTCCTGGTGCCAGATACCACAAGACATGTTCAGAGGTCTTATGGAGTCCATGTCTTGATGCATCAGAGCAGTTTTGGCAGCACGAGGGAGACCTACACAAAATTAGCAAGATAGTTTTAATATTGTGGCTGATCTTGTAAGCAAATTCTAAATGTGAAGCTAAGGAAGCAAACATGTTAAGTGGACAAATACACTTATGGCGGTATACCCATGAGTAGCTCGGTTGTCACCATCTAGGTCTCCCTTTCCCTTCTGTTCATAGCCCCAGAATGATTAAAGCTCCTTGTCACTGTGTTATAGCTGTCTCACCCAAACACTAGTCGACACTTAGTGAAGCGTGCAGAAGAACTGCTTTTATTGTCACACAGTTACACATTTATACCTGGTGTCTCAACAGGAGATACCCTGGGAGAACAATAGATTGGAGACATACTAGCACCTTGGGGCCTGTGCCTGAACTGATAATTTAATTAGCGTCTGGATACCAAGGACCAGGTTAATAAAAACAGTTAAACATATGGTTCCCATGCCCACATCCCCACATCAGTGCCATCTCAGAGAATATTTCTTCTGAACGCCCATTTTGTCCAATAAGTGCTCGTATCAGAGGTGCCTAGACCAAACTGTATGGAAGGTAGAGTTTTCAACGAGCCGCGACCATCCTCCGATCTGACTCTGAGATCCATAGGATAGATAAAGTTACCTTAAATGATGGTGCTTTCGGTCAGTACATGTAGCTCCCTCAAGTCATTGGTATCAATAGATGCCTTACCACCTTCTCTGTCACCCCTCCAAAAAGAGCCCTGATAGATGGTTCTTGGACCGAGAGCGCCCTCATCAAAGTTTCACCGGAATGCGGCAGTTCCGCAAGGTTTGCGGGTAGCTCCCGATCAGGTGCACCATGCCTTAGTTGCTCTCTAAAGGGGTGCTGGGAGGCATGGGCTGGAGGTTGAAAATGTTAGTGATATTGTTCTTTTTAGAGGAAGGTCACGGTTGTGAGACATGTACCAATCCTACAGTCAAGACGGTCTGTTACAACACTTTTTTGAGATTTCTTTTATCTGTGATTCCTTTATCTTAACTCTCAGATAACCATAACGAATTGAATGAAAAATTTTACACAAAGTCTTTCACCTGTGCCTTCAATATTTATTCATTTTTCCCCACCTCAAAAGGAGTTAAGTTTCCTGAATTAAGATCCCCAAAATGTTACCACATAACGTTTAGCACTTACTTGGTAAATAGGCAATTGTGGGGAATTAGTTGGCGCTGAAACCACAATCATTATTCATAGGTATATGTGTAGGTGTTGAAATCTAGCACAGGGCTAATAATTCCTGTAGGCTAGCTAGTCTGCTTACTGTGTACAGCTGTTGTTTAGATCTGACCTTTTACATATTAACATTGCCCTCAAAAAATATATTTAGATTTAACTTGCAATCTTTTCCTCTCCTGCAGCTGTGCAGTAAGTACAATATGCACTTTAATAAAAAACAAATATATATATATATATATTGAATAAAACAATAATAGATGTGGTCAGCATATCTCCTGGCATCTTCTGAGGTCAAATAAAAATACAGAATAGAGGGACTTTATTCTTTTGTATATATAGTAATGACTTCTGCAGCCATTTTGTTTTGATGCAGGCAAATAGGTGATATTTCTAAAAGCAATAATTGAAGAAGATTCACTAAAGTCCTAGCCTGATGCAGATTGACAGCAAATGTTGATGTTTACTCAAGTATCGATAAGGAACAAAGATAAATAATTTTCCTCTTTCTCAGACTGTTAGGTCCTGACCTGTCACCTCATGGTTACATTACGTCTCCATGTCCTATTGCACATGGGCTTACCCAGCTTTACTCCCTAGCTCTGATGAGATGAACGCGAAATATATACTACATGTCAGCTGTGCATCGAGCCTTGATTAACTTCCTTGTTATATGTGTTATGTATCTGTGTGTCAGTGTGTGTATCTGTCTGTGTGTGTATGTGTATCGGTGCCTGTATGTCTCTGTATGTCAGTGTGTGTGTGTGTCAGTATGTCTGTATTTCTGTGTGTGTCAGTGTGTATGTGTATCTATGGCAGTATATGTGTGTATGTGTGTGGCAGCTAATATGTATCTATATCAGTATGTGTGTATCTGTGTTTGTCAGTGTGTACGTGTATCTGTGTCAGTATGTTTGTGTATGTATATTGATGTGTATATGAATCAATGTCAGTGTGTGTGTGTGACTGTGTATTTGTATATGTCCATATATCCAAGCATTCAAACACTAAAAACGACACACAAATGCACACCAAAATTCAAATTCCAGCACTACATACAAACACACCACCACATTCAAATGGAAACAGTCATTCAAATACACTCCTGCATTCACAGACACATACTCCATATAAAAACATACTTTCATTCAAACGCACAAACACTGCTCGCAAATACAAGTCTGTAAGGATGGGCAATGGTAAATCCCCAGCTAACACAGCATAACAGATGAGGATCTGCTTTTTGGACCACCTAGAAGGGGGGCAAAATCCTTTTTGCACCAAGGACCCCTTTACCAGAGACGATCCTGGGTGGGTACACAGGGTGTATAGTGCCTAGGCGCTCTGTAGAGAGAGGCACATCGGCTTGAAGTGCTTCACTAGACCTGCCCCTTACGTTAGGCTCCTCCTCTGCCCCTTGTGTTAGGGCTTGCCTATTGAATTTGGCATTTGGGATCACCAGGGATCAGGACTCCATTCTCCCTGGCCCAAGATAAGATGCCCCAATTCCTCCAAATGTCAACCATTGTACCCCACTACAGCCCTTAACTCCCCACTACAGACCCTTACTCCCTACTACAGTCCCTAACCTTCCAACGGAAGCCCTTATAATCAAACCGCAACCCACCACTTGCAGCCCTTATTGCCTACTACAACTCCTAACCCCCCATTTACACCCCACACCCCACTACAGCCCCTATTTCCTTTCTACAGTCCCTATGCGAGTCCCTATTCCCCCCTACTACAGCCCCTATAGGGACCCAGGGCAGGCTATTTGAGTTGTTGTCTGTCCTCACCTCTCTTGCTACCCTTTTTTTCTCACCTTAAATTACACCTATCACCTCCTTTTAAATTATTTGTCTAAGCACCATACCACTGCAGTGGTTTTGGTGCCAGGAGTGCCATGGTGGACTCCCAGTGTAAGCAGTCAAATTGTTTAAAGGTGGTTCAAAAACGTACCTGCATACCGCCCAACTTTGGCAGTCTAGAAAATGGGACACAGGTGGGAGGGGGTGAAAGGGGCGAGCCAGTCACAGATTAACGTCACTGGCTTTGCTCAAAAGTGATGGGCGGATCTTCCCACATTACTGGCAGGTTAGTCTGGTGTGAATATGTTGCTTCCTGACAATTTTGCAAGGCCAGCCTATTCATGGCAGATCCTGCAGATAGTACTGTTTCATCTACTGATGAGCTTGCACTATGATTGTTGGGGACAGTTCCCTGCTGTCCCCAAAATCAGAACTGTCCAGACAAAACTGGGACCTTTGGGAGCCATGTACCTGGGGTATGTTAGGCACCACCTCCTATGGAGCCAGAATCTCCTGCAAGAATCTTCATTAAGCTAAGTCCTGTTGTGCATTGTGTGATCATTAGCTGAGAGCATCAGCTGAGTGTGCTCAGCAAATAAGCACATGCTTGCACCATCAAGCCAGACCACCCGTATGAGAAGTGTGCTACCTATTTACGTTATTCACTCAGTAACACTTCAAACTCCTGAACGTTCGAAGGAGTAACACTTTGAACTCCCAAACGTTTGAAGCGGTTCAAAGCACTGTTTGGAACTCAAATCGGACACTTGACGGCGTGAACACCGCTAAACACATACCTTCCACTGATGTCGGCTATTCGAATGGGAATCGAACAGCGTTCGGTGGGAATAAACTCACGAACGAGAGACATAAACTGAGTCTACTCCCGAACCTATATGTTGGTTTTTTATATTCTACTTCGAATCCCTAAAGTAGACTAACCAAACAGTCTTATTTCCTGGAACTCTTTTCGGACAGTAATTTTGTGTGCGGTCGGTTAAACTAAGACTTCCATGGAAATCCCAAACCCCTGAACCGATCTGGGTGATTTTTGGATATGTTGTTCACCCAGATCGGGGCTATCAGGGGATATCCATGAGGTTTCCATGAGTTTTAAGGGTACTTTTGGGGTTTTATAAAAATATGTGTTTTTTTTCTGCCTGGAGATAATTGAGTTAATACAGTATCTGACTCAATTATCTCCCAGGCAGAGGGGAGGGGGTGTATGTTTGTATATAGGAGTGTCATGCATTTAAACACTGTTGTCATCGGTCTGTGACTTTGTGCTGCAGTCCCCCGCAAGGTCCAGGTGGGAGTGCCCCTTGCATGGGGACTTGTGGCTCCCAATAAATGAGTTCTTGCTTACCCTCAACACAGAGCCTCGTCTCATTATTGAGGGAACCGCTATACTTGCTATAATCGCTGCTCCTGGGATTGTTCTTTGGATTGCTATAATCACTAGCTCTTATAAGAGCTGTTTCTGCTATACTGTCGGGAGTAGGAGAGGTCTGCCAACTGGAAGCTGGATCCTGGTCTTGGGTCCAGGGTTGGTGGAGGACGGCAAGACCCGAGCCAAGCTGTAACACTGGAAATGGGGACTACGGTGCTGATTGTGTTTGATTGGAGTGCTTGGAGTCCCCGGTGAGCACTAGGAGCATTGATAGGTGGAGGCACCCGGTTGGGGTGCCAGGCAATCTGCCACAGATGTAAACAGCACCCGGTAAACTCTAGGTTAAATTGCTCTTAAAGGTGGTTTGCGTGCATTGGCCCTGTCATTTTAGCCCTTCAATGAAAGACATTGCTAATGTTTTAATTGCAGCATTAAATACACTTCTACTGGCTCTCTTCCGACAGGCACTATTGGAACTTCTCCCACAATGACCATGTTTGATTTGGTGATGTGATGTGCGATATCCATGTTGAATGTCATCAAATGCTGCACATAAGAAAATTCAATGTTTCCCTATGAGAAGCAATTGGACAGGTGCCATGCACACACAGCTCGTCCACAATGTTTGTCTATGAGAGGCATTGGATTGGATGAGAAGGCAATGAAGTGAAGCCTACTGGATGACATCAAGAAAGGAGCGGGTGGCAGCAGAGGACAACTCTGGAAAAAAGCTAAGTAAAAACAAAAATGTACCACTTTTTTTATTGCCTTTGGGGCAGGGACTAGAACACTGTATCGTTAGGAATACATGTTTTCATTCCTAACATTCCTAATTCTTTAAACGATGAAGAGGATACTCAACTGCTGCTGCAGTCCATGAAGCCATTCCACACTAGGAGCCTAGAACAGAGCTTGACAAATTTGCTTGGAATCTTGGAGCCAGCTAAAAATGTTAAGAGTAAAGCTATATTTTAATCAACAAAAATACATTATTAAATGGACACTATAATCACAAGATCCACTACAGCTTAATGTAGTGGTTCTAATGTTTATATTCTGTCCCTGTGGGCTTTTCAATGTAAACACTGCCTTTTCAGAGAAGAGACAATTGTTTACATTGATGCCTAGTAACACATCTAGTAACAGTCACTCAGATGACCAATAGTGCAGTGCTGCACAGTGTCTCCAAGCCCTGCATGGAGGCACTGAACGATTCCCATGGAGATGCATTAATTCTAGGAGGAGATGCTAATTTGTGCAGCCCTGTCTTTTGCTGTGCTTTTGCAGTAGCTTACCAAAGTTTTCCTAAATAGAAGCATTGGCTTGGCTGAGAACATCAAGATCTCATGGTGTAGGAAAAAATGTGAGTAAAAACACCTTTCCTATGCAATTGGAGGTTACCTATACATATACACTCACTGACCGGCAGAAACACAGAGACTGACACACAGACAGACACACCCACACAAAGAAAGACACAGACACAGAAACAGGTACACACTCTTACAGACACACACACACACTCACTGACAGACACACACTGACAGATACACACACACTCACTGACAGACACATATACTCAGGCAGACACACACAATCACTGAAAGATAGACACACACTGATACTGACATTCACATTCACACATATTCTTTCACACTCTCACAAATTATTATTATTTGTTATTAATTTAAATCCACCAGCCTCCCTACTTTTGGGAGAGTTGGAGTGGATCCTAGTTCTGGATCTTCTTGCTCTGCCCCCTCACACGGTGTTTAGTGATGCCAGGGCTACAGTGATGTCAAATTCCTGGCATCACTGCAGGGCACGCAATGCAAGGAGCAGTGCAGGAAGAGCACAGCTCCCTTGCCGCCCTCCTGCATTCTCCCGAAGCCGGATGCCGAAGAATGATTCTGCATCCACCGAATGGACTTGCAAACACACAGGCACCAGGGCAAAATTCCTAGTCACCATTTGGGTGGCAGTAATTGGTTGAGAGTGTCAGCACGCCGCTTTTAGTGCCCATTGCTGGTATAAATTAGTATTGATGAAAAAATGTAATCCAAGCCATTCTTCCAGTAGGAGCTGGGCTGTGAGTGGCCAAAGTCCCTCATTCATGTTAAACTGTCCAAAAATGGTTTAACACTAAATGGAGGGCAGCGTCAGGGGACTCCAGGCACTAAAGCCAAATCAGTGAAATGATGGTTCTAGTGCTGAGAGTGTTCCTTTAATACTAAGCTTAATGAGTGACTCTGCTCTATGCAGGGGATCCAGTAGATATTGTAGTTTTTCCTTTTAAATTGGACATGTAGAAATTATTATAGGCTACACTGTGGCAAAATGTATATCTTTATCCTTTTTAAGTACGTTTATATCTTTTTGCCTAAAATAAAAATGTAAATAAAAAATATAATTATAAGTTAAAATCATTTGTTAAAATTAAGTATAATTTGTGTAAAAATATTTTTTTAAGTGACAGTTTTTAAATATTGTGGGCAAGCATAAATCATAGTATATCAGACAATGTTTGTGACACCTCAGGGATCAATGACAAGTGCAATAGTGCACAAATCTCTAAGCATATCCTACTGTGGAATAACAGAATCTCTTACTCATTTGGACTTGTTTTGTGGCCTAGATATTTTACATACTATAAGCCGTGGCATAAGTCATACTGTTTGCCAATTAAATCGTAAGCCTGGAAGCAGAAAAATCAATTAAAACATTATTATTAATCCTTTTAACCCATCCAGCAAAAGGTAGTGCAGTACTAATTGCTTTGTGATTTGTGCAGACTGCTAGAAAATCCCCAGTTGAATAACCGCAGTGACTAATTGGAATATAAGTAATTCAACATTCCATCTGGAGATCACCAAAAGGCAGAGTTTATTTTTATATAAGCAAAAACCCTTTTAACACATTTAAACCTAGCAAGATTTAATCTGACTAAATAAAACCATTTAACAATACAGGCTTTTGGTTTAAATATTTATGAATTATGTATTGTCTTTTGTTAATTTGAAGAAAAGAAGACGCAAAAAAAACAATAGAAAATTGATCTTATAAATAGGTAAGACTGTACAGATAAACCCCAGATGGATCAATTAGTTCCGGTGAGGATTAAAAGGAATTTGATTCAGTCAAACCCGATGGAAACCAATTTTTGCACATGCCTAGTCCATAGCAAAACTCACAGATACCGGTATATAGACAATAGTGTTAGGATTCCAAAGGGTTAAAAACCATTGAACACTTTGACATCAATTTAATGTGCGTGCGCGGTGAGTGCGGCGCACATTAGGGGTTCTCCATAGGAAAGAACTGAAGCAATGCTTTCTTATTGGGATTTGCAAGATGCAGGCAGTCCTCATGCAAAGAAAATTTCTCAGAGAATTGCCCCTGGCCCAATGACATACAGAGGTATGCTTAATGTTCTTCAGGCCCAAACGAGACAGCATTATCAAAGCTTAGGCTGGCTATCAGACTATACAGTATATGATGTCTCCGGAGGTGTTTGCAAATGACTGTAGGGTGAGATTAGAGTTTAAAATCATCACACAAACTGGTCATCACTGGTGAAAATCACATCGTATGAATTAAACTGTAGACATATAGTAAAGTATGGAAACTAGTACATTATTAACCTATGATTAATACTTATATTTTTAAGTATCCCTGCACATTTACATATATGAGATAGAGAAAAGAGGAACTTACTGATAATCTCTCTCCTCTATATATCTGTCAGTCTACCTGGGAGCAATGCTCCCTTAACGGACCTTAACGTTCTAAGCCTCACTATTCTGTAAGCATTCAGCAGACCAATCCCTTTAGTATATCCTTCTCCTGAAAGCGGTAGAATTAATCTATGTAGTCACTCTTACACTATTCTGCTGCTTTACAAGAGCACAGGGGATCCTTAAATGCATTGAGAGGTCTATGAATTCCAAATCACAAGGTCGAAACTCACTATTTTTGAGTCCTGTAATATAACAAATTAAAGAGCATAGATAGTACTTTTATAAAACTATGTGAATAGTTGGAAAATATAATTAATGTTTTTATGAATCCAAAGCTGTAAATCTGACCTTCTGCATGAAAACATAAACAAGGAGTGCTGGTTTAGGCCAGTTATCACTCACTAGATATTGTTTATGATATCCTTTCATGTGAATCCATCAAGTCATTCTGTTCCCTTTTGTCCTACCAGCGTAATATTCCTTGATCTAATTAGGCATATTACAGTTCATCCAAGAGAGCAATTACATGCAAACTGTTCAGCAAGCAAGTGATGCAACTATGAAATTATTTAAAATCAGTAGTTTCTGGATTGGTTTCACAAGCCTACCTTTTCAAGATTCTAACACTTTTGCACGATAAGAGTAGATAGAATCTCCATCTTCTATGGGTGCAAAATAAAAGCGTCAAATAATCAGAATGCTTTGAGTGTGTACACCCTTAGGTATACAAACTACAAATTTTTGAAGAACAGATCATGTCAAACTAAACTGATTTTCTCTATCACTAAATAAATATTTATAAACATTTCATTAAGAAAAAAATCATTATGAAATGCTCATATTAACTGTGTTGTAGTTTCACTGACAAGGTCAAAAGAAATCATAAGAAAGTATGATATCAAAGTGACTACTTTGTTTCATGATAAAGCATTACATTGACACAACTTGACAAAAGGCTAGTGCAAGCTATGGGAATAAGATATAATCTTCCTTATTGTGAGACTTGTTCTATGGAGGCCCCAGCGATCCTGTAGGATTCTACAGATGTCAGTGTTGTACTCTCGTACATTCATGGTCTCCTGAAGGATGACGCTCCAGCAGCTGAAGAACAGATATGGAGCTAGGGACTGCTGAGGTTTCACCTCTGCCTCACCCCCAGGGCACTGCACAACTAAGGGCGATGTCACTATTGGAGGGTCTTTACAAAGTTTGCGGAAGGACCCTACAACTGACAATGACTCTTATTGAGTTCTATGAAAATGTTGGTAGATGTATGGATCACAGTATTGCAGTGGATATGATCTACTTGGATTTTGCTAATGTATTTGATAAGTTTCCACATAAAAGGTTGCTAAACAGATTGAACATTGAATTAAAGATAGAGTGCAGAAAGTACTCATTAATGGAAAATTGTTTATATTGGATATGTGTTGTATGTTAAAAAAAAAAAAAGGAAAATTGTCATATAAAAAGTATGCAAAGGGATTGATGTGATGTTTTGCAAATTAGTTCAACATAGCTTGTCCTGTAAGGATGTAAAAAAAACTTACAATGTACAATGTACAGTGTACAATAAAAGTTAACTATGGACATGCAGTGTAAGGAATCATGCATAACATGGCTACAACTTTTTTGGGCCCATGTACTGTTGATATTCTTAAGAATTCTTAGCAGTCAGACACATATAAGGTTAGACCAACTAGTGTTTATCCCATCACAGTAGGCCAAGGCCGGATTAATAGCCCATTGGCACGGTGCTGACAATTATGATGGGCCTAAGTACAGAATCTTATTAGCAGAAAACACTAAAATAGCCATACCTCCCAAGAGTCATGTATCTAGTGGAGGTGGTACCGGAGGAAAACTCTCAGAGTGTATTTATAAGAATACTCATATCCTATGCTAATCTCTTGCTTTCATCTCTCAAACAAATCCATAGACTTCAACATCTGCATTCTGTGAAGTGGGATGCTAGTGGTTGAGGTAAAAGGATATGGGTCATGCTGTAGATCACGTCACCGGCACTGCCTAAAGGGTCAGACCTGCCTGGATAGAGAGCAGGTCTGCCTGAAGAACTGGAAGGTCAGCCTGATTTGAATGCATGCCTGGCTGACTGCCACTTGTAAGAGGGGCAGAAGGATGGAGATGTAGGTGGGCCAGAAAACTGTCTATTTTTCAAAGGTTTTAGTTTTCCATTTCCTTTACATTTTGAGAATTTTATATTTGCAAATTGATTTGAACTATTAATTGTCATATCATATTGCACACTGTGATCTTGTTTGATTCATATTTACACATTGCACAAAATGCTATCAGTGTATGCTATCACTGTATGTAATAATATCTGAAATTCCTAATGCAAAATGTATTTTTAAAACACAAAAACCAAAACACAAAATGTCTTACATACCCAGAGTCTTTTTGAACACGTGCCTTCTCAAATGAGAACCTTGACTGGCCAATATGGTCATATGTCCTAGAAGTTGGCTCAGCAGAAATACCTTCCTTTGCCCCCTTCCTTTTACTGTTGTTGAAAAGGCCAGACAATGTCTTAAATGGTGATGTCTGCATAATTTTGGATGGTGATACTTGGACCGAATTTGTAGGTGATCCTTGCAACAATCGAAATGTGGGCACATGTAAAGAGTTTCCACCTTGAGAACCTATAACATCTTGCAGTTTGCTAAGTTGGACACATTTAGTTTGAAGCTCCTCACTGATATCTGCAATCACTTGGGTCTGTTTGTTTATTTGCTCCTGTAGTTCTTGGAATATGAGCTCTTTATTTTTCAATTCTTCATTCTTTTTTTTCAACTCTTTTTCAAGTTCCCATACTTTGCCTTTCACAGAATCAACGTTGTTAATCTTGTTGCAGGAACCGAAAGAGTAGTTCACCAGCTGCCCATCTGTCTCTCTTGATGGTTTAGGTTTCATGGAACCATTTCCCATTTCTCCTGAAGGCCTGCAAAAAAACACAAATGCGTCTTAATTAGTTTTCCCCAGGGAATGGTTTGACAACAGACTGCTCTTGGATCATTTATCTTTCTGTTATAATTGAGTGATATTGATTTGTCTAATTTTTTATAAGTCAAGCAGGACACTTGAAACCTTTTATCATTTTATCACTTTTAAAAACATTACAGCCTGCCACATCTTGGTTTTCTAGCAGGTTAAAAAAAATTTCAATGTATATGCAACACTTCTATATAGAATGACCTGATTTAATAGAGGTATTTATTTATAACCACGTATTTTTATATATATTGTTTTATGAAGTATACAATAATATTAGTCAATCATGTAAGTAAATATTTAGTAACTGATTAATAATCATTGTAATTAATAATTAATCTGTGAAACAATATAAATGACAAACACAGTATTGTGTCTAGGCTGCTAGCAGTTGAGTCAAATAAATCACTTGATTCTAACAGGTTATAAAGAAATAAAAAATATTAATTGAAAAGGCTGTCTAGCATGAATTTTACACTCTTTTTAATGGACAATATAGCTAATTAAAACCATTCTATTATTTTTCTTCTAAAAAGACATTTGAATTCACTCTTATTTTGAAGCAAATACCCAGGCTTAGATCCAGAGACACCTTTTCAAAGTAGAAAATATTGAACTTTCCATTGGCTTTGAGTGGGAGAATAATTGAGTACGCACATGTGCTTAGTAACCTTTCAGTCAGACATTGAGAAAATAACTGTACTGCTGCTGGTGACTTGTAGTCAACTGTGAAATAATTTTTTGTAGTATTTACCTCTATCTTGGAACTGTTAATCTACATCTTGGCTCACTGTTGATTATTGCCATGCCTCCCAACATACCAGATTTTGGTGGGACAGTCCCAATTTCTGAGTCCTGTCCCACTGCCCTGTCTATGTTCCCTGATGTTTCTCTTTTGGGGAATTCAGGGAACTGTCCCCAAAAAGTGTAGTGCGAGCGCATCATTATGTGAACATGGAGCACTAAATCAGTGCACACCTGCATGGTCCTTCCACGGTGTGCTGGCCTGAATGATTAATAGGCAACTAGGCACACATTCATGCCAGACCTGCCGATCCTTCAGGTGGACCTGTTCCCTTTCTGTATATGAGTGATAGTAACCACACACTATGTATTGTTTCTGTACATAGGTTTTGGTTTGTTTTATTATTTTTTTGCCAAACAGAAGAAACTAGAGACCCAGGCAGTCCAAACTCTTTTAAGAGATAGATGAGATCTAGAGGATAGACATAACGCTGGTCATTCTCTCCAGGTACATACCACCTTAACTGAGAAGAGAACTGAATTAAAATACTTATTTCCAGACCAAGCATAAACCTTTAATAACCATGAGTATATATTATACTAAAGGAGGTAAATGTGGGAGGTTGTTGGCACAAGATTTGCAACAAAGGACGCAGACCACCTTGATATCTAGAATAAAAACACCACACAGGACTGTCTCTCATATCATGTCAGATATCAATAATGCTTTTTCCACAAACTGTATCATTTAAAAGACTCGCTACCCACACCCTCTGAAATACAAACTATAGACTATTGTCTATATTTAAAACTACCATTCCTGCCGGCATGACGTAACTACGTGCACGCCAGGAAGTGGAGCCAGGAGACCCATGCAGAGGAAGATGCTTAGGTGAGGAGACGGAGAGAGACAAAGAGTGACGGAGTGTAGGTTTCCATTTGAAGAGACAAGACGAGTGAACCAACGAACATACGTTTATTTGAATTCCCCTTTCCCTTCACTATTCCCTTCCTTGACGGGTTTGTAGTTTACCCGTATCTGCCTTAAACTGAGAGCCAGGAGAGAGGACCGGGAGTGGGAACTTGGAGAACGTTGGGAGCGGAAGGTTCTCCTTAGCCATGAGGTGGAACAGAAAAGATGCCGAAATTCAGGTACCGCTGCGGTATTATAATCCTATGGCAGCAAAAGTGAATACCTTTCTAATCTTTCATATATATGTGTTATAAGGTGGTTCTTAAAACAAAAAATACTATACAGGAAAAAAAATATTACAGAAAAAGAAAGGTGAAGGAAAGGGAAAAAAAGGAGAGAAACAAAGAAAATATAATAAAGTAAGAAAACCTGTTTATAAATCCTAATATCTTCTTCTCAAATAAAGCAAAAAGGAAAAGAGAAGAGGGGACAAAGGGGGAAGGGAAGGATGGAAGGGAAAATCTAAGGGAAAGAAAAATAAAAACAATAAAAGGAAACCTTAAACCTTGCTTCAGTCAAAAATCTATAAAAACATTACAGTATATACACGCCGCTGAATATATTTATAACCTCACTCAAAGGAGGAAAAAAGAAGAGAGAGGGAAGGGAGAAGCAAGAGAAAAAAATAGATTATTCTTGTCAAAGGTCTTATAAAATATCTCTCTCCCAGATCCTCACTTTTACATAAGAAAGGCAAGAAGGAGGGTACAAATATAAAAGCAAAGTAGAGGTTAACTCTAAAGACCAAGAGAGGGAGATGAGGAGGAAAAAGATAATGGAAAAGAAATTTTGTTTGTTTTGTTTTTTGTTTGTTTTTTTGTATTTGAGTTGATAGATATTACTTGTCCATTTAAATAAAATGGCAACAAAAAGGGAATTAGAAGAAAGGAAAAGGAAAGAGAAAAAATAGAAAACAGCTCCGAAAAAAAAGATTATCTGGATTCTTCTCACCAATATCTTCCAAGGAACTACAATTTTTTTTCTAAATTCTACAGAGAACCCTTCAAATACAGAGCAACAACTAAACAAACCAAATTTGCCTATGATGATGTCTGTGGAGGAAGAAGATGCACCCATTACACAAACATTTTTACAAGAATGTCTCAAAAGCTAGCTATTACAAATAAAATTAGAAATTTCAAAAAAATTAAGAAAAACTACAAATAGCTTTTCAAGCAATTAAAGAAAAAGTTAATGTAATAGAATTAAACATGGAAGTCATTCAGAAGGAGCCACAATCAATGAAAGAAACAACAACTAACCTAACCGATAAAATAGAAAAATTGGAAGCAAAAATCAACGATATGGAAGTTCGATCCAGAAGATCAAATCTAAGGAAAAGAAACATCCCTGTAACCATAACACAAAAAAAAATTAAATATATTTCTGATAGATATGTTTAAGTCTCTAGGAACTCCAACGGATGAACAACATATTCTAATAGAAAGATACCATCGTATAAATAAACCAAAATATTTATCACCAAATATACCAAGATATGTTATAGTTCAGTTTCACTCCTTTGCTTTCAAAGAAACATTTCAAAAACTTTGCAGGACCAATAAAATAACACATGAAAAATTAAAGGATATCCAAATCTTTCAAGGCCTCTTAATAAACACAAGACTCTGGAGAAAATAATTTAGTTCATATTTAATTATCCTAAGAAAACACAATGTAAAATATAATTGAAATTAAAAAAGCAACCCAATTAAAAGAATAGTTATCCATAAATAAACTGGATGAATCCTACTAAAATCTAGGAGAAATAGAAAAAAACAAGTGAAGAATTGTAGTAATGAAAAAGGTCAGAAGAACAAGAAAAATAAAGGAAGGAAAAGGGACTTTCCGTTTTTGTTGGTTTTTTTTACCCCTCTCTTTTTCTATTATAGCAAGAACGAAGTATACTACATTAACCCCTTAAGGACAACACTTCTGGAATAAAAGGGAATCATGACATGTCACACATGTCATGTGTCCTTAAGGGGTTAAAAATAAGGGGAGAATAAAGAAATTCACAAAGGTTAGTTACTTTTATAAAATGAAGACAATTAGAAATCATGTCCATAAGAGTAAACTTTTTGTCACTAATACTACTGAAGCACGACATAAAGGTTATAAAAGGGAAATGGAGGAGATGGGGGAAAAAGGAATTAAATGGGAATTTATCTGATGTTTTGCTTTCATATAAAAAACTAACACATATTGGGAATATCATGTGTAAGAAATATGAAATAAGAATTAAGATTAAATAATATATAAATTAGAGAATAAATCATAAAATAAATATCAATAGAACACATGGAATTTCATAAATAATAAATACTATTGCAATTAACACTTATTAATTTGAGCACTATTTTTATAAAAGGGGTCAATATGATGAAAAAAATTGAGAGAGGAGAAGTAAAAGGAAAATGGGAAAATTAAATTGTTTTGTTTTTTTGTTTTTCTTTCTTCCTCCTGAATTAATAATCTGCATGGGTCAAATTTGTCTCTACCATACACCATATGTTAATGGCGGAGGTTTCAACCAAGAGTAAACAAATTTTGGTTAACTGTACATATTTTCCTTCTTATTTTAGAAGGATTTTTTTTATTTTTCTGTGTTGATGGTCAATATATGTGGTAAATGTGGTAAAATGGATGTTTTTAAATGTGGTTTTTATGGAAAATATTATTCATTTGGTGAAGAGCCGTTCAGGAGAGATGAGATTATAGACAGGTTGAAATATGGTTAAAATATTATCAATTAATGCCTAGGGTATTAATTCCTCATATAAGAGATTGACTATTTACAATTAATTGAATAAAAAAAAGGGTAGATGTGGCATTTTTACAGGAGACACATTGGAGACTAGGAGATAAAAAAGAGGTTTGCAGGGAAATATTTCCCATTACTATTTCAGGCTCCAAGCAATGACAAAAAACAGAGGAGTAGCCATAGTGATCGCTAAATTTTGAATTAATATACCAGATACTAGATCCACAAGGGCAATACATGATACTAGCATGTAAAATGAATGAGGAGATCTATACATTAATTAATGTATATCTACCCAATATTTCCCCAGTGTGTCACCTCAAGAAAATATTGGCTGTTGCCGAAAAAGTAAAAAAAGGAATGGTAATTGTAGCAGGGGACTTTAACTGTGTTTCTGATGAGGATATGGATAAAAAAATATTTAAAAGGTATAAAAACTAACAAAAACAAATAAAG